CCCAGTGCTGTCAGTGAATCCTGATCGGCTCGACGGTCCCGTCACGGTGCGGTAAGAGAGTTGGGAGATGCGTAACTGTGCAGGACGGCCGGGGAAACTGTGGATGGTGAAATCCCAGTTCGGTGTAGCGGCCCCACCTGCGACCCCCACCGGGAATAATTCTGGTCCCACCATTCGCCGCCTCGGCCTGGCCAGTCAGAGACGCCCAATCCTGGTCGCGGGCTGGTCCTCCCAGCTCCCATCCTGGCACCTGGCACCTGGCTGCCCCTTTCCACATCCTGTCCATGTCCATGTTCATCCATGCCCTCACCAACTTTTCTTTCGCTATCCGTGGTCGCTGTATCTCGATTGCAAGACGTCTCGGCGACGGCGAAAGATGGGATGAGATGACGAGGACAACAACCTGTGGATGTCGCCCGGACCAGAAGCAACAACTGCTGCAGACAACATCAGACAAAGGACAGCACGTTGCTTCTGCGTGTTCCGTGCTGCTGCAGGTCGATATCGGATGAGTTTCTCTCTCGTCAACGACAACCCATCAGCAACAGCAGCAACTCTCGATGTTTGAGCTTTAGGGAGACTATCCCCAAGAATGGGCTGAGGCGCCTCGTCAACCTCCAACTCGGTTGCAGACGCGACGCAACGCTACAAAATAGTACATACATACACAGCATGTACATATGTACACGCAGCTGCAGGTCCCGTTTTATCCAATTCTTCCCACCCGTCTTCCCCTGCTCCCTGCACCGCGCACCAAGCACCCTGTCCTGGTCCTGCGCCGTCTTGCCTCCTCCTGTGAGGCGTGCTTCCTTCGAGTTAGGACTCTCCTCTTGGAGCTTGGGGGCGTTCACCACCTTACTGCGTATGTTTAGGGGCCAGGTTACAGTTCCAGAGCCGCCGGCTGAGGTGATTGATGGACGTTGACGGGACGCGCGTGGCGGCGGGAAAGGCATTGGCAGCCAATTGATTTCGTGCTTCCCGTCTGGTGCCTTACCGCAGTATGCCAGATAGGAGTATGTTATTAACTAAGATACAGATAAAAGAGGTACGTATTCAAGGGGAAATATGAAAATGACCGCAACTAAAGTCCCTAACCGCAAGAAAACAAAGGCATTCGACGAACAACTCTCCATCGAAATGGCAGTTACGTCTTTCTTCAACAACAGGCACCCCCTGCTGCCAATTTTATTATCCCAATCACCAGAATCCCACCCGTCCCTGGTCCCCTTGCTCTCCGAGTCGTCCAGTCCTCGTCCTCTGCCGTGCCGTGGTGCTCGATTCGCACCTCTCTCACCAAACTTGGTCCAACTTCGCAAGTCCCAGTTCTCCAGTCTTTTCCTCTTGCTTCTGGATGCCCACTCCCGCTCCCACCTCTCTCTCTCCCACTGCCACTGCCACTTCCCCTGGTCCACGCCTCCATCTCTCCTCTCCTCTCCTCTTCCACACACCCACCACACACACACACATGTCCATCACACACGCCCCCTAGCAGCAACAACCCAGCCAAACCCCCGGTCCCCAGTCCGTCACTTTACTGCGTACGGAGTCTCTCATAGCAGCATCCTTACACTCGCTCACTCACTCACTGTCTACGTGAGGTAATCCCCTTACGGTTCTGGCCTTCTTTTTCAGCACCGTTACGCACTCTCTTGTACCTACCCGCTGGCTGTCCAGGGGACCCTCTTTTCATTCTTCCAGACCTCATCTACCTCTTCTTCCCGCACCTCCCCCCTTCCCCTCCTGCTCCTTTCCCTTCTCTTCGTCTCTCCAGTTCACCAAGAATCTGGATCGCCAGTCTCTGCTTGCGTCTTCGTTTTCCTGCAGCAGAGATTTCCGTTTTCTCGATCACTTGCCGGTCCTATGATCGTGTCACTCGCTCACCACCGCCGCTAGTAGCTACTATCGCCAGTATCAGCTTATTTTCCTTGGGCCTCGGTTTTTCTCAGATACCTCGTTTTCCCGTTTGACAGGTCTTGGTTCGCGGAGCTCTCATCCGATCTCGATTCCAACCCACGCTGTACGTCGAGATCCAACACCACAGAAGGACATCCTCGACGACAACCGACGACGACCCCAAGACGACGCCCTCCCCCCAACCGTCAAGCTGGACGAAAAACAACTAGACGTCTTCATTCGGACAATGGGCGCTAAGCTGCCTGGTCCGGTTCGCGCTTGCAGTATGCGTAACCCACTCACGAGAACGCTGCTTTTTGCAGTCGTCGTCCTGGTCATCATGGCCCTCACCCTCAGAAACGACGCCATTGACGTCCGCGGCCGCATCATGAAGACCGGTGCCGGAGTCAAGTCCTCCATCACCCACCAGCAGCCCCTGGACCCCGTCAAGTCTCACGGCTCCTCCTCGCTGTCCGACAAGATCCCCGCTGAGCCCGCTCCCTCGTCGACCCACGTCATGAACTGCGATGTCAACACCGACCACCTCAAGCAGCTCAAGGATAAGTATGGCCTCGACAACAGGCTCCACTACTTCAAGCGCTACGTCAAGTTCAACCGCAAGAACATCCAGCGCAAGGGCTACACCGTTCTCGACCAGGATTTCCTGCCCAAGAAGTTCAAGACTGTTGATGTCACCAAGACGTACGCCCCCGAGGAGTGCCACGCTCCTCTCGAGGTCCCCGTCCCTCAGTCGCCCTACCCCTCTACCGTGAACGCTTCCGACTTTATGTTCGCTGTTTCTACCACCTACAAGCGTTTCAACGACCCCAAGACGAGCCCGATTAAGGAGTGGTCTCACTGGCTCACCGACAGCAATGGCAAGTCCAACGGTGGCAAGCTGCTTCTGCTTCTCCTCGACGCCAGCGACGCCGAGCTCAAGGACGCCAGTGACAGGCTTAAGCGTGTTGGCATTGACGTCGATGTCGCTCACTCCGATCCTTCCATGGAGATGGCTGTTCGCTACCTGACTCTGGTGCCTTACCTGTACAACCACCCCGACCGCAAGAGCAAGAAGTGGTTGGTTACCTGCGACGACGACACCTACTTCCCCAGCATGCACGGTCTCATCGACAAGTTCGCTACTTTCGACCACCTCGACCCTCTCTACGTCGGAACCCTTTCTGAGGACGTCAACGCCATTCACCGCCACGGATCCCAGGCCTTCGGCGGTGCTGGCGTGTTCTTGAGCGTCCCCCTGGCTGCTGCCATTAACCAGCTCTACGAGTCTTGCAAGACCCCCCAGAAGGTCAAGGAGGCCAACTCTGGCTGGGGTCCCCAGGGCGATATCCTGCTCCGCAAGTGCATCTACGAAAACACCGAGGTCCGCCTCACCAACATCTGGGAGCTGTGGCAGCTCGATCTGTACGGCGACCCGGCTGGCTTCTACGAGAGTGGCATCAAGCCCTTGAGCTTGCACCACTACAAGGGCGGCGGCTGGCACTTCGCCAAGCCTTTCCAGACGACCAAGGTCGCTCACGCCTGCGGTGAGGACTGCTCTTACCAGCGATTCATCACCTCGGACGACTTCATCATCGCCAACGGTTTTAGCGTCGCCCACTACCCCCAGGGTATCGATTTCAACCTGGACCAGATGGAACGCACCTTCACCCCCGCCCCCGATGACATTGGCTGGAACTTGGACTACATGTTCGGCCCCCAGCGCAGATCTCTGCACAAGACTGGTCGCAAGATCGCGTGGGAGCTCCAGGAGGCTCACGTTCAGGAGGACGGCTCCGTCCTTCAGATCTACACCCGCAGGAAAGACGACGAGCGCTGGGTCGAGGAGGACGGCGAGGCCATGAGCAAGATCGACGGCGTCATCGAGCTCGTCTGGATCCCTTCCACATGAGGCGCCCTCGGGATTACCGAGCACGACGATACGATAAAGGACGGGGAGCTCTTCGGGGCCCCTTTCCTCATGACATGATGGGATGGGCGGTTCCGACATCACGAAATGCCATCGGATAAAGCACCTCAGCATCCCATCCAAGCAGTTTTCCATCAACCCCAGGATATCCTGGCCTGTTTTCATATAACTGGCTCTCGGCCGAAATGGCACGGGCCCGTTTCGATTCAGACGGCAGCAAAAAGGCAATCTGGCGAGAGAAAGGCTGTCATGCCCAGGGCAAAAGCATATCACACCGATCCCAGCCAATACGAAAACCACCCCTGGACAGGATCGTAATTATAATCCGCTGACCGCGATACCCTCATTCCCACTACCATCAAAATTTTTCGATTCGACTCGCATCTCGACTTCGGCATACAGCTCGGATCAGAGCTTCGGCGTTTGAGTTCGGGCTTCTATTTTACAACCAAGCATGCTGGCAACCGCTACACTTTCATTTTTCCTTTCTTCTTCCGCGGCATTGCATTGCACATAGAAGGATTGCTTGGACGGAACTTGCAATCGGTACATAGACCTGTGAAAAGGCCGGACGTTTGGAGTCATGATAAGGACCGTTGGGTGTCCTTTTTTGGAGGTCAATCAACCACCTGGTTTGAATTACGGTGTCAGGAAGGCGCTCATGCCGTCGGCGCCTTGTAGAGTTAGACAAGTGTATACCAAATGATACGAAATGTTCAAAAACATTGCAAAACTCTGTTATTATTGCCAAATGCTTGTTTGACTCTTGTTTGACTCGAACGTTGCCGAGAGTTTCTTCAAGACGGAGAATGGGATGAACTGTTTCTGCCTCAATTTCGAGGCAATAATTGGATTACGTCAGGCACCAAGTGAGACCTGTCTCAGCCACGCCCCGCCCCCACCCGTCGTTGTCTAAGCCACACGTGGCAGCTGTCGGCCACCTGCTCCCGCCGTCCTGCCCCGCCAACGTCAGTTCCGAGCAGTTGGGCTGCTTCCTTCCATGTTTCGAGAAATGAAGTCATGAAGCTTGGTGTCGTGGCTTGAACTTCTCCCAAACACCAACCAACCTCCAACCCTCGAAGGGGACTTCTCGAGATGGCGACGTAAGCAACGCTCCAGACGTCTTGGTTTATTGTGCTATACTAATTTTCTCGCGCACAGCATATCCAACATCCTCTCGCTGCCCTTCCGCAAATCGACCCAGCTCTCGCTGTCCTCGACGATACGACAGTACATCAACACCAAATATGACCAGCACCCGGACATGTTCCGTCAGGACCTCGAGGTCATCGACGCCCTCCGCCGCGATGCGGTGAATGTCAGAGAGCCGCACCCCAGCGGCATCAAGAAGCTGCAGGCCTACGCGGGACAGCTCGCCTGGATCGGTGGAAAGTTCCCAATCGATGTACGTGGTCACTCTGGCGCATCGCACCTGCCGTGATGTTGAGTCGCGGATAGCATGCTGACTTGCACCAAAACCAGATCGGAGCCGAGTTCACCTGGTACCCAGCTTTAGGCTACAACACCGAGCGACCGATGGTACGGAACAACCTCAAGTACGAGCTCATGAACGTGCTCTACAACCTCGCCTCGCTATACTCGCAGCTCGCTGTCGCGCAGTCACGAACAGGCACCGAGGGCCTGAAGACCGCGGCGGGCCATTTTTCAGCCGCTGCCGGCGTGCTGCAGCACATGCAGAAGGAGGTCCTCCCCGAGCTGCGCATGTCGGACCCGCCCGAAGACATGGACGCCAACACGCTCGAGTCGCTCACACAGCTCCTTCTGGCGCAGTCCCAGGAGTGCTTTTGGCAGAAGGCCGTTATGGACGGGTACAAAGATGCCATCATCGCTCGCCTGGCGGCGCGGGTGTCGGACCTGTACAGCTCGGCGGGCGAGGCGGCCATGAAGAGCGAGGCTATCAGCTCTGCTTGGATTCACCACATGAGCGCGAAGCACCACCACTTCGCCGGAGCTGCGCAGTATCGTGCTGCGTGCGACTGTTTAGAGAAGAGGCGGTACGGCGAAGAGGTTGCTCGGCTGCAGGATGCTGTTGCATGCGTAAACGAGGGACTGAAGGAGAGCCGTGGAGGGTACCTGAACAAGGCCGTACTCGAGGATCTTAATGGACTCAAGAGAAAGGTCGAAGAAGATCTCAAACGAGCGGAGAAGGACAATGACGTTATCTATCTACGTAAGTCCAACATTCTTGCTAAGCGGCAAGCAAGCACTAACATCTGCAGAACCTGTGCCGCCAAAGTCAGAGCTCAAGATTCTCGAGAGAGCCAATATGGCTATTGCTAAAACCCCGCCTCAAGTCGCGAACCCGTTCGATTATCTCGGAGATCAAGCCGAGTTCGGCCCAGCCCTCTTCACGAAGCTCGTGCCGTTCTCTGTGCACGCAGCCATCACCATGTACGAACAATCGCGTGATCGTATAGTAAACGAGAACATCATTGGCGAGTTGGAAAGGCTCACAGAACAGTTGCATGTTATGCTCAGTTCTGCCAATCTCCCCGGCTCGCTACAGGCCCTCGAAAAGCCTTTGGGTCTACCTCACAGCTTGGTTCACCACGCCGAAGAAATCCGACAAGCAGACGCCTTGGGCCGCATCCAGAGAGCGTTTTCCGATATTGACAAGCTTCGCAACGCGGACATCTCAGTCTTCAACGAGGGCAAAGCCATCCTCGCGGCAGAGGAAGAAGAGGACCAGAGGCTCAGGCGCAAGTACGGTACCGATAGGTGGTCAAGGCCGGACAGTCGCAGCGATCCTCAGGGCAGTGCGTTCTGGGCCCAAGTGGCCGAAATTGAGGGCTACTTCGCCAGCAGCACGAGTAGTGATGCGGTCGTGAGAGACAAGTTCAGGGAGGTGCAGGACCTATTAGAGATGCTGTCGGGGTCCGATCGGACTTTAATGGACTATGTCCCTTCCAGCAGACGCATGGACATCCCGGAGCCCTTGAAGCCAGTCATAGGAAGACTGCGCGGGGCGTACAACGATGTCCTGCGTCTTGAGTCGAGAAGGAGAAAGAAGGCCGAGGCGCTCCGGGAGAAGGCCAGAACGGATGACATCAAGCCGGACATTCTCAAGGAGGCGGCTCGCCTGGAGAGGACTTACCCCACCACGGCAATAGTCCCCGCACATTTCGATGACTTTTTTGAGAAGCGCCTGGACAAACTTTATGAACCGGAGATCGAGGCTGTCAAAAAGGAAGAGGAGGAACAAGACCGTCTGATGACAGAGGTGCAACGAGTCAACCGTGAGTTCGAAAGTCAGAAGAAGAACCTGGCCAGCGGCAGCCGCGAGCGCGAGCAGGCGCTGCAAAGACTCGACAACGCGTATTATAAGTACAAGGAGATCGTCAACAACGTCGACGTGGGTCGGAAGTTCTACAACGACCTGAGTAAAGTGGTGGGCCAGAACTTCCGCGATCCGGTCAAGGCGTGGGCTGCGGAGCGGCGGATGGATGCAAAGAGTCTTGAAGAGTAAGCGTCATTCATTTGTGGTGTAGATCGCTGCTAATCTGTGTCCAGGGAGGTCAACATGCCGCCTCTCGGCTCCCTGAACATCAACAGGTCCCCGGTACACTCGCCGTCGGGCTCAAACTACGACCCCCGCTCCAACTCCTACTTCAACGCCAGCGTCGTTCCTGGCTCCTCCCCACCGCAACAGCAACCTCCGTCGCGGCATGAGGTTCACTCCCCGGCCGAGGCGCATATCCAGTCCTGGGCTGGATCGACCGTGGAACCGCAGCACCCACGACCCGCACCGGCCTTGTCCGGTAGTATGTGGCAACCGGAAATGGGTATAAAATTCGGCAACGCTGCCGGCGCCCCGGCCGCGGCCAACACGCAGGGCCAGCAGACCCCTAACAAGCCCCCACAGACCGGCGGCACTTGGGATCCGGGTTCCGGAATAAGATTCGGATAGGATACCAGTCGATTCCCGCCACCTAGACGTAGACAGCAGGAGAATTGAGGTTTTCGAGGGTGTTGAAAGCGAGCAAGCTCGGCGTTGGTGGGGTGGTTTTTGCGAGGTCGGTCGTTTGCTAGATGTACCATATCTTTAATGACCTCGCGTGTGTGTGTTGTGCTCCGTTACATAGAATTCACATTCATGAGCCGAACTTTTCTTCACCTTCATCTTCGGATCCGAACGCGCGCCACGATGCCCCATCCACGCGTCCCCTCCCATATCCCCATCTCGTTCTCCCGCCGAAACGTAACCTCCTCCGCGCGCACGCTCATGCTCACGTCCTCGTCCCGTCCCGGCGTCGACTTCTCGGATCTCGGAGGCGGCGCCGATGACGACGACGAAGAAGCTTCGGCCGACGATCCCCTAAACAGACCCCATCGACTCGCCTTCTTCTCCTCCTTCGCCTGCTCCACCGCGGCGCGCACGACGGTCCGGTCCATCTTCGGCTCCGGCTGCAGCTCCCTCGCGAGACGCCGCGCCAGGCCCTCGTCGTCCCACCACCACAACCGTCCACCCCTGTCCTTCCCGGGGGAGGGTTCGTCGTCCCAGCGGCCCCAGTCGTCGAAACCGCGCGAAGCGCGCGAGGTGGACGATTCTCCTGTCCCGAACGCGTCGTCGCCTTTCTCCCCCCCACCTTTGGTATCCGGATCAACCACGCGAACGACCTGCACGACCTCCCCGGCCTTGGGATCCGCGTCGGAGGCGACGGTCCAGGACGGGCCGACGGCGGCGGCGGGGACGAGGACGAGTTCGGCGAGGGAGGGCGGGTAGGGGTGCGTGCCGAGGCGGGTTAGGAGCGTGGTTAGGTGAGGAGTGAGGAGGGGGAGGAGGGTCGAGGTGGTGGCGGATTCGAGGGCGGATTGTTGGGACTGGGTCGTGCGGAGGAGGGTTGTTAGGGTTGTTAGGGTTGTTGTGAGGGTTTGCGGGTGATGTGAGGAGGAGAGGGAGGGGGAGGGGGAGGAGATTGAGTCGGTGTAGGAGGGGGGTGCGTCGTCGTGGTCTTGTTTTGACATTTTGAGGATTGTGACGTTTGTTCTGGAGGTGAGAGGAGAGATGATGGGCAAGTGAGTGAGTGAGTGCTGTTTCTCAAGGTGAGAGGAGTGATGAGGTGAGCTGCGTGGTTTGTATGATGGAAGTGTGTTATTATTCCCTGAGGCGAGAGAATGTGGGTAGGTTGTGAGAATTGATGGTTAGTCGGATTCTGAAGTCTGTCCGAGGTTGTTTTGCCTTGAGGGAAAGCGCCACGCGGATGGTGAGGTTGGTGGTGAGGTTTGAAGAGAGGTGAGGTGAAAGATCTCTATGACGAGAGTATTGTTCTCCCTCAGGGTGGAAGGTGAAGAAAGGTAAGTTGTGATGAGAATTGATGGTAAGACTGAATCTGAGGTCTGAAATTGACGTGCCTTGAGGAAAACGTCAACGCGGATCGTGAGGTTGGTGGAGAGATGATGGGCGAGTGAGTGGCTATTCCTCGAGGTGAGATGATGGTCAGAGTCTAAGCGAGGTTTGCTGTGCCTTTCCTGAAAAAGACGCCACGCGGGGTGCCTTGCCTGACTGATTTTGTTAGACGAGATCCTTCAAGGTATCTATTCGCCTCCTCTGGAAATGTTCACGTGAGAGGATGGACTCGGCCGACTCCGATGGTATATGATATCGGGCGAACCTGTGCGGAGGTTACTGGTGCTCTGAGTTTGCCGATGTATCAACCTTGGGATCTACCACGTGCGAGATTGGATGAGTCAGTAGGAGATGGAGAAGAGCGATAAGCCCAGGCAGGTAATGATGACTTGGTTTTAGTGTAGCTTGGAGAATGAATGGCGTGAGGCTGCGCCCTGCATAGCACTGACTACACTGCCGAGCCTTGTTTTCCGGTGCGGTTGATCATTTCTTCACGCTAACCGGACGTTATTGGGGCACTAAGGTAGTGTAAGGTATCGCACTGCAAACCAGATTGAGGCAGTCGGAGAATTCTTGGCCTTTACGCCCGATTGCAGTGTAAGCTGGCTTTTCCAGGATTCCGGAACAGGTGACCGAGGATTGAGGCCTTCTCCCCCCTTCTGTCGCTCACAGCTCCGCCCCCGGGATTCGGTCTCCACATTCGGGACCGAGGGGTCGGGTTTGTTTGGGGTAGGCGCGAGGAATCGAGGTAGTTTGGAACGCGGTTTTTGAGTTGAGGGAATTGTGTCTTTCTCTTAGTAAGTGAGCGATGAGTGGAAATGAGAATCGAGGAGGTTGTTAAGGTAAGGCATTTTCCTTCCTTCGGTGACGGATTTCGAGTCTCATCCTCGAATGCGACCCTGACATCCCATCTGTGGCAGTTCCGGGCGTATCGGAGAATGCGGCATCTTGTATGACATTAGGGGTGGCTAATGCCTCATCGAGGTGCTCTCTCGCCGGATCACATGACGACGGTTGCAGTTTGATGCATGCGAAGAAGAAGCCAACATTGCTGGCCTCAAGATGCCAGAGGTAAGAAAGTGACGAAGAAAGTGAGGGTCGGGCGGAATGATCGCCGCGGACCCCATCCCACCAAGCCACATTGGGGTTAGGCAGCCGTTTAGGGAAGGCTTCTAGAATGACGATGCGGGGATCATACGACGCTCCTTTTTCGACGCCACTGATGACACTGCTTAGGGATTAATTCTTTGAAAATCATAGAGAAAAGACAGGAATGAAGAAAAGTCCTAGAAAAGCAGAAAAGGAGTTGGGTGAAATGCCGCATCTTGGCGCCTTTGAAATGGCTCAGGTATGGAACCGTTCGGCGATGGCAATGTTTGCTAATTCCCGGGGATAAGTTTGCCGTTTTCTCACACTAACAAAACCCCAGATTCAGCTCGGTGGTGGCGCAGTGACGCCCGGTGCTTGGATGGCTCAACCTCCTCATATTAGGCAGTGAACATCCAATGCACGAGGCTCTACGATAGGCTCCGTCAGAATGCAGTGTGCCTAGTGAGGCTGCGGTCATGCGGTTATCACATCGGTGGGCGAGTCCGGCGAGGGCCGAACGCATCTCATGCTTTCTCGGCATCGCGGCCACCGATGTTTATATAAGAGGAAGTGTCTTTCTTTTCCTGGTGCTTGGTGTTTGGTTCCACAGAGTAACAGCATCGAGAGATACCCCAAATACACCTTCATTCCTCCGCTACCGAGGGATCACGACCATCATTCCTTCACTCCTATTCAATCTCTAAGCCATCCAGATACCTTTGGCATACCCAAGGTATCAGTTTAACTTCACATCAGCCACCAGATCACCAACTGCTTCATCAACTCCTACATATATAAACCAACACACTCCTTCGCATAACTAGAGGGGTTCCACGATTCATCGCAAACAACACCCCTTTCAACTCAACACAACACAACCACCGCCAAAATGTCGTACAGAATCGCCGCCCCCGATGAGTACCTCGCCATCACGGGTATGTCCGTGAAGACGGTCAAGATCACAAAGGCCGCGTGGGTCTGGCCCTTCCAGCGCTGCATGCGCTTCTCCGTCCAGCCCCACGACTACGCCATGAACCTCCAGGCCATGACCAAGGAGAAGCTCCAGTTCCTCCTCCCCGTCGTCTTCACCGTCGGCCCGGACGTCAACTCCCGCGGCGCCAACGCCCAGCACCCTGCCCACGGTGACGCCTCCGCCGCCGCCGCCCACGCCGACGACGACGACTACATCCCCGCCAACCGCCGCGAGGACCGCGGCGACGCCCTCATGAAGTACGCCATGCTCCTCGCCGAGGCCCTCGACAAGAAGGGCGGCTCCATGGCCCACCTCGAGAACATCGTCAAGGGCGTCATCGAGGGCGAGGTCCGCGTCCTCGTCTCCAGCATGACCATGGAGGAGATCTTCACCGAGCGCGAGGTCTTCAAGCGCCGCATCTTCAAGAACATCCAGTCCGAGCTCTCCCAGTTCGGCCTCGTCATCTACAACGCCAACGTCAAGGAGCTCAAGGACGCCCCCAACTCCATCTACTTCGAGTCCCTCTCCCGCAAGGCCCACGAGGGCGCCACCAACCAGGCCCGCATCGACGTCGCCGAGGCCCAGCTCCGCGGCAACGTCGGCGAGGCCCAGCGCAAGGGCGAGCAGGACCGCGAGATCGCAAAGATCAACGCCGAGACCGCCGTCCAGAAGACGGAGCGCGACATCGAGCGCGCCACCGCCGAGGCCAACCTCGACACCCGCCAGGCCTCCCTCACCCGCGACGTCGACATCGCCCGCGTCCAGGCCCAGCGCGCCCTCGAGTCCAAGGACGAGGACCTCAAGAAGGAGGTCGAGGTCAAGCGCGCCGCCGCCGAGATCGAGCGCCTCCGCGCCCGCGACGTCGTCAAGGCCACCATCGAGCGCGAGGCCCGCCAGCAGCAGGCCGACGCCGAGGCCTACGCCGTCGAGGCCGACGCCCGCGCCCAGTTCGAGAAGAAGAGGCGCGAGGCCGAGGCCGCCCAGTACGCCGCCCAGCTGGCCGCCGAGGCCGACCTGGCCGTCGCGCTGAAGACCGCCGAGGGTGTGTCGGCGATGGCGGACGCCTACGGCAAGATGTCGCAGGCCTTCGGCGGTCCCGCGGGCCTGATCCAGTACCTGATGATCGAGAAGGGCACGTACGTGCAGCTGGCCCACGCGAACGCGGAGGCGATCCGCGGCATGGAGCCCAAGATCAGCGTGTGGAACACGGGCAGCGGCGGCGGGAGCCAGGGCGAGGGCGGCGCCAGCTCCGCGACCGACACGATGCGGAACGTCTACCAGATGCTGCCGCCTTTGATGACCACCATCAACGAGCAGACCGGTATTCAGCTGCCATCTTGGCAATTCGGTACACTGCCGGCTGGCATGAACGCGATGCAGGGCGAGTCGAAGAAGGGGGTCAACGGCACCATGTAATGGGCTTGGAATCATGGACACTCGTTTACAGATCTTGGAATATCGGCGTTGACGGCTTTGCTTGATTCGGGGTGATGATACCAGGGCGGTTATAGTCGATTATAGATTTCTTTTGTGTAGTACTATGTTTGAGTAAGGTAGTCTAGGATAGTTCTTAATACTGCATTGCATACCATAGAGATCCCACACGATGGTTTTCCATCTCTCTGAGCGATAGCAAACCCTTCTGATCCCACAGGATCACCTCCTGCCTCTTGAGAAGGCTCTTAGCACTCTGTTGCGAACCCAAAAGACCCCACGCAATCGTCTTCTGCCTCTTTGGAAGAGGTGTCTGTGTCTCACTCTCTGCCATTATCAACCGCATGATTCCGAGACCTTTGCCGTAAAGAGACTGAACGGCACAGCGCCAGCCAGACCAACATCATGCCCGTGCTATTAGTACTCCTGTCGTCTGGCGATTGTACGCCTCGTTGTTCTCAAGTTAATGTCAGACATGAGGCTAAACCGTCGTCGGTTGAGAAGTCGCGGCGGCGCGGCTCCCTTACTGAACTGCCTCATCGTACGCAAATGGGACTCCGTTGGTAAAAGGAAACGGGCCCGTCGAACATGAACTCGGCCGTAAAACGCGGGGGATAGAAAGGATGGTGATGTATGGGCCTTGATCGATAAAGCCAGATGGTGTGATTTTCTCGCGCGAGCCGACATGATGTGATGTAACTGTGCGAAATCAGTGCAGCGCCAGTCTTCTTAGCCTAGTCCTTCGCAGAAATTCTCGACAGAGTGGACTCAAAAGTAGCGGACTCCAATGAAGCTGATCAAAGTGTGCTAAAGATGGTGTAGGCCTTCGTGCAAGATGACTCCCTCGCCAGATTTATCAGGGCCCCGCAGACCGCAGACATGGCCATCAGTCGCCCTCTCCGAGGAGGTTGGGTTCGCCGGTGCCTAGGCTGTAAACCCGGATAACGGCTGGGTTGTTATCCTGCTTCCCTGTGGAGTTCAGGTCAGATATTCAGTCGTCATCGATGGTAAATGACGGCCGAAACATACAATGAAGTCTGCCATGCAATGTGGTCGAATCCCATCCACCCCCTTCCAAACCTCCCATCTCAGCTTCTTCCACTTTACCACTTCTCCAAGCTGATGTACTCCATTTCCTGGGTTGAACCCCTTGGCGGCTCATGAGTTGATGACACGGCCAAGGAGGTTGACGGAGAAGCTCCTGCTGGCCGCTATGGGTCCTCGACGTGGCGTAATTCAGGGCCATGTGCTGCGTCTTTCAAGAGGAAAGAGATCTGTCCCTGGTGGCCCTGAATGAATCCCACGTGCATATTGCATCTCCTGCTGGACGACGACCACCAGCGTCGGACTGACTTTCCTCTGGATGAACCGAGGCCCATCAGAACCCGGGTCAAGACGGTCTACGCGCCAGTGCTGGAGCGAAAAGTCAGCCGTATTCGCCAAGAAGTACTCCAGAAAAGAGGGCTCATCTCTTTGTGGCAGAGTTTGTGCCAACGATGCGAGCGCAGTTGACATGACCACATGGAATGCTTGGCCAGCGACGGCACATGAGTGCCCACAGAAGCAGGAGCAGCATTTGCAATAGCACAGTGGCTGTTTCCAGCATCGTAACTTCCGCGATCATAGTTTGAGCCCGGGGGTCGCATCAACTCATCTGCATCCACGTTGGAGGGTTGCTTGAACTCCGCCATCTTGATGGCGGACAACATCTCACCCGGGAGTTTTATCAGCCTCGACTAGGAGGGAGGGAGAACGAAAGAAGAAAGGCCCACAACAACCTCACTCATGAGACCGCGTGATGGAGATGGTGCACCGCAATGGTAAAAGCATCTCGTATCACCAAGGCGATGAGTTGCTGTAGATCGTTTGGGCTGCTTTGGAGCAGTGCAGCCCTTTCTGTGCTAAACACGAGTTAGTATCTATTTCAAAAGACCCAACGTCTGGTAAATTGTACCCGAGAAAATCCAGATGACGGATGGGGAGTTGACTTGCTTTCATTCTTTCTCGAGAACTCAAGTTGTAATGGGGCCCGGGGCAGCTTGCCTCGACCCTGATTGCCATGAGCTTGTTCCCTTGGTCTCGATTGCCATGGCCGCGGGTCATTACAAGTGAATACCGAAAAACAGAAAACAATTACGGGCAAGAATACAGTAAGAGCCACTCTCGAGTAGTGCCGCTGTGCGCTGCCGCCGTGCTCTCACCTCTGTGATGGCTCTGTGAAATTGAGTAGAAGCGGTACGCGCGGTTCTTTTCCCTTGACAGGAAAAGAACCAGCAACTGAAGTTGCTCCAGGTTGTGCGGCCGGTGATCACAGCGCACCAACCAACTCTCCTTCAATATTTCACCGGCCCGAGGCCCGAGGCTCTCTGACGATTATAACGAGACCACCGTCGAGCTCCTGCCTAGATCCCTAGTAACGGTGAAGTGTCGTGGAAGAGATATGGGCGGGCCCGTGGGACCAAGTAATTATGAATTGACCATTACATTACGATGGTCGAGTAATATGAGCTACTGCAATCGCCGACCAGTCAGGTATGCTGAGCACAATTACGATTTCGCCGCGCACCTCATTCTACACGATGACTCGTTTTGAAAGAACGCCCATAGGGCCCGACCTTTGCATATTTGGAGCTTGATGGTAAAAGAGAGGATACGCCCTGAAATCAAACAATCCATGTCTTATGTAGAACCCATTGGCTCAAAACGGCGCCATTGCAGTAAGACTAAGGCAAGTCAAGTATAAGTGAATCATGACGAAGACATTGACACTGACTTAGCAGTCAGAACATACTTGAGCAGGTCGAGGGTCAGCCGTGGCTCATAATGTTGCCAAGAGAGAAGTCCAGCTTCTCTATTGATGTCTGAGGAATGAGTTATAGACAAAAGGAATGAATTGGGAAGTCTCCTTCTGCCCAGATAGTCGCCCGATATATATATATACCCGTTGATGTATAACCTTGCAACGGGCATAACTCTAGCATGGTGATTCTTTGATAGCACAAATTGACTCGTTTTGCAAACAAATCATCTTATTAGAAAAACACGAGAAAAGCCTAAGGTGTCGCCAGTATCTCCGAAGTTTGGTTTATCATCGTCTTTTTTACAACATTTTGCTCATTTGTTATCAAGCACAACATCACTTGGCGTTGTCTGTCGGCGTTGATGTCAATACAGTCTGAATACTCATTTTTGCAACACCTGTCCAAGTCAGGAGCGCTTTACATGGCGAGGCTGACCTCATTTGCCCAACATGCGACAAGTTTGAGAGAACACATCATGTTTGGGAGCAAATTTTGGTTGAGTTTCTGCTGGCTCCACGAAAACGCATTAGCGACCTGCTCTTTTCTGACCGAACCATAATGTTTACTATAACTTGTTTTCACTTTTTAGGAAACGCAACGCAAACAAGGAGATCGGCTGCCCTGCCGCAAGCCCTCAAGCAGTAACAGGAAGCATCAGCTTGGACACGGCGCCCCTCGCATGATGCACCGTATGAACAGCCGGCCGCGTCGTCGACCCATACGCCGGATTCTCCCCGGTACCCAAGTTGCGGATAAACCCAAAGTGTGCACCGCCCGCAACAACCACCCGCAACTTCACCCCTTTCCGGAAAACATGCGCGCAATCCACGAGCGAGAGCTGCAGCGGCTCAGGACCTCTTGCGGGATCCAGGCGTCTGTATACCTCAGTTATCCGCGCCGACTTTCCGTTCGTACTGACTTCGCTTAGACGGACCAGCACGTCAACATGCGGATCATCGCTGGAGTGACAAAGCTCGATGATAGGCTTGCCGCACACCTCCACATCCTCGTCAAGCGGCGCACTATCAAAGACGACGACGTCCGAACGACGCGCAAGGCTGGTGTCGTCGTAACTTGCGGGGATGACGTCGTCAAATGGGCGAGGCATGCCGATATTAGGAGTCGGGCTTGTGGGATCAAAGGTAAAGCTGGAACTCGACGTCTCATCGGTCGGCTTCTCTTGGCTGAGGACCTTCTCGGGTGCCAGGAAGTATTCTCGAGATGAAGAAGAGACCGGCGGCCAACTTGGGAGATCCCGCCACTCGTTCGAACCCGTGACGAAAATGCGGCATTGGGATTTCCGGGGAGGAGGGCCACGACCGGCGAGATGGTGCTCGAGGAACCGGAGCCCCTCGGTCAGACTCGGGCCTCGTTGCGTTCCCAAATGTGACCATGGACCGATAGTCAGGTAGCCTTGCGCCTTTCGCTCGACCAAGGCGCTGTGCTGCTGCATTACCAACGGTAGGACGCTGTCGTTCCATCCAGTGAGCTGCAAGATGGGAATGTCCGCTTTCTCGATCGCGACGCTCTGGTTCGCCTTCTGCCAAAGCGGTTTGGACAAGTCACTGTCGCTGACCATGTCTTCGACCCAGGAAGGAGTATGGTCGCCCAGGTGCTTCTTGATGCCACCCATGAAGGGCACAGCGTCGTACACGGGCTTGAGGGCTTGATGCTGCTTCTTGATGTAGGCCGGGCCAGGCGTGTGGCCTCGTTTCGCGGCAGTCATCAAGTCAGCCCAAGCCACCATGTGCGCGTCCATCGCTCCCGTCCACCAGGAGAAGACACCAAAGTCGATCGGGCCGGTGCTGATAACGGCGGCCTTCACGTCCGCCGGCGGATCGGTGAGAATGGCCCACTGCGTGTGACCGAGATAGGATCCGCCGTACGTTGCCAAAGACCCCGTGTACCAGGGCTGTTCCCGCATCCAAGCGACGGTCGCGAGGCCGTCTTCGGCTTCGTAGATCGCGGGGACGACTTCCTGGCCGTCGGACGGATCCGTGCCTCGACAGGCGGCGAGCAGTACCTGGTACCCCCGTGACGCGAACATCCGCGCATTTCCGAGAGCCATGAGCGGCGTGATGCCGTACGAGGTGCGCACCAGAATGGTGCCGTGGGGTTTTGCGATGGTCGGCTGGTAGAGGTTCGCGGCGAGCTTCATCGTGCCGATCGGGATCTGGAGGAACTCGACGGTGTAGCTGCATGTCTCGCCGGGTAGTCCGGACCACCAGCCGGCAAGCCGGTCGACGAAGAGGCTTATCCAGCCGCGCTCGACAGGCGCCATGATGATGAAGTTGTGGAACGTTTGAAGTGTCGTCGGTGGTGGGTTTCAGCGGTGTATCTCTGCAATTTCGACTTTGGTTGATTGTCAGCTGCGGGGTTTTGAAGGAATACCGGCGCTGCAGATATACTTGTAAGCAATTGCGCGGCCCCTTTGGACTTCTTTGATATTGTTTATCCATTGTCATCCTCCGTAATTAGCGCCATCCATTTAGCTGATGATGTTGAACTGTCCAATGACCTGCGTTTGTTAACGTCGAAGGATCCAATGACGTTCATGACGCTTTTGGCTAGGTGTCAGATTTGGTAATGACCGCCCGACTAGTATTGCATTTGTTCTGACAGAGGCGGAAAATGCCGACGGGAAGTGTGAGCAGACGTTGGAGTTTGATACACACTTGAGTACCTCTGCAGCGTAATCCATGTGAGTAGATACACTGGCTGCATGTGGATTCAAAGAGATGTGCCCACAGATGATTGAAATTACTCTTCCGAATGGCGTCAACAGAAAACAGCCGTTGAAGTCCATAAATTGGCAGCAAGTCGCAACATGGTCATTGCAGAAATGTTCGATATTGACGACTCCTCATGACATGAGAATACGATTCAACTTAAGTATCTGCAACATCCACTCAACAATAATGTTTTGCTCATGTGATGAGGTGAACATAACCTTTCGGTCTCACGCCTCCTCGGCCGCTTCTATCTACGTACCGTGGTCAGCAGCCAGCCGGTTATATGCACCCAACTGCAGACTGTGTTGGCATTGCGTAGATAATGACCACGACATGCTTTGGGTGCACCAATTACATGCGCCGTAGAAATCTATCCCCTGTGGTCTCTGCAGCATCGAGGCTTTTCACTGCCAACAAGCCTGCTTGATTGGTGCCTCATGCTGTTATGTATCCAATGAAACTTCGCAGCCTGTCTTCCCGTCACGCATAAGGTGGAACTACATGTAGTCACAAGCGAATGACCATAACAGGGGACTGGTGCCAGACAATATTAAAGTTCTCTCCGACGTCCTTTCTCGCTAGCCATCTTCTCCTCTTTCTCCTGGCTGTTCGATCACCTGCCTCGGCAGCGGCATCAATCAAAGAGATACAACAACATCTACAGAATATAATTCAAGAGCACAAACGGCCGAGAGTATGGCTACGAACAATGTGGATAACACATTCGGGTTGTCACACGACCGAGCTACCGATGGCAAAATTACAGTTGCCGACGAGGCCAGCTCTGCCGCAGCGGAGGGCGGGAACCACGAGCCAACAAAAGCACAGCTCCTCGATTCAGAGACGATTTCAAATTCACAACCTGAGACATACGAGAGATATACTCCCGACGAGCACGAACTTTCAGATGCATGTTTACAGACCTTGGGCCAGGCAGCACAAACATGTCTTTGCTCCATCTGCCGTAATTTCCCTCGTGGAATTTCGACGATTTGGAGAAAAAGTTGTACCACACTTCTCTCATCTCTCTTGAACGATCCGTCAGTGACGGCTGCCGCCTCTGCAAGATTCTATCAGGGTCATTGGAAGATTTCTGCTCTGGGCTCGAGCCCCCCCAAATCCGCAGAACCCTCCTGCACAATCTATTGCCGCATAGAATGGCACGAGGGCAAAGATGTTATCACTCTTCTATTTTATCTCCACAACAGCGAAGACCAACCGGTCTGCACCGGAGATCCCGCAGCTCGTAGTCCTTTCAAATGGCTCGATTTCGATGCTGCAAAGAAATTCAAACTGGGACCAGAGTTCTCATGTACGCTACAATACAAGACTCAACATCCGCATGGAATGAATATGTAGCCAAGCTAACGTACCACCAGGCCCATTGATAAGAACAACAACAGCACAATCTAGAATGAGTTTAGATCTGGCTCGCGGCTGGTATCAACAGTGCTTGGGACATCCAATCTGTCGAAAATGGGAAGAAGAATCCCGTGTTCTTCCTACACGCCTTGTCTATATCTGGGAACCACATGGCAAAGCATCTACAATACACGCAAAGTTATACGACGCAGTAGATCTACCAATCGCGACAAAATACACCACACTGAGCCACTGTTGGGGGAAAGCTCCCTTTTTCAAATTAGAGTCGAGCAATATGGACTCACTACACTGCGAAATACCCATTCAGCAACTGCCAAAAACCTTCCACGACGCTATGCGTATCACACTTGAACTTGGCATCAACTACCTCTGGATAGATTCACTCTGCATCATTCAAGACTCTAAGGCAGACTGGGTACACGAATCAAGAAGAATGGGCAATGTGTATCGATACTCAGAGTTCACAATCGCAGCAGCTAGCTATCCTGATGGTAGTCTTGGCTTGTTTAGCGAGAGGGAGACTATGCCCTACATTCATTTTCCGCTCCATGTTGAGCATCTTTTAATACGAGATTGGCAGCACGCATCTGGACGTGATGTCGCAAAAGCTCGTCTTGACGGGTTTTACATTACGGCAGAAAAGTTCGAATTCCACGACGAAGTAGTCGGAAGCCTACTTAACTCTCGAGCTTGGGTAGCCCAAGAAAGAGCACTTTCACCTGGTACTCTTCATTATACCCGGGAGAAGGTTTGGTGGGAGTGTAACGATCTCATGGCTAATGAAGCCTTTCCAATTGGCGATTTCGATTGGGGGCGAGGTGAAGGGAATCTGGAGATTAAAGGGCGTGGAATCCGATCCGCAAGGAAGGGGGGGCGAGACAGAATTTATGCCTTTTGGAGGGACTTCATTGGCTTCTATGCTGGAACCGAGATCACAAAGGAGGGAGATTGGTTTCCGGCCGCTACTGGCATAGCCAGAATTATCGGCAACCTTGTCAATGATAATTTCATCGCAGGATTTTGGGAGGGAGATCTCCAACGTTCCCTCGTCTGGGCAAGCCGTGGGGAGATCAAAGGGTTTTCATCCGCACGAATCGCGCCCTCTTGGTCCTGGGCATCGCTGCGCGGGCGACTTGAATTTTCTAGCCATGATTTTCCTGGCCCTGGTTCGAACAACACAGTCGATATGGACATGTATCCGTTGAGTGGCATACGTATACAAGCACTCTCCGACGTTCGGGACTTCAAGTCGGACTTGCAGTCGACATCATTCGAAAGGTCAGGCGTACGAGGTCTCGCTATCAGTGGCCCATTACGGAAGATGCCCATTGATCTTGCATCTGAGACGGGGTACCACTTTCCTTCGTCCGAATGGTTGAATTTCATTCAAATACATTCTGAAAACCTGAAGATGGATGAGAGTCTGAGGCAGAGCCTCGCAAAAGATCAAGAGTGGCGCTTGGGGGAGCCTACGCACTTGTTGCCTCTTGCATATAATCGCCGGTCAGTGTATGCGATTGCGTTACAACAAGTGCCTGATGCGATCGAGCCGAACACTTTCCGACGATTTGGAAGGTTTCGTTTCTGCTTTCGCAAGCCAGAAGTCCGCGATGTGTATTTGGGACTGTCACAGAAGGACGGGAAGTATCAACCAAGCTTAAGGTTCGAGGAATGTGATAGGCAAGACCTCATTCTGATTTAAGTCCAAAAGACAACTCAGCACCAAACATTGAACTCATCAATCATGCATAAAGTTCTAGAAGTCAATGATGTGTGTGCGTTGCCACTTGTCAAATATCCAACGTCGCATCTCGAAACTACAGATTAGTGGATGAATACTCTCGCTGAACGCCTCGACCTCATACGATTCTTTAAAGCCTGCTAAATGCAGCAGATAGATCTGAACGCAGCGTGTGTCGTTATTCTGGTTGGGTGAGCCTCTATATGCAATACGAAAAAAGCGACGACCGGGTAAAGCATTCTGCTCCTCCTCCAGCAGGTCACTTTTAAATTTACCTCGTCATTTACAATGTCTAACGAATGGTAATGAGAAGGCGGCACCAACGAGCCCTTCGGGTGCCTTTGTCATAGTAGCATAGGCGTGTGAGAGGGTAGGTCTAGCCAGCAGGAATGGTTGATTTGTCTGTTACAGGCCATCTACACAGATACCCAGCCAAAGAGATGTACCAAGCCGGAGTGAAACCGACACAGGTTGCATTAGGGAAAAAAGTCTTTGAGATTGTAAATCAAATTCCATTGACAAACTGTGTTGTGGTGTAAGTCAAGGTGCCGACGGTCTTTTTCCGCAGACCCGCGGAAAGCCGTGCTTACATATTCAGGGCTCGAATCATATGGGCTGATTGAAGTCGGCCGCTTCGGTATCCGGTATCGCGAAGTTCATCCGTAGCGCTTATGAAGCGTTTCCGGTGTTCGGGCCTTACGCCGGACATTCAGCGCCGACATGGCTGACGAATGCGCCGAGTCCCTAGCATCCGTTCTCAAGCCCTCACAGCATACGTGCGAATTGTGTACGTCGTTACGACACCTGTCGGCTTCAAGTAGTTTCTTACGATGTGTCGGCTGAGACGTCGAAAGTGAAATAAATAAGCAATAATATCTTGTCGATTGAGCATTTCACCTTCCCAAGTTCATACGTCAAGCCATTCCCTGGATGTTCGTTTTTTTGGACTGCTTTACATCTAAGATTATTTGACAACAGACGAGCAAGCCGAAAGATCTTACAAAATGGTTTCCATAGAACTCGTGCGACAATCCAACGCCCATCTGGGCAGTCTCCCCAAAGGCCTCGTTGCCCTCTTCATCGGCGCAACATCAGGTATCGGCCAGAGCGCCCTCCAAAACCTTGCAAAACTTCCCTCACCACGCATATACACTGTCGCTCGTCCGCAGTCAGTCGCGTCTCACGAGCAACTCCTCAACGAACTGAAGCAGAGCAATCCCAGCGGGACTTACACCCTCATTAACGCCGATGTCTCCCTCATCTCCGAAGTTGACAAGGTGGTTGAATTCGTCACCAAGAAGGAGACCAAGCTAGACTTTCTCATCATGTCCGCCGGATTCATGGCGTTCGAGGGCCGTTTCAACACTCGCGAGGGCTTGGATCCTTCCATGACGACACGGTACTATTCTCGTATGCGCGCTGCGTCGGGACTGCTTCCTCTTCTGAACGAGGCCAAGAGCCCTCGCGTTGTCTCGATCCTGGCTGGAGGACTTGAAGGGTCCATCAAGGAGGATGACTTGGATCTGCGCAAGCCTGGAAATTGGGCCACCTGGCCTGCATCAGTGCAAGGGGCTACGATGGGGACGTTGTCTCTGGAGATAATGGCACAGGAGAACCCAAAGGTCAGCTTCGTGCACTGGTATCCTGGCCCTGTGTCGACGCCCGGTCTGGCGAGGGCCAAGACGTTTGGCATGTCACCGCCAAGTGAGATGAGCCAGGATGAATCCGGTGAGAGGGCTGCCTTCTTGGCGACTAGCGATCGTTACGCTGTCGAGGACGGGGGAAGTTTGATACCCATTGTCGACGGCCTCGAGACCTCTACGAAGTCTGGCGGAGGTGTCTTTCTCATCGATCCTAAGGGTAATAGCACCGACAACGAGGGTGTCTTAGCTGACTTTAGACGGAGAGACGTGGGCCAAAAGGTCTGGGAGCATACGCAGAAGATCTTTGCCGAATGCCTCGCCTGATGTGTGTGTTCTTACTAGAGCTCTTTCGGCTCAGCTCGAAAGTTTTGATGGATTCTGCAATAGTTCTCTGTTTATAGATATGAATTAAGTCTAATAGCAACCTTTTCAATTTTGGTTATATTTAGAGAAATATTGATGCGTTTTCCTCTTCCCATAACGACGATGGAATGCTTCCGTATATTTCTTCTTCTCCCGCAAGCTAGGCAAAGAGAAAAGTAGAACGCCTCTTATCGGAGAACCTTTTTCGTGATGTCTTTGACACAAAAAGACTTTAAAGTAAGTGCAAACGCAGTATGAACGGATCAGATATTTCAGGAGTTGTATACCTGTGTTAAATTGTCATCGCAATTTCTTGGCCTGCATCTAGTGAGGCTGTGCCTCTGAACGCGTTCATGGAAACTGGCTTTCAAATTGAAAGTCGATGACAATTGGTAACACAATCCATCTTTGCCTCTTCAGAACCAAGCCAAGCCATCGAGCCAAGCTTGACAACCATTTGTCAAGAGCCGAGTCTGGAGGCGGGTCCGGGGCATAACGGAAATAAGCCGCTGCGGCCTCCCCGTGCCGCGTGATGTGGCAAAGGCTCGATTGCTGGTGAGGCTATTGAATGATTTGTTCTGGATCGATCCACGAAGCAAACAACGCCGAGAAAACGGGGAACCGCCACTGGATTCAGCAGTTTCTCCTTCGTCAGTTGGCCTGCTGATAGAAAGCTGATCATGTGTTCGCGCGAGCGGCACCTCGTATTGATGGCCCCATTCTAGAAGTTGTGCTACAGCCAGAGTCGGAACAAGTCTACAGCTCATAAGACATGTTTATCATGTCCTTGTCGAAAGAATCTGAACATTAAAGCGGCTGATAACACGATCGTCGTCGTTGAATCTCAGCGAGTCATTGTCACTGGCGACATCGGATAGGCCTTCCAGGAACATCGGAGGATCCACTCAACGGAAACCACTCCGTCTGAATTGAGCGAATTATTGTAACGATCGCTTATTGTTCCCTCGATTCACGGTGCTAACGATTCATTGGGAATTACGGGGGGATGAGGTCATACTCTAGGCGGCTAGCCGAGCCTTTTTTATTTTTTGTTATTTTTTTCTCTTTACCCGCCCGGAGAAAATTTGTTTTCTTCGCGATCAAATCTCTGTTGCCACGTCGAACATCCCACCCCCACCTGTTCTAGAACCCCATAGCCCACACGCATAGTCGATCGAAAAGTTCAGTAAAGGGGCGGGGACGCGTCAATCTCATCTTATCCGTACTCTGGCAGGCAAATTATTGTTCGATCATGGAAAGACTGAGGTGAAAGCAAGTTGTCGATGTGAGCTGCTTCATCACCGAGGCCACACCGATCTCACTCGCTCTCAATCTCACTCTCACCCTCGCCCGATAACCGACCGTCCCGCTTCGTCGACCCCTCACTCCGGTTATCACACCGCCGCGCGCATCCGATGTCAGCCACGACTGAGCCGCAGCGCGAGCGCGAGGTTCAGCGATACCTCCAGAGTTGGCAGGTCGCCCAGGGCTCTTCGCTCAATGTTGCCCTCAATGTCGACAGCATCGCGGCGCCCGACCTGCAGAGCACGGGTTACCAACCCAAGGCGTCTCCCGATAAGACTCTCACGGCCTTCGCACAGCTCGCTGTCTTGCGACTCGACGTGAGGCGGGCCATGGTCTCGCTGATCGACTCCACAACCCAGACAATCCTTGCCGAGGCTACTCACCATATTCAACTCGGAGACCCAAACGCAAATCCAAATGATTCTCAAGACACGGTAAACAGCACGAATAGCGACTTATGGCGTACGTAGACACCAATCTCCGGAACCACCGCTCGTCCAACATCCCGGCATTGCCACACTTGTGTTTGCAAAGCCTTTCTCTCTCCTGCCACTTTCCGTTAAAGATCTTGTGATACGAGATATAATGTGCATTTGTAGACTAGCTAACCGTAAAAATTGAATAGTCGGAGCCGCGATATTGTCACGTCCGGACGCGGTCTGTGAGCATGCGTTTGTGAATACCTGCACCGCGAAGAACTCAAAAGATCAACCGTACACAGTCCCCGGTCTCATCGTCCCCGACTGTCGCCTCGACTCCCGTTTCAGTACCCGTCCCTATGTGCTTTCGGAGCCAGGAGTTCGTTTCTATGCTGGCGTGCCTATCTTCTCCCGGAATGGTCATCGCATCGGTGTCTTTGCTGTGTCCGATGAGCGGCCGCATGATGGGCTGACGATTGATGAAATCAAATTCATGCAGGTCACTGCTCAGACTGTCATGGAGCACCTCGAGTGGGCGCGGGACCGTGTTGACCGGTTCAAGGGTGAACGTATCGTGCGTGGGTTGGCGGCCTTCGTGGAAGACTGCTTCACATTTAGTGACGACGCTATTCCGACGAAAGACGAGGACCCATCAACTGTTCGCCCTCCTGAAATGCCTCTCATCTCTTCAAAACGCCCGTTGTCGACGGCCAACACCTATTTTCGACATGGCAGCTCAGGGTCACCGCGGTCGTCGCTGTCATATCGTCTGCGAAACCAAGCGCCAGGTTCTCCTCCCCAATCGCCGCCTCGGAACAGACAGGTCCCAAGATCCAAGCCCGACAGTATTTCCAACGTCTACCACCGCGCCGCCGAGATCCTCCGCCGTGCTACACTTGCGGACGGCGTCGTTTTCTTGGGTGCCACTACTACGACCAACAGACAGTTGAGCCGGGCTATGAGGACAGGGGGATCAAAGTCTTCCGACGAAGATGAACAATCCCTTCCCGTCACCTCTGGATCGGAAGGTGTTGGTCTCGACAGCTCAGACTCCGACACGTCGCCAGCAGCCAGACCTTGCAAGGTCTTATCCTACTCAATAACTGACGAGCGCGTACGCGCTGGCATGGAGCAGGGCCCTCCTCTTTCACTTGGTACTCTTGAAAAGTACTTTGCGATGTTCCCGATGGGGAAGACCTTGTCATTCACAGAGACTGGAGCTGGTGTTTCTTCGGAAGACGATAGCGCGAGCGACCGAGAACCCATACGAGTTGGACCGCTCGCAGGGGAGAGATCCACTGAAGGCCGACGGCGCAAGGTCAAAATGGATCATGAAGAGCTGCTCAAAAAGATCCCCGGCGCCAAGTCGGTTGTCTTTGTGCCGCTCTTCGACTACAGCGAGGACAGGTTTGCCGGAGGCTGCTTCTTGTGGACGTCAGTCACCGGCCGCATGATGAACCTCGACCAAGACCTGTCATATCTCCGAGCCTTCGGAAATAGCATAATGAGCCAGATCGGACGCATCAATACCCAGAAGAACGAGGTCGCGAAGACGACCTTCATCGCCAGCATGAGCCACGAGCTTCGGAGTCCTCTGCACGGAATCCTTGGCTCGGCGGAACTGCTGAAAGATACTGAGACGGACACCTACCAGTCAGGCCTAATTACCTCGATATCCACCTGCGGAAAGACTCTTCTCGATACTCTGAATCACGTCCTCGACTACAGCAAAATCAACCGACTCGGCCGCGCGCAGATGAGAAAGAGTGCAAGACAGAACAGACCTGTAGTCCTCTCTTCAGACTCATTAGAAAGCTTGAGCATGACAGCGATGGTTGACCTTGGCGTCCTTGTCGAAGAAGTTGTCGATGCTATTGCAGCAGGACACGCTTTCAAGAAACTGGCCGGTGCTGGTGCTTTGGGGCCGATCAAGCCCGTCAACGAACGCCTGGAAGGTCCTGTTACGATTGGCAAGTACCAAGGACCTGGAGGTGAAGGCCCCGTGTCGGTCTTGCTTGACATATGCCCGAGGACATCCTGGATGGTGAAGACTCAACCAGGCGCTCTCCGGAGAATTATCATGAACCTTTTCGGCAACGCTTTGAAGTACACCTCTTCGGGATTCGTTCTCGTGTCACTCAGTGCCTCTTCAAAGGGAGATGGCTCGAAAGTCAACGCGTTGATAAGAGTCACCGATACCGGAAAGGGAATGTCCGACGATTTCCAAACAAATCGCCTGTTTGTGCCCTTCAGCCAAGAGGATTCTTTCCAGCCCGGGACGGGTCTAGGCCTGAGCATCGTGAAACAGATCGTCGATTCTCTCGGAGGTGCACTCGAGGTCAAGTCTCAGCAAGGCACGGGCACCGAGGTCGACGTGCACCTTCGTCTGTCGCCAGTCAACGATGAAGCAGCTCATCAGCCCGATGAGGCAATTCGATCGGTCGTCGAACACACCAGAGGACGGCGTTTGGTGCTCCTGGACGGCGACGAAGGACTTCAGCCGCCCGCATTCGATCGACAAGTCGCGAAGCTCAACGAGGTGATAGTCAACACTTGCACGACTTGGTTCGGCATGCGAGTCGAGAAAGAGACCGACGAGAACCTCTCACAGGCGAACATGTTCTTATACTGTGAGCCTCCTCCAATCGAGGCACTTGAGCGACGCTTCCAGAACCACGACCCGGCTGCCCAAAAGGTTCCCATCATCATTGTCTGCCAGAATGCCGAAGAGGCGGTTCAAATTTCACACAACCACACCAAGATATTGGGAGAGATGGCGCAAATTGTGGAGGTTATCTCACAACCGTGAGTCATCGTCATTTTCCACGCCCCCTTGAGTTTACGTGAAGCTAACTGTCTGTTAGATGCGGGCCTAGAAAACTGGCTAAAGTCTTCGGCAACTGTCTGAAGCGAGCGGAAGCTGCGGCTTCCGCAAGAGCTGCAGCCGCAGAGAATCCTTCAGTGGTCGTTGCTGATGCTGGGCAAGAGTCGACAGACTCACCGGTTTCTGACGGTGTATCAAAACCCGAGGACCACGTTGTCGTGCACCATGACCAGCCTCCCCGAGCTGTTAAACGCGAGATTGCCACAACCCGAGCACTGACGAAGTCAATGGAAACGATAACCGTCGATGAGATCGGCAGCGCGGACCTGGATGGGCAGAAAAAGAGCAAACTTCACGTCCTTCTCGTCGACGACAACAAAATCAACCTCAAACTCCTCGTCATGTTCATGAAGAAGTGCGGCTTCTCCTACGAAGAAGCCGAGAACGGACAGGAAGCAGTCGACCAATTCAAGATGGCCTCGGGAGCGCTCATCCCGCAGGACTCCTCGGAGTATGGCACGCGGCGCCGCTTCGATTTCATCCTCATGGACATCAGCATGCCCATCATGAATGGGTTCGAGGCTACCAGATGCATACGCGAGTTCGAGCGCGAGCATAGTCTCCAACCGCCAACCGTCGTCGTTGCTCTGACGGGACTGGCGAGTGCTGATGCAAGGCGCAACGCGGAGTCCGTGGGGATTGATGTTTTCTTACCGAAGCCGGTGCGCTTTGCGGAGTTGAAGAAGCTTCTCTCGGCCAATGCCGACGAGAATCATGAGTAGCTGGTTTTCACTTGGGGGATGGCGAGTAGATATCAACATTTCTTACGTATCAAATGTCTTGACGAACAACTTATAGCACAATAAATATGGGAGGCAGCCTTTCACGCTTTCTATTCTACATGGTGGAAAGCACAGTATGTGGCGTTCCTGAATCATCGACATCGAAGGGAAGGAATCTCCGCATAGAAGATATCTCAAAGTACAAGCCGCGACACGAAAAGTGGTATTCTTGTGGATTTGTCTGATGATCGTCTGATTCCCCACATGCCTCCCTCGACATTGATAACAACATCTCGTGGTCGTTTGTTGAAATTTCCAAAAAGTACGAGAAGTTTCTAACAGAGTCAAGACAAATATCTATCCGATTGAGCAGTGCGGAAAAGTTCCAAGGCGGAGGCCTGTACTCTGCAGCGGAAAAGTCGAAAATGCGGTCGGCCGATATCAACAGTGTACACCTAGGCAAACGGTCTTGGCAAAATGGCGATGCTGCAGGGCTTGTATATGAATCTTGCTGACCGCCCAGTAATATCCAGAGTTGTGCCAAGGATTTGATGCAGGAGGGCCGGTCTAAAGAGAACCGAGAAATCCTGAGTCGTCCACTACATTGTATCTCTCTTTCTCTGTGTGAGCTCGGGTGCCTCAATGATTGGTGTATAAACTTGAATAGATTGCTGATCGCCCAGATTCGGAAGAATTTCCAACATTTGCGGTCAGTTGCATTGGAAGACGCAATTCCCTCTCCAGTCGGCTTATTGCTTCGGTACCGGCATCGTATTTGTCGGCATTGTTGTGCCGGTGGTGGGTGCTGTGTTGAAAGTTGGTGCGAATTCTCAGCCGCGTCGGAGACTGCCTACGAGCAGTCTTCTAAATCAAATACTCGACTATCAAAACGACATAACCTTCATAACCGTTTGGTGTCAAGCTTGAATGAAAGGCAAAAGACGGTGAAATTAAGCATACAGGTAAGCTATTTGGACTCCCCGCAGTTCGCTTTCCCCTGATGACTTCCCCGCAAAGCCCATGCAACTAATAAAGCAGACCCCGCAGTCCATGTTAGCTGGACCTGCTTTTCCGTCCGTATCGCAAAGCCTACCTATGGCTCCCTCGGATTTCGGCCTGACATCATTGCTGCTGTTAAGCCATCGGCCATATTGCCAAGCTGAAGTCCAATGAAAAGTGCATCTCGCGGGAGAGTATCGGATAAGCAACTGCAGTACAGTCAAGGCAGTTTCTTGGCCGATCTTGGGTCAGTGAGGGGAAGCTGGAGGACCAGAAGTTCACGATCAAGCTCATATAGATAGAGAATGTGATGTATAAATACCTGCAAACATTCATCATAATGTTACAGCCGAACTTCCACCTTTCTCTCCAGCTTCCAGGAAATAGTGAGCGTGGTGTGCTTGATATCGCATATCTAACATGAAGTTCCTCGGTCTCACCGCCGGCGTGCTCGCCAGCGCTGCCGTCTCTTCAGCCTCTATCTCTCTGCCTAATGGATGGTTCACCATAGCCCCTGAGGATAAGATTAAGCCTGGAAAGTTCAAGGGAGAAGACCGTTATCTCACATGGATGGCTGATTCGCAAATCAAGCATGGCGGTAAGCCAACGGACGCCTGAGACACAACTCCCGCATTGCTAACCCCAGAAAAAGTTGAGCCGACGTTTGCTTACACCGTCTCGGCTTTCTACTCCGGTGTCCTTCTGGCCTACAACAGGACCGGTGATGAGAAGTACCGCAACTACGTGGAGCATTATGCCGACTTGATCCTCTACCCGGCGTGGGACGGCGAGATCCTGCTGTACAACAACAGCAACTCCATCGACGACATCCGATTCGGCCACACGTTCTTGGATCTATACGCCTTCACGGGTAATGAGATTTACAAGACGGCCGCCCAGACGCTGCGTAACCAAATCGACCGCACCGGGCGCACCCCGGACGGTGGCTTCTACCACCGCTACCCCGTCTACATCGACCAGATGTGGCTAGACGGCATTTACATGCTGGACGTCTTCTACGCCCGCTGGACCCGCGAATTCGAGGCCGACAACTCCACCGCATGGGACGACATCGCCCTCCAATTCGATCTGATCGACGCCGGAACCATCTCCGAGCGTGAGCGGACCAACGGCCTGCCCCTTCACGGTTTCGACTGGAGCAAGAAAGCCATCTGGGCGAGCCCGGAGACGGGCGCCTCCCCACACGTGTGGGGCCGTGCCGTCGGCTGGTACATCATGGCTCTCGTGGACACCCTGGAGCTATTCCCGGAGGACCACCCTGGTCGCGAGCGCCTGATCAAGTATCTCCAGTCCGTATCCGACGCCATTGTTGACGCTCAAGACAAGAAGACCAAGGGCTGGTGGTTGGTCATGACTCCTGGGACTGAGGGTCAGTGGGGTAACTACATCGAGAGCTCCGGCTCGTCGATGTTTGTTTACGGACTGCTGAAGAGCCTGCGTCTTGGCTATATCAAGGGAGACAAGTATCTGAAATCTGCCTTGAGCGGGTACAAGCTGATGACGGACACGTTCGCTTCAGTTCGCAAGAGCGACAATGCCCTCACCTATGGTTGGACTGTTCAGACCGGCAGTCTCAGCTCAAACGGAACTTTTGAGGTAAGATAGCAGCCCAAAGTCTGTGTTCTCAACGCAAACGCTAACGATCAATGTAGTACTATGCATCAATGCCCTTGTTTGAGAACGACTTGAAGGGAACTGCTCCGTTCCTGTTTTCCAGTTACGAGTATGAGCTGTACTTAGAACAGAAGTAACTGAAGCACAATGACATGTATATCTAGTGGATGTTGCTGCTTTCCATGTAGAAGACTGTGTATACACTCATTGTTTCAATGAAGGGCGGGCGCGATCGATGGCTAATCCTTATGATCTACCTGTACGGTGACCATTAATGAACTTAACACTATCTGTCGCAAACGAAAGGCATACCTACTCGCATTTGATGTCAACATATGACCCACTGGGCCCAGGAAAATAACAGAAGGATGCGTGTTCCCCTGAAGTCACATAAGGACTGGCCGACAGCACTGGCTGATAACCCACAGACAGAGGAGTTGCCCCAATGGGCAGAAAGAAATTTGATATTATCAGTTTAGCCGTTCAGCCATTCAGCTTCAATGTTTCGTGTTGACTGGCTAGAAGCTATAGGTTCTCTGCAGGTTTGGTGTCGGGAAGCCCGCAGGATGGGCTGGTTCGGGCCCAGTCATTGTACGTATCGTGAACTTGGAATTGCATTCGATGATACCAACTCTCTCACAGAAAGAAAAGGTAGGTCGGCACATATTTAGTGTGGTGAGTCCTGTCTATCGATACAAGGCTTCCAGCTCCCTTCAGGTTCTTGTCATTGACGATCCTGCGACAAACGGGGCAGCACTGTATTGTGGGAAATATCTTCGTATCATACAGCATATCATGAGATGTTAACAGCACCTATGTCACGCGATTGATGTCCTCATAATAACTGGCGAGTAAGTAATAATTTACCTCAAGGTACTAGTATAGAAGCTGTTAATGGACTATCTCCTAGGCTAGACACTGAATGATCGTACTGAACTTCTCAGAGAGAGACTGTCTTTTCAATGGAATACTCCACCCTGGCCTGTATCATTTTATGGCCAAGATCCTTACCCTTTCAATGTATGTTTTTCCAAAAGCAGAACCATCATCAAATATTTCAACTCTGTGAAAATACCACCATCGCTGCCATTGACGCTTTCGCCGGTTTCTTCAGCAGAGCCATCCTCGATCATCACAGCCACATCCTGCACGATCAAGCGAAACAACACGCAGAAAGTCGGCGATGGAATAATTGTCCCTCAAGGGCTGAAAACAACCATCACGCCTTGCCTTGTATATCCCATCTCGTTGCTTCAGTCACGAAACTTTGAAAAAGAAAAGGGAGGTATGGCAGAAGGTAGCTGCAAAGCTTTAAGTTCCTCAAAAGTGGCATGGGAACCTCCCAACTATAAGGGCATATATATCCCCAACCTGGACACTATGCCCAAGCACCTGCTGCCTTAGGACTTGCAGTAGGGCAGAACCTGGCTGCTGGTGGGATTTGGGAAGAGGGGGGAGTATGGCTTCATAGATTTATTAGGGTGATTCAGCCATGCAAATAGATGCACATGGTAGCATGTCTTCTTCCTCGTCTATGTGACAAGATGGGCGCCAATCATGTATATAACCACGCATTATTATGAACCAAAGAAGGTCCAGTGCATACAAAACAGGGTAAACGTGTATAGATATCAGCAAATTGACACCGCTGAATGAATGAATTCATCAAGTCAAAAATGTCTGCCTTGATATTCTCGGGATATTCCTGTGATTCTTTCCAAACCCATTACCCCAGTCTTACCCTCAGCGTGCACATAGGTCTCATAGTGAACGGATCAAAAGCTTTGTGTAAGCCTTCTGAGTAGTATTTGCAGGCTCCTTGAGAGCAATAGCCATGGCTGCATGTAAACTCTCACAGATCCGCATAGTAGGCATTATCCGGACCTCCGACAACATTGTCATCCGGGCAGCCGTGGCGATCAGTCAACTCCGGGATCGCCGCAGGCTCGGCCGCAGGGCCAGTAGCCGCCCTGTACAAACACAGATATCCGCTGGACAATAATTGAAATACCAGCTCTATGAGCAGAGACCCATCAAGTTGTCCGACACTCCCTCAGCTCTCGTGCCCCGTACAGACTGAAGAGGCCGCGGATGACGTAGATGTTCTGGCGGCACGTGCTCGTCGTGCCTGTAGCCATTGCGGTCGCCGTCGTAGGTGTGCCGGGGATTCCCGGCGGGAAGTTAAAAGAGAACACCGGCATCGAGGTGCCTTGCGGCGGGAGCGCTGAGGTGGTGCAGTTGCCGAGTTGACATTTGCCCAGGCCGCAGAAGTCGGTGCCGGTGCCGCACTCGCCGTCCATGTTGCAACAGTCTCCCCACTTACCGGCACACTGCTGCATTCCATGTGCCAGGCTGCACTTCCCGTCGGTGGTGTAGACGGTGTGGCCGGGGCAGATGCCCTCATAACAAGTACCGTCAGCGCAGTCCTCGCTTGTTCACAGTCAGTCTCTCAGCCATACAAGCGAGTGGAAGGATAGTGGGAGAATAATCCTATTATTCCGGGTATGTTGCTTACAGCGTCATGCCACACGTCCAGGTCTCTGCGTTGCAGTAAGGAGAGTTAGAGTAGGCGTACGATGTATTCCCGAACTGGGGACCGCAGTGGCTGTCTTTGTTTCGTAGTGGTTCTATCCCTGATGAGACTAATCTCTTTAGTATTATTACCCAAAAAGGTATACTTACGTCTAATAAACTAGGGCGGGACTTCTCTTATAGCTATCGGTGCAATATTTAGTATTGGGCTGAATGTTGCTGTAGTCGTTGTTGATCTCTGGGTTTAACTTGAAGAAAGTCTTGACGTCAATCTAGTGGAAGTCGGCTAGCTCTATGTAGGTGTAGTAGTTAACCTCCTCGTCTGTATTACCCCAGGAGCGATAGATAAGTTCCCTAGGGAGCACATTGCCGATATCCTGGATGGCTAGAGGGTAGGTAAGACTGAACAGGTGTTGATTGCTTTGAGAAGAACGCACGGCCGGAGACGCAACTAGATATACCAAGTTCGGCCTGGCCGACGACGTCATAGAGCCTATTATCTTCATGCCTTCATGTTTGGAGACAGCGACCAAATCATCCAACAGGCTCCACGACTGAGACACTGCCAGCGGTGCTGTCAACGGTGTGAGCTACAACAGCTCGCCATTACTCCGAAGCTCCTCTCCCACTTCATCGCCGGGTACACAGGGGTTACACGGCGATACACTACGATTAGACCATCTCGACATAACTCCTATCTATCCCGCCCGCTTTGTATGACTTGAGGTATGTGTGTCTTGCATCTCAGCTCGGCTGTTACGCAAGACCTAGACCATTCCAAGCAGACTATCGCTGCAATACTGCAGCGCAACATGTGAGTGAAACCTCTTTGACCCACTGACCATGCGATTGATTCTAAACTAGTAAAGAGATCAACGGAACAGAACTGGCAATCGCCGCAGGAAAGCTAGCAATGTGATCTCTGTACTCCACGGAACACTTACTCAGGCAGATGCGCATTGAAGGTTACGCAGATATAGGACCTGGGTTAGGCAGATGTACGTCGGGAATGAGATAGTCACTTTCAGGTCCCAGGCCTCAACAAGACTGCAACGCCTCCAGACATTATCCAAGGCGCGTGTCCGAGATGCCACAGGAAAAGGGTGAGCTGTTGTAGATTGTTGACACAGAAACAATTTGCCGTCACGTTTTGTGGTGAGCTGAACTCCTGCGGGAATCCGAAAAGATATATCTTGGGGCAGGGTTTCCAAAGAGGAGGCCTGTACAGCTTTTAACTTGATATGCCTAGGCACGTATCTGATATGCAACGAACCAATAGCGTCAACGCCACCAAATGCTGGGGTTCGAATAAGGTACGATTTCATATGGAGTGCATGCTCTAACTCCAACGCGTGCCGACCCCTGGCCCCCGTCGTGATCGTCCGGCGTTTGCACAGTTAGTACCCGCGGCAGCGGCCCGTTCATGCAACCAGGACTTGGTAGCACACATCTCAACGGTTGAGGTCGAGTGAGACCAGAACGGATCCCGTTACGAATGCTTCCCCGCTTCGCGTCAGCCCGAGCTCTGTTCTTTCAAGAGTACGAACTCCATCTTTCGAGTCAGCACTGGGGAGCATGTCGCCAAGGGCGGGCGTTGGCAATTCTATGCTAGCTCTCGGGAGAGGTATTCATCAAAACATCTCGAGATAACTAGGTTCTACTCGAATAAGACTGGTCTCAGGTAGTTACATAATCTCCTAATTAGCTGAGATGCTGCTTTTGTCACTTTTGTTTTCACCCTCATCAACAGCCATACGCTTTTACCCATATCGTTTTTTTAACATATTATGTCTAAGCATATACCCGGTTATATAGTATAGAATCATACGTAGAAACATCATCTGCGGCATCTTGATGCTGGATTGAGTAGACTCCCTACTCACCAATCACCCGCACATCCAGCTGTTGCACATACCATCCCGGCTGGTCCAAACCATACCCGGCCCTCCCATCATCCCCATCTTGAGGCCTCAGGACAGCCGGCGTCCCCTCTCTCTGGCCCAGCATCGGAAGGACTTCATCAGGAAAATTAACGCCGTTCCTCGTCGTCGCCAGCACGACAAACCGGTCGAACGTGTCGGGCTGGGTAGCGTCGCGCACCTTCTCTGACGGCCCCATCGTGATGAAAAAGCGCGTCGCCGCGTTAGGCGGCGTCAGGATGAGCGAGGCCCGCGGCCTGGGAAACGTCCACATCACACGCCACGACGGCTCCAGGTCCAGGAACTCGACGTACACGCTGTCCATCGACTTGTTTCGCACCTCGATACCTAGACTTTGGCCTGCCAGAATGTCGACTGAGTCCAGCGGAACGGGTTTGAGGTCCGTCGGTGGGTAGTAGGGTTCGTTGAGTCCGGAACCATGCGGATTGGGGGGTCTGACGCCCTTGTCGAGGTAGCCGATTTTACTGACTGTTAGTCCTTGCTGCGTTGCGTTGTTTTTGGCCAGGTCGAAGAGGTTGTAGAAAATTGTGAGGTGTTCTAGGTGGGATAGCACGTCTTCAGGCTTTCCTGTGATTCCGACCTCGGCCTCGGATTGGTTTGGGACGAAGGAAATGGTGAAGTTGTCATCTTTTCGCACCAGCACGCGGAAAAAGGCCTCGCCGGCGTCTTTGAGCTGGACAAGCTTGCTCTCGCGGCTAATATAGTCCCGGACTTTCTGGACTACTGGCTCCGTGCTGTCGTCCTCAGCCGAAACCCAGAGCCCCTTGCGCCGCAGGACGTGGTCCTCCAAGATGCTGCGCAGACTAACGGCCACGCAGTCGCGCTGGACCTGCTCGAGGTTGGCAGGGCTCGGTTGAGTGTGCGCTTCACAGGTGACGCTCTCCACAGAAGTCACCATACAGGTGGCCAGCGGCGCCGTGTAGTCAGCAAGGCTGGCCAACGTTCTGCCGATGGGATAGATGGCGAAGACATCACGCTTGTACACGCCGTGTGCCACGCCGGCAGTCAGTCTCACCTAGATGTTCTTGCTGCCCACCAACGTCTCGACGCTGGTGACGACCACGGCGGGCTGCACCACGCTCTCAACACCAAAGAAGAGGCAGTCGCCCTGGCCGCCAAACACCGCGTCCTGCTTCTCCCGCGTATCGTTCCGCTGGCGTGTCTCGAGCGTGTGCGCGACGAGGTTGGACACGGCATCGCAGCTGAGCTGATCTGCCCCTCCGTTTTGCGCGTTAAGGACGCTGGCGAGGCACTCCGTGAACAGCCCTTTCCGCACCGTCGCCTCAACCGGTACCTCCTTTGCCTTTTGCAGCGGATCACACGCAGCGAAAAAGTTGATCCCCTTGGACGCCGTCATCCAGTGCTGCACCACGCTCGCGCTGCGGCCCCCGTCGTTCCCGACGTTCCGGGGCAGGCTCCAGGCATCTCCTAGATCCTTCGCAGACTGGATGCGCTTCCGGATCGAATCGGCAAAGAACTGGTTCGGGATCTCGTTGGACCCCCGCACCCCGTCGTCGCTCCGCGTGGCTCCGCCTGAGTGGCAACAGTCGAGCACGAAGGTGACCGTCGCGCCCTTGTCGGCTATCTGCTTCAACAAAAACGCAACTTCGACATCACGGAGGCATTCGACCATGCCGTCGCTGCGGGCAAGGACCAGGCACTCGTCAAGGGCCACGTGCTCGCCCTTGAGGTCTCGGAAGGCGGTGTTCAGGCGGGAGCCGTGGCCCGAGTAGTGAATGTAGATGAAGTCGCCGGGCTGGGCGCCGCGGGCGAGGGTCTCGAACTCTGACACGATGTTGTCCAAGGTTGGGAGGAGGTCGTTGGATGGATCCCGCGGGGAGGTGAGCTTGTTAATGTTGGAGATGCCTGCAACTTCAGTGAGGAATTTCTCGGTGGTAGCCACATCGGAGAGGCAGCCGCGCAGGTCGGCCAGCCCTTGGCAGGTGTATTCGTTGATGCCTATCAATAACGCTGATTTCCGGCCTTGGTTGGATTCCTTCACCGTGGTGTTCGGCCCTGAGCGTAGGTATCTATACGAGGGCTTGTGGCTACTGGGCAGACTAGTGGGGCGATGAGTTGAAGAGTGAGACAAAGTGAAGGATCACGAATGGGCGGACGCGCAGATTAAGTACTTGACAACTTGTGCCATAAGGTACATATAAAGGAGAGCATATTCCATAACCCTGGTATCTTGACGTTTATATCCGAATAATCGTGTTTAATAGCAATCAATAGATAAGTGGGAATCATTTGATATGCATTTTTGTGTATTTTCTTTTTCTTTTTTTCTTTTTTGCCCCTTTAGAGGCATATAGGCGCAGACGAAAGGACACCCACCGGGATGTTCTCGTGCGCCTATCGCCAGCAACTTGGAGCCTCCGAAGGAACACGTAGGTACATGACGTATAGACAAGATGGGTCGAGGGCACCGTTTGGTGATTGCCGGTGTGGATGTGCTGATAGAAACTGAGCATCACGGAGCAAGCGGTAATGCGAAAGGATTTACATGTGCTCACCTTATCAGCCGCAAACTGTGCCCCGCTGATCACTTCCAGATATAACAACCCGCGCATGGCAGAACACCAACTAATGCCCGACAGCTGCAGCTGTCTTCTTTTGTGTGGTATGTGACTGATGCGATACCGACTCGAGACAACTTGCAACGGATAGCTACACTCAAATTATATAGCTGAATCTATGCCCGGGACCTGTACTTGTACCTGGTCTTTAGGAATGCCGGCCGTAAGCAACCATGTGACTATTACCCCCCGCTGCGGCTTGCTGCTTACCGCTTTTTCTTGGAGGTCTGCATGAGGCCCAATGTCTGTGATAATCACGTTACACTACTTAATGCTTGGGAGAAGCTGATATTGGAGCTGTAAACCGTCGGACTGAAAAGAGGGGTTTCTGGAGGATAAAGATGGAGGTGGAGGATGGACACATCCTGAGACCCCTTGCCCCCCAGGCCTTAGGGAGATATCTGTGTGAGTGGTCCTGGCTTGATGATAATATACCAGTATGGCCTTGGGAACCTGAGAGTCTTAGATAAGTGGTTGAATCAATAATTAGCCTTAGTTATTGTCATTGATATGTTTTAATGTACGTCCATAAAGAGAAACCCCTTTCAAGTATATGAAAACAGAAAAGCGTAGTATGATCTAGCCTTGATACTTTATTGCTGATTACTCCGTTTAAAACACCAAGATATCTAACGCCTGAGTCCGAGGCGGTTTCGATTTCTTCCTTGATCAATGCTGCGCCTTGACTCCATTCTGAGAAGTATCAGAACCACGGCGTATACTGGATGTGTCAATCCTGAGGCTTGTTAAGCGTCTCTGCACACACTAAAAGTATTCATGGACGCCTGCCTTGAACAGGAAACCCGACGACAAGGAGGCAGGGCAGCAATGAGATATGCTCTCGAGCACCGTCGATCGACTGGCCAAATGACTCACTGGTATTTCCTGTCGTTACTCTAGATGGCAAGCTGAGCTCCGCATCGATGCCACAATGCCGCAGTATGCTTGACAATGAAATGTGGAGCAATGTCGGGGAGCGGAATCGAATGTCGTCTGCAGATCCAGCCAGCCACAAGCATGCACGAGGGCTGATTACCGGCAAGGTAGTCAAGCATCATCAGCCAGATTTGACCTCCTGGGGGGCTCGATCGACCTGATGGGTTCATGCTTAGGATTGGGTGTGGGGGAAAGATGCAGGATACCCGGCGGGAGCGGCCCGGTAATGGGCCATGTGGAGCCATAGACAGACCCTGCACATGCATAGAGCGCCACGCTGAACATCACCTCAACCGCCCTCCAGACGCGTGGGGGATCAGATGGCTCTACGTGCCTGGGCCTGTGGCTAGCTGAATCTGCCAAGAGTAGACAGTCTCGCCCGATTGCGCGGAGATCGCGCTCTCGGCGGGAATTCAGAATATTCTCCTATTGGGGTCACAACCACAAAGAGGAGAGATCCGCAGGCTTAGGGCAGTCACTCGCCGTTGTTTCTGTGTCGTTCTCGCCGCTTAAAGGGACGCGTCACACGTCTCACGCTCGGCCGCTGCAAGGTCCCGGGTTTTCGAAAACGCCGGCTGTGATTATCCTAGCGCCGACTTCCAGACGCAGTTCTTGCCAACCATGGCGAGAAGCCCCGAGGAATTGCAAGAAACCGGGAACTTGGCGGACGCCGGTCAAGATTCCAATGACTTCTACTTAATCAAGAGCTCCAGTTGCGACTGGAGTCTGAATGAGAGATTGGTATGAACATACATGTAACAAGTTCAAGACGCAGGACCCGGTTGATCTCATGCTCGCGGGATTATACCTTGGTATAACCGATATTGATTCTTCTGGCACGTAATCTTACATCTTAGGTCACGCCTCCAAAGGCTCGAGCAAGAAGACAGAAAGGTCTGACGATATAATGGCGAGTAGTGGAAGTGTACTGTTTGGTTTGCTGCGTGGCCTGCAGTTCTCACAGCTCTTGTATCTATCTACTATATAAATCAGTAAAATAAGGTATCAATATCACCTCTAACCTACACTAAGAAGCAGTAGAAAGGTAGTAACTATAGAGCATCTATCTATTAACTATGCTATAGATGACTAGTACTTATAGCAACAGCCTTAGCTAGCAAGGTCCAAATCGAAGTTTGCAGTAAGGTAGTTGTGAGTAGCAACTCCACGAAGGCATCAGCCGTGGCAACTAGAATCACTCGTTACAAACCGAAGCAACCAACCAGCTGCCTGCTAGCATCCATCAGTGAGGCACATTGGGCAAGCGCCTGCCGATAGCAGCACCGGAAATGGGCCTCCCTGATCACTGAGCCTCAACACAGCCAAATCTTCCCGCCTTCCAATGGATGATCCTCGTTGTGGTCCGCTAGGACGACCGTAGTGATTCGCCCTACAATTTCATATCTCGTCGCTCAATATCAAACACAGCATCCCTTCCTTGATGGTTCGGCTGCAAAAGCGAGAATGATGTATACCGTGACATGGTGGAGATTTCTAAGATAGTGTAGCCATCTGATTCTCACGCTTTCGCGTCGATGCTCTGCAATACAACTTCTCTCCAGCGCTCGTCACTTATTCATCGTTCCGTGGTCTGGCTACGTCTGTAGGCCTCACACATGATGGAAAATCGATTTCTGGTCTGTCGACATAGTATGACGCGTGCTCTGCCTCTCCTCGTCTCTTGCTTCATCTTGAAGGCGTAGCCGGTGTACCGCATAACACCCTAGAATCTGGTAGGAAGATTCTGGCAGAAAAAGGCACTGAAGCAACGCAGTCACTCATATTACTGTCAAAGAACTGAAATGTTGAAGGTGGGATGTCTTAGTACGCAGGAATGGCGAACATATTGTTTAATCTAACTACAAGATCCCGCTCGAAACGGTCATCAACACCAGCCCTGGATTCCGGCAATGTTGACCTGAAGATGCCCCTGGTCGGTGGGGAGGATCTCGCTCCCTTTGATTGTGTCGTCGACTTGCCAGCAACTGTCGAAGATGAGACCTCCGGTACGAGCAACGTTTTGGCTCTAGAAATTTCGGTGAGTTTCTCAACGTAACCGAACCCCCGCGCCACTAGGCTTGTTACTTACTAATTTGTCGCCTGGGCTATAGATAAACTTGTGCTAGCAACAATCTTTGCGCCTCTGATGGTGTACATCTGGATCATGAACTTCTCCTGGGGAATGATGCATATAGTCCCCTGGGCGCCCTTCCTAGTAAGATCTTCTATATAGGCCGCAGCATCCCTTCCCTATAAATAATAACCATTATGTTAGCATAGGGTTCTTGTTTAGGGAATTAGTGAGGGTTAGGTAGATGGAACTGGAGTAGCCTTCTTGGAAGGCTGATTGCATCTGGCCCTCTAATGAAGCCCGCTAGTAGTACTAACGATGTTAGCTGTATGAGCTGCTGTAACTGCCTCCTCTGCGGTTAGAGCGGTATTGGGATGGGCGATAATATCCTCTACCCATTGCGCAAAGGAAAAGGTCGTCTCAGAGGTTGGGGCAGGCGCGGCTATTGCGGAGACGGCCATAGCCGCAGAGAAAAGGGTGGTGATAGGCTTGACTATTATGACTGTTTCTGAGCGCCGGCTGGTTCTCAGAGTAGTGATTCAGGATCTCTAGAGGAAAAGAAAGGAGATAGGCCGACCCTGCCTTTGGACGCAACATTTTCGTGTATAAATACTTGCGTGCCGCGCCCTTGAGGGACATTGCAGGTTCAAAGATTCAAGAGACCGCAAAGAGAACCAACAACTACACTCACTTAAATGCTGGCCGTTGCATCCCGTATGGCAGTGATAGCGACTTTAAGCGAATGCTAATGAAATCCCACATGAAGACGCGATGAATAAGTCAATGATCGACCGCCGAGAGCAGGATGTGCTAGCGAAGCAAACAAGCAACAGCAATCGTCCCTGCTGTAGAAGCGAAGTCATGCTACGGAGATCCAGAGTAAAAGACGAGTGAAAATGCCCGGGCGGAACATGAGACCCAAGTTCACCTACCGAATCGCCCGAATGACGGTGCCTATGTTCTTAGCAGACCGCACACTGCGATGCATTGCCTCTGCAAAGCTGACGATAAGATGTTGCTGGATGACTTGGTCCCAATCAAATATGAGGGGTGGCCGGGGGCCTTGTCGTGCCTTCCTAGCCCTCAGCCTGATCCTCCAGCGCGCTCAAAGTCCCGCCACGAAGGAACGTTTTGCAGTAGTGTCTTACTGGGAATAATGACATTCTCTTGGAGCTACCAAGGGAAATAGTAGTTCTTGCCCCGTTGTTTAGAAAAGCGTAGGTCATAATGCACTGGTGAGATGAAATAGAAGGCCGTGATTTGCTTCACCTAGATGGTCAGTCCTCCGCCTGACCACATGTTGAACTGATGATATACATGCGTTTCCGCGCGTATAGCTTGCAGAGCCAAGTGCTGGGCACCCGTACTGCCACCTTTGCGTTTCCCACAGGAGGTGTGGCAACCGATGTTGCTGGACGTTTTCTAACACTTCTGAACTCGAAACATTGATAAACGATTTAAGTTTCTCAGTCCCCAGTTTTGAATTTCAAGTTCGCTTTTCTTTACCTTTTTTTTTTCCTAACCAAGTACCTTACAGTTTCTCGCAGTTGATGCGATATCTGTGAGGCAGACATTTCCGAGTCTGTAGATGATGTTCTCAATCGCGACTTTTCGACTTGTTACGAACCATCGTCGGTACTTTATGTGGTTCCTGTGGTTCTTTTGGTCGTAGGTCTCAACGTGAGTTGACGTCGTTCAACTTTGAGGCTACAAGTCGAGGCTACACTGAGTTCAAGCCCTGCGCCGGAGGCGTTGAATTGGCTTGCAGTGAACTTGTTTCCTGAAATGGTCATGTATTAAAATCTAATTCGCGGTCTGGCCCTGGATGAGTCAACTTCAGAAAAGGTCTTCAGGCAGAAGGCTGCTGTGGCCCTTGGTACGTGGCGTCGCCGTGGCTGATCTATGTAGGATAAAGTTGGAAAGGGAGTAATTGCTACAGGAGTTTCACGATCTCAACGAACTTGCTTGAATGAAACTTTTCGTCGTCGCGAGGTTTCTATTCGCAAGGTCTTGGAGTCTTCACGTCGGCCGCATGGATGTCGGTGACATTTATTCGGAGTCAACTCCGTTATGCCTCAGATGATGGCAACCAATGGTCGTGAGACGCCGCTCGGGTGTCGGTCGGTCGGCAGGCATACTTCCTTCGAGAGAATAAGGTTTTCTCAACATTTCGCTGGGCAAGATTTGGCCGACGGTAGCCAGCACAGTGCATTTGATGCCGAGATTCATTGCGCTCGGTATTTCGCCGAAAGTCAGAGAGTGGTACGATTATGGGACAGAATATTCATCGATGTTTATTGTGAATTCGTTGTCGGAAAAAAGACGCCTTGAGCTGGGATCAAGCCTGGTCTTTGGAATTGCCCGATGGCCTCTCCAAGTCGGCCGATTGAGAAGAATGTCAGACGCCAATTAAGCAGGTTTGCGCGAGCTCGCCGAGAATTAGCGGCGAAAAGGGTAATGAATCACAGCCGCAGTGCCTCAGGGGCGGCAAAGTCGAAAACAGTCTCGAACAACATGGAACGACTCGCTGCCTTGCCTCTAAAGGAAGAGACAAAAGCGATATCAATTCGAATTTCATCGAGTCGGAATGGCCGTCGCAACGTTGGCATTATCTAATGCCTTGAGACCATTCCTCTCGCCGCCTCTACATCCCACCCGATAGCCGAAGCCAACCGACCGACCGACCAGATGACGGCAGCCTCCGTGTGAAAAACTCGTATTGTCTTCTTGCGGAAGTTCCTCAATCTGACAAGATGCAACCTTCGGGGGCCGCGCGAAAGATTATTCGTCGCAAGCAGCGCGTACCCTACGTGGCTACGTCATGTTCCCAAAGCCTTGCAGCGAAGGTGGATGCCAAGCGTGAGTCGCGGTTGGTCGGCACCTCAGAGACAGTGGATTTGGGACGACCGAGAGGTAGGCCTCCCCACATATCTTCGGTTCCGCCTGGTGTGGGGACACTGTGGGGCCGTACGGTGGTCGTCCCGGTTCCGTTCCAATCAAGCGGTCGGGGACGAATTGCGCCGCATACTCGGCGTCATGCCACTTTCTCCACCCGAGGTTGAGAGAGGCCTTGGCGGGACCTAGTCCTGGACACCCTTGAAGCCTTGCTCTTTTGTCCCCCTGCTTGCGCCCGTCGCTGGAAGTTGAAACACCATTCAAATGAAAGATAAGAAAGCCGCCCAGCTGTGCCAACCTTGCCAATTGGAAGGAGGCGCACGCACCCAAGATTGTTGCGGCTCAAAATATTGAGGCTGATCACTCGGTGTCGGAACGAGCAGTGAATGATAAGCTTCTTTCAACGTCGAGTCGACAATTATGTGTGTTTCTTTCCCAAGTCTTGTTCACCTGCGATACTAACAACGACGGCCGATTCAGACCTTGACCTTGTGGATACCGTCTCAGCTTGAACCAGTCTCGATCGAGGAAATAAGACGAAAGAGAGTGTCCACAGTCCACAGTCCACACGCCATGGTCGGGCATTGACTGGCTGACTGCACGTAAAGTGGGCACGAATTTGGCATTGGGAGGCGCTCTTTGGCTGGCGCTCGATTCATTATTCATTAGGATTTCGCAAGCTTCTTAACACGCCGCCACTGATTGGCCGTGGCCGTTTGTTTAGACGACAAATGGACAAATTTTTCGTTATTATTTTCTCATTTGTGTGGAGAACCTCCTTCACGATTCGTTCGTTGCTCTACTCGCACCATTTCGGCCGGCCTTGTCTCACACCGAAGGACATACACCGTGGTCTCCATGTCATATGAATGGCTCGTTGGTTGCCTCCCACACGCGGGCAGCAAGCACGTCCATCTGTTCCCATCTTTTTCCCCTCATAAAGTGAACCCTTCATCCCCCTAAAGGTCCCTACACAGATTGGAGCCCTTTCTGGAGACTGGAGACTGGAGTTGAGATGAGCGTTATGGAGAATTATCAGTGCTCTGCTCCAAAAACCACCCCGCCTCCGGTTGCCTTAGATGGCAACTTATCCCTACTAGATAGCGGACGGACCGACCAATGAGAAGACCATCGCATTTTCGGACTCTGCGATATCACGAGACGATGGTTTTTTAGTCATTGACACCCGAACAAAGACGACACATGCCACCACGCGAACGGACGACAACCCGCCACCCGACCAATGGCCCTCCGTTTCTGCAAAAAACGCACACTAAGGCAAGGTATGACGACATTGCGGAAATATTCTCCTGCTAGCCCTTGCCTTGCGCGCCGAAGGATTGGGGCCCCCCGGCCCCAGAGTCAGGGACCGTCCCCGTCAACTCCACACGTACAATCCAACGTCCCATGCATCTTGGACCGGGTACTTCGAGCTGTCCCTGAATTTCATGTGCAGGAGCGTACGCCTAGGTTCGAGGCTAGAACGCACTTTATTCGACAGATTGCGGTGGCATGCAGCCCGGTTTGATGTCTGAGAGTGGCGGACACGCACGTTGGCCGCGGTGAAAGTTTTTTCTCGTCTTTTCCCTTGTCGACCGTCTACCGGGTGTCCCTCCGATCGGCAAGGCACACCTCTTAAAACAAAACCTTCGCCCATCGAGATCTGCTCTTTGCGCATTTTCCCATCTTTCCTCTCACTCACCCCACGAACTGACCCCTCCTCTGTCCACATGCAACCTGTGGCTTTCAACCGTTGTCGTCCTGTCTTTACCACCATCGCGGGAAGAAACTAAGCAAGCCTCAGCCTCTCCCGGGTTGAGTATACTTCTTCTTCCTCCATCATGGCCAACTCCTCCGAACTGAAGGGCCCGGAGGGCTCCGCCGGCACCCAGAGGGTCTCCCTCGACAGCTACGGCTCCTCCGTGCGGCACAACTCCGACGGCCTGCAGCGCCGTCTCGACAACCGCCAGATCCAGCTCATCGCCATCGGTGGCACCATCGGGACCGGCCTGTTCGTCACCATCGGCGAGGGCCTCGTCAAGGGCGGCCCGGGCTCGCTCCTGCTGGCTTACACCCTCTACGCCTGCGTCGTCGCCCTCGTCAACAACTCCATCGCCGAGATGAGCACCTACATGCCCGTCTCCGGCGGCTTCATCCGTCTGGCCGGCGTCTGGGTCGACGACGCCCTCGGGTTCATGGTCGGCTGGAACTACTTCCTCTACGAGGCGCTGCTGATCCCGTTCGAGGTCACGGCGCTCAATCTCGTCCTCTCGTTCTGGAGCGACAAGGTCACGGCGCCGGGTCCGACGGCGGGTATCTGCGCGGCCATCATCATCAGTTACGGGTAAGTCGCCTCCGATCCTGTGGGATTATTGACCTCCTTTTTCCTTTCTTCCTGCCAGGGCCAAGCGAAAGCGACTAGACCGACCGGATATTCTAGAGCTCTCTGTTCCCGTGCCCTCGCGTGACCATCAGGCAAACCAAGAACAAAAACTCAACTCTCTTTTTTTCTTCTGCACTCTCCCGTGGTGGTGTGTATGCATGCTAAACGCGAACCGTGTGATTCTAGTCTCATGAATGTGGCCGCCGTGGGCGTGTTTGGTGAAGCCGAGTTCTGGCTCTCCGGCGGCAAGGTCCTGCTCATCTTCATCCTGTTCCTCTTCACGTTCATCACCATGGTCGGCGGGAACCCGGCCCACGACGCCTACGGTTTCCGGCACTTCACCAACCCGGGCTCGTTTGCGACCTACATGACCTCCGGCGACACGGGTCGCATGGAGGGGTTCATGGGCGCGCTGGCCACCGCGACCTTCACCGTCGTCGGGCCCGACTACATCTCCATGATCGCCGCCGAGGCCAAGCACCCGTCCCTCTACATCAAGTCGGCCTTCAAGACCGTGTACCTCCGCTTCGGCCTCTTCTTCGTCGGCGCCGCGCTGACCTGCGGCATCGTGCTCCCCTACAACAACGCCACGCTGCAGAAGATCTACCTCAACGGCGGCTCCGGCGGCGGCACCGCCGCGGCCTCGCCGTGGGTCATGGCCATGGAGAACATGGGCATCCAGGGCCTCCCCCACCTCGTCAATGCGCTGCTCTTCACGACCATCTACTCGGCGGGCAACACGTACACGTACTGCGCGACGCGGTCGCTGTACAGCCTGGCGCTCGACGGCCGGGCGCCCGCCGTGTTCCGCAAGACGACCAAGAACGGCGTGCCCATCTTCTGCTTCGCCTTCACCATGATCTTCCCGATGCTGTCCTTCCTGCAGTGCGGCAGCGGCTCCGCGAAGGTGCTGAGCTGGCTGCTGGCGCTCATCACGGGCGGCGGCGTCATCAACTACCTCGTCATGTCCATCACGTTCCTCAACTACCACCGCGCGTGCCAGGTGCAGAACGTCGACCGCCGCAAGATGCCGTACTACGGCTACTTCCAGCCCTACGGCGCGTGGATCGCGCTCGTGCTGCAGACCATCGTCGTGCTGACGTACGGCTGGTCCGCGTTCCGTCCGGCGTTCGATGTCGGGTCGTTCTTCTCCAACTACACCATGCAGATCGTCGCGCCGCTGCTGTTCATCATCTGGAAGGTCGTGAAGCGCACCAAGTACGTCCGGCCCGAGGTCCTGGATCTGCAGTGGGACCGCCCCATCATCGAGGCGTACGAGGAACACCTCACGGTCCACGAGCCGCCGACGACCTTCTGGAGAGAGATGGTGCAGATGGTCGGCATCGGGCGCAATAAGGTCATCAAGGGTGAGAAGGCGTGAGCGTGCTCGGGTTGACGCTGCCCTGTTTGGTAATAGAGCGGGCTTTTATATAATGAGTAATTATAGACAAAAAATAAGTTCATCACCAATGCACGACTTTATGATCACGAGAGTTCTTTGCCAAAGTCGGGTAGACGCACGCGTCTCTGAGACTCAAGTTAACTCTGACAATCAATCTCGACCATCGGCTTTCAAACCACGCGCTGACTCGCTTGCATATCTCACAAACTACGACTCTCCAAATATCTCAAAGTCTTGCGACGCGGCGCATTCCATGGTTGCAACAGCGACTGAATAAAATCCGCTATGTTGACGTATGAGATACCAATTGAGCAAACAAACTAGCGTATCTTCTAGCTGGGTAGAATACAATACGGGATCACCGAGTATTTGCGTCACTTATCTTCATCGGCCCCGAAAATCGGGTGCGACCGGGGATTAACTAGGCCCGAACTGGCATGCTTCTCACAACTCAATCTATTTTTCCATCGTCGTTTTCCATCGTTAAAGGAAGTCCGGAACACCTCGCCGCATGCTTACCTGCAGGGCCATGCGGCACTTCACTTCCGGGACTGAGCTCTCGGGCGACGAGCGGGAACAGGTGACCACCAGACATGAGCTATTTTACAAACATCTCGTCTTATGCCCGTTATTTCCTGCCCCGAACCAATGAGGGCCCCAAGTGTCAGCAATCATTCCCATTCGGTAATCGGTATCAGCATGCATGCGAATTCGTCTAAGCTTGCTCGACCGAGGGCCAGCTCTGTAGGCAGCCACAAATGCAAGACGGGTACTGGTGGCTACGCAGCTAGCCGCCGGCCATGATCTCACAATAAAGCCCGGCCGAGTCGCGATTTCTTGGTTCTGCGGCTAGCCGATGCTTTGTTCAACTATATTTCTTGGATCTTACCTATAACAACTTATTTTACCCGTTCCAAGCTACTATCTTTATCCACTCTGAACTGCCAGAGTGTCACATCGTCTCATCACACCAGACTCACTCGACAGATTCCATCCACCATGTCGCAACCCACAACGATCGGCGCCGCGCTCCCTCCGGAGTACTCCGCAGACCCCGCCAGCGTCAAGGAGACGCTGCCCCCGGACACGCTCCGCTTCGCGGGCCGCTTCATCCACTCCGCCACCTCCGTCAACGCCGAGTCCGGCCTCTACGAGATCAACTGCCAGATCGACTTCCTCCGCGAGACGGACCGCAAAGTCGAGTTCAGCCGCATCGACTACAAACTAAACCGACGAGGCGCCGGCGCCGCCGCCGCCGACTCCACCACGACGTCCGCCCCAGAGATCGTCGCCTACCCCAAGCACGCCTTCAACATCGAACGCCCGCCCCTGGTCCTGCAGGAACCCTTCGCGTACTACCTCCGCCCCGTCTCCCGCAGCGGCCTGGGTCTGATCGGGATCCGGTTCGCCAAGGTCGGCAAGAGCCTGTGCAAGGCGTGGCACGTGAGGAGGAAGGCGGGGTCCGTGAGCGAGTACGAGATGCGCGAGCTGCTCTTCGACGCGAGGATGAATAACAAGGTGGTCGACTGGCTCGACGGGTCCGGCGCGCGGCTGGCGGTCGAGGAGGCGAGGGACGGGATGTACAGTCTGAACATCCTGACGCCGCTGGATCGGGCGCAGAGGGATGCGCTTGTCGCGACGTGGTGCGTGAGGCGGTGGGAGATGAAGGCCGTGGAGTTTCATCAGAAACGCACGTGGAGAGATAGTGAGTTTTCGTCACGGCTGCTGGTTCGTACGGTCGCTAACATGCTGCATAGGGAAACACATCATGGAGACTTGCACCCAGGGCTTACCGGGTAGAGGGGAGGGGCTTGCTAGGTAGATGCGGGATCTGGATCACGACTAAAATACCGTTGATACCCCCTACGTACGATTTGTCCCTTACCTGCGCTGTCTCGGTGCCAGAAAGCCGATCGGGCCCGAGAGTCTTGAAGACGGACCCAATTTTCCGCTCGGAGCTTCCGAGGCCGATGACGGCGGTGCTCGGGCCACTTCACCGGCCATCTCCCGGCGAAAATTTGCATCCGTAACAAAAAACCACGCTCACCACTCTGACATCATCGCCCCCCGTTCCCAGCGGAACATATCAGCATAGACTCCCCGTAGTAATTTTCCGTCTGAAACCATCCTCAGCAACACGCGAATTCCCACCCCCCGCATTTTGCACCGCTCACGCGACTCAGCGACACTCACACTCACTCACCGAACCCGAACCGAACCCCTGCCTGGATCATCGCCCCACGCCCGGAGCCGATTTTCTCATCTCATCGCAATCACACACCGACCGACCACCATGGACGGACCCTACGCCCGAGAGCTGACCGTGGCCATCGCGGCCATCCAGCACGCCGCACGGCTCAGCCGCCGCGTCCTCGTCGCCTCCGACAAGGGCGTCGTGACCAAGGAGGACCTCAGCCCCGTCACCGTCGCCGACTTCGCCATCCAGGCCCTGCTCACCTCCACCCTGCACGCCGCCTTCCCCGGCGACAAGTTTGTCGGCGAGGAGTCGGCCGCGGACCTCCGCGCGAACCCGGACCTGAAAGAGTCCGTGTGGGCCCTGCTGCAGCAGGTCGCAGAGGAAAAGGGACCGGACTCGCTGTGCAAGCTGCCGGCGTCGCCCGAGGAGATGTGTGAGATGATCGACTGGTGCGGCCTCGGAGACCCCTCGCCGACGGGCCGGTTCTGGGTATTCGACCCCATCGACGGCACCAAGACGTTCGTCCGGGGCGAGCTGTACGCGATCAACGTGTGTCTGATGGAGGACGGCAGGCAGAGCGTCGGAATCGTGGGTCTGCCGCTGCTCTCGGCGGACGCGAAGGCGCCCATCAACAACGACAGCATCGACCCGACCGGCACGGGCAGCATCATGTTCGCGGTCCGGTCCCGGGGTACCTTCATCCGGCCGTTGCCCGGACCGCTGGACCTGCAGCCGACCCGGATCCCGCGGCACGCCGACGGGGAGCACCACGAGCTGGTGTCGGTGACGTGCATCGACGGCTCGGACTCGGCGGTGCCGGGGATCCACAGGAAAGTCGCGGAGCGCCTGGGCGTGTCGTACCCGGGCAACGACCTGCTCGGCTGGGTGCTGCGGTGGGCGACGCTCGGGCTGGGGCAGGCGAACTGCACGTTCTGGGCGTACCGGAGGCGCGACCGGTTGGCTAAGATCTGGGACCATGCCGGTGCGATGTTGTTGTTTGAGGAGGTCGGCGGGAAGGTCACGGATGTGGACGGGAACCCGGTCAACCTGACGGCGGGGAGGAAAATGGTTGCAAACTATGGTTTCATCGCAGCGCCACCGGCGGTTCATGGCAAGGTTTTAGCTGCTGTTAGAGAAACTCTGGAGGCGGAAGGGCATCTTGAGCTGTTGGGCTGAGTGTGTGTGCCGCAAGGTATAGACGAGATGGATCAAGGCTACAAGATGCGATACGTGTTAGACGATGAACTGGATCATAGACGGCGCATGGGAATAATATTTCTTTTCTACTTATCTACTTATCTACTGACTCGTGAGTTTGTGGACTAGATGTTGAAATATTAGTTCGTTATATCAGACCACAAAGATGATGACGGCCCTCCCGGCCCGGACGTTCTTTCATCTCGGCATGAAGCATCAAGGCAGTAAGCACACCTTCACAACGAGCATTCCATTTTTTGGCTCCGAGTAGGGCTTATTCTCGCAAATCCCATTTGCTCTCAGTATACTTCCATTCATGGCTGTGGCTGGGCGAAACAGCGGGAAAAGTGATGAGATCTAAGTCGGGACCGCGCCCATCGTTCAAAATAGGTCTGCCATTACTGAACTTGATGTTATTTTGTTGAGAATGGGCCCTGGATTAAGGGCTATGGCCTTGGACAGCGTCGTAGCAACGAATCGGGTAAACTGCTAAAGCTCCTTTCGAGCTCACGGCACCAGTCCATGTGATTTGAGTCATTCAGTGGCATGCGGTTCTCCACGCCGTCAACATTGGGGCCTAGTCAATACTCCTAGTCATCCGGATCCTAGTTGGAAATCCGTTGCCGCCGGCAGAGAGATGTCACGTCTTGGCTACATCACAAGGCGGCTTCCCCTGCCCTTTAATGTCAATGGAGTTGCCCCATTTAGCCTCGTCGATCCAAAACACTCAGTTACAACTCACTGGAAGCCTTTGAAACTCGCCTGTGATCATCAACAGCAGTCCTCCCATGCATTGTCTCCCCCCTGTTTCCTGTGTCAAGTCTTACATGAGAAGTGTTCTGGGCTGAAGACCAACTATGTCCAGGCGGCTTTTTAATGAAAGAATTTGCCGAAAAGTATCTAAAAGCCTACCTCCCGAGAGTTTGATTTGGTCCACTCGCCCATTGTCTACACGCGGATTGCCAACCGTGGACAGACTTTACGAAGTCCCACGCACAGCTACCGAATCGCCAGACGACTCGCCTGCTCTGATTCTTTAGCACGGGAGTTCGTTCCACGACAGGCCAGATAGGCTGATCATATGCAGTTCGAGGGAAGGGTATGCGCACGCTTCTGTACCAAGTAAGGTAAAGACACCCACCCGAAGTTACCAGGGATTTCCGCGTCTACAAACCCTGCGATGTATTGTACCTGCAGAAGGGGCCCCGCCACCAATGTGCCCCGGTATGCAGTAGTAGCTGTCTGAAGCTCGTACCATTGGCACAGTCATCACAACCTTCTTCAACTCTCAGGTTCCATGTAACATGAATGTCATATGGCTTGAACAGCACTCTCTTTTCCCAAGCTGCCGATTGCCCCGACTCTTGGATCATAACTATCTAAAGAACTACTAAAGCCCTGTATTCTCAACTTCGTCAGTCGACTACCTCTTCCCCTTCACCGAGGTTCTCCCGAAACCGGGACCGAGATGTAAAACCAAGACCATCCCAGTTTCACATCATCCCGTTGAGGATGGCTACACTGTAGAAATCACTACAGGAGTCTTCATATCCTTGTCCGAACTGTACATCCTGTCCGGCTGGTTTTACTCAACTTGATCATATCGGCTATCTTCCTCTTTTCTTGTAGGCCCCTTTCGATTATGGGGCAGTCAACAAGAACGTTAATGATTGACAATCTTCGGTCACCTCCTGACGCGGCATGGTCCACAGCTCAATATCTCTGGTGCCACTGCAAAGCCTGTTGCTCAATGCAGTGGTCCGATATCAACATCGCATCGACAGCGCATACTGAAATGGACGGAACCTTTTTACACCCGCGGGGATCGGGAATCATCTATAAATGTAGCGCAGACGGCGTCGAACGAAGGGGGATGTTTTCTCACCAACCCGCACCCCGCTACATCTCAAAAAAACACTTCGGTCTTTTCCTCTCACTATCAAACATATTCAAAATGAAGGTTTTCAGCTTCATCCTCGCCCTCGCCTCCGTCGCCGTGGTTGCGGCGCTCCCCCAGCAGACTTGCGACAAGTCCGTCTGCAAGCAGCGCTGCGAGGACGCCGGCCAGGTATGTTCATCTCATAGTTCCGTCCCACGATCTCTTCGGACGGCAGCTAACAATCGCGTGCGCGCTAAAGCAACTCGACGCCGCCGACTGCTGGGGCGAGGCCCCTGTCTGCGCTTGCAAGTAAGCCGACAACATGGAGTCCCAGGAAGTGGTGGAATACTGGGGTTGAACAGGCGACTCGGCTGAGGAGCTGCATGTACTCGGCATTCTAGCACCTCGCTCAGCGTCTGGGGGAGGGAGTTTGGAACTTGGCCGTCCCCGTACATGTACTTCGGCAAGTTAGAACGTGAGGTTTCGTCAGAGTTGAACATGGGTATCTCCTGCTGAGAATTTTTACAATGTGATGCGTGCTATTTGTATTTGACGGGTTCTACCGATGCTCCTCGTTTTATGTGTTTGTGACCATACGCAGGTTGACGGGAGTAGGTCTCTTGGAGTTGTGCAAGATGGGCTGGACCTGCTGACGCCGCGAGAGCTCTCAGCGACAGCGACAGGTGTTGTTGCGAGTGTTTCCACTTACAAGGCTGAAATAAACATTGCCGGAGTGGTCGACGCCGGTACCCAGGCGTAAAAAACACGGAAACCGCGCAAGCCACGGAGCTAGAGGTTTGACAGGCTCCAGCTACGATGTACCAAACTAACACGATGACAAGAGCCACCGCTAATTTCTTGACTGTCTGGTCAGATAAGCTCCCACTTGCGACTTCGGTGATTTTTATGAGTTTATCCTCAATTTATGGACGGACTGAACACCTGGGAGATTGCTAACCATCTGGGCCCTCATGACATCGCCAGTATCACAACTTGACAGCGGCTGGTGCATCGAGGCGAATATGCGTCTCTCTGGTATTCTTTCTCTGTTTTCGAACGGACGCAAACCGGTGTCAATCCTGTCCTGAAGCTTCAATCCTCGACACTTCTATAATTTCCCTACTTTCAGAGGATTTGTAGTGACTGGGCCTTTGTTAAGCCAACGTCTGGCTTTCTGACTGCAAGTTCAAGCTTCCATGATTCTAATAGGATTGAGGCAAGGTCATGCCTTGACTTTACCAGGACAACAGTTCTCGTAGGTCCCAATCACCTCTTGGCCACTGCCCCTCGTAGCAGTCCGCGTACGCTCCGTGAGCGCTAGCAGGGCGGCAAGGCCAGGATTTAGAGTCTTGTCTGCAGATTTATTACCTGAAGTGGCAGAGCACTGTACGAATACAAGACCAGGAGCCATGACGCATGGCAACAATGAGCGGAAATCCCCGACAGCGGGATCTGTCTCCCGTCATTTGTGGCCGAGACTTATGCTCAAGCCTTGTGAAAAACGTAAAGGCCAATGAAAGATCAGGACATCCTTGGACTTTGAGTGGAACTATGCGTCAGCCGCTTGCATGTATCCCTGACCCTGCTCCAACTTGCGGGGACCACTTCAGAAGCCCCCTAAAGGCACCGAATGTTCTTCTCCTATTGAAAAACTCCTATTGCGCTGGGGATTGACTATGGGTTTGATAAGTAACTTCGATTGATTGTAGGTCTGAATCGGCATGCTAGCTTATTGTTGACGCGATGCTATGACTATCTGTATAGTAGCAGCCTAGGTACATATATAAGCCTGACTTTATTGCATAGTTCTCAGTTGAACTACAGACATTGATTTATTTGAATTTATTATATGCCATGAAAGCAAACAATCACTGTACTGAAACTTAGCCTAGATCCTAAACCCGAGCAGGACATCACGTGTACTATCTCAGTAATACTTCTCCTTCCCAGTAATATCCAACCTCTCCGTCGACGTCTCATCATTCAACACAAGCTGCACGTGCTGATCCCTAGCCCTCGCCCTCACCGTCTTCTTCCACACGTCCGGGGAAGTGACTCCCGCACCAGCGTCCGCGAGATCGGCATCCCTCGGCGCGGGCGTCTTGAGCGCCAGAATGATCAGATCCTGCAGGTCCGACCATGGCACCACGCTGAGGAGACGCAACTTCCTGCCCCTGCCAGTCAACTCGATCGCGTGCGCGAGCCCGACCGTCAGGGCGTAGAGCACCACCGTGCCGAGGTATATGTACATCATGACCTGGGCGAAGGTCAGGGTCTTGCGCGGCCGCCCGGTTCCGTACCCGTACCTCTCCACGTCGAAGTCGAAGTTCAGCAGGCTGGGCAGCAGCTCGTTGTTGATGTCGTCCATCGTGATCGGCCTCGGCAGGGGGGTTTTGTCAAAGTTCCACTCCGTGTGCGTCTCGTTCATCGTCTGGACGGAGAAGTTGCCGCCCGTGGCGCCGTACAGCGCGTTGAGATCGACGCCTTTCATGGATGTGGCGTCTCCTTCGAGCTTGATCATCGTCGACGCCGGCGTGCCCGTGCGGGCGATGCCCTCGGTGAGGTAGACGCCGAATAGCTTGGACAAGAAGGACTCGGCCTCGTCGTCCTCGCGTTTGGTCAGGGGCACCACGGAGTCCTTGGTCGCGTTCGAGGCCAGGCCGCTGAAGAGGTCGACGAGTTGGAGGACGGCCGTGGTCGGGTTCCGGCGTGTGGAGGTGTTGAACTCGGGGTCGAGGTACTTGAACCAGCTGTCGTCGAATCTGATGACGCGTGCGTTGTCGGGATGTGCTTTGAAGACGGATCGCATTTCCGTTTCGCCGTTGAGGCTCGAGTACAGAACGTCGCTGGCCTTTGGGTCCAGGGAGAATTCCGAGGGGACCCAGCTCGCGAACAGGCTGCATGTGTAGATAAGGTCCTTAGCTCGGTCGGTATTGTCGGGAACCTGACCGGCGATCAAGACCACCGACGAGCTTTGATTTCCGTAGGGGAAAAAGCGGGTGGAGATGTAATCTTTGTCTCTCGTCTTGTCGTTCCACCAGGTTCTATCGAACGGAGGAGGATTGCCCTTCAGCGTTTGGCATTCCCCGTCATCGAAACAGCTGAGCGCGTCCGTCGGGTAGACCATTTTCTCCTTGGTGCTGAGAACGACAGTCTCCCTGTACACCTTACAACTCGACTGTACGAATGGCTGGTAGATTGGCTGGTCCTTCTCCCGATTTTCGGAATCCGTGCGGTTGACGAGCCGAGCTTTCAAATGGTATCGAGGGCTGCCATGCACGAGACCGACGTCGGTACGATCGATGTACTTCTGAACGAGGCCAAAGCTGATCATGAAGAAGTTGGACGGCGTGGTCGAGAGGACGGTCTTTTGCGTGTTTTCGGCTTCGGTGTGCACCAGATGCCGCCTCAGATCCGTCGAGGGAAATTGGAAGGTAAGGTTGTTCTGCAGATTGGTTGCGCCGAAGCTCTGCGCCCAGTTCCAAATCTCGGAAAACCCGCCAGACGGACACCACGACTGGTACGTTCCCTCGGTGTACAAGCACTCTGATATGTCCTGCCATTCAAGAGTATCATTAAACACGGTCGGCCAGACTTGCCCAGCGGTCGAGTCGTAAAAGATTGGCATATTGATCTTGCTGAATGCTTTGTCATGATCCATTGGAAACCACCCTGGAGTCGGAACAAGCAGAACCGCGGATGCTGGGCCAACGATGGTGGACATGAGCGTGGCGAAGAAGAGATAAGCCACAAGGATGAACTCCCAAGAAACGAGTTGCTTCATCCCCTGGTGTCGAAATGGTGACGACGCGAGGTAATTCAGATCACCGACTCGATAACCGCCGGTGAGGAAACCCAGGCGAACACCGTCACCAACCAGTCGACGACGAACCATCGAGATTGCAATCGAGGACAAGGAAGCCACGATCAGGAGTTCGTGAATTTTAGCCGCGAACTGCAAAAGGTTGTTGATGACATCGGCGCTGATTCCTTGCTCAGGAAAAGGGCCGCTTTCGGGAAACCAATACCACTTCTCGAGACTGATCCAAATGATCACTGCCGTGGAAGCCAGCGCCGGGATATGAACGAGCCAGCCTTGGAGGTATCGGCGCAAACTCCGATGCGTGATCGGCTTTGGTACTCCTTGAGAGTCGAACGGGTTTTCTTTTGCGTCGCTTTCGAGCCCGGAACTGCAGTACGGCTCAACGGACATGATGTAGTCATCTTTGGGTTTTGAATTAGATCGTCGTCTGTCGTCCAGGTCGCCAGCTCCGACGTCTATGCTGGCCTGTCGATGAACGACTGAGTCGTCAAGCAGAAGAGGCTGTTCGAGCGTGGTTCTGGCACCGGGCGGCAACGGTCTTCGCCGCACAGGAGCAGGCTCGATCGGGTCGTAGGCGATATTGTTCGGGTTGAAGTATTCCCCAGACGCGACAGCGTCCTGGAAAGCGCCGTCGCGTGGGCTCAACTCAACTGAATCGTGAGAAACCATTATGTTGCATGTGAGAAGGAGACAAGAGGTCTGTCGATTTCAGACGAAGAAAGAAACCGAATCGAATGGCCTTTTGGTCATATTAAAAGACTTTCCCGTGAGAATCAGGCTGGCTGGCCGGCTGTGGTCTTGAAGCATGTTCCCCGTCAGCCAGCCTGTGCTGGCTAGTGCCGATTTCAGCTTCCAGCCCCTAGTTAGTCCAACGATTGGTGAGAACGCTGCAGCCTGCCGATCGACCCAGGCACTACCACTCGCATGACATTAGCGAGAGAGGAAGATAGTCGGAACAGTTGTATTTTGACCAAGAAGAGTCCAACGGATGTGACCCTCTGTTTGGAAGCCGCGATATGCGAGATCTTGAAGTTGAACGATATGAATCTGTAGGAAGGTCAACCGCGAACCACATGCTTGTTCGTAAAGAGTCAAGACGAACCGGAGAATGTTTCCAAGACATACTGGACGCCAAGGCATTTTCACTGCGATTTGCGATGTATGATTAGCCATTGGACTCGGTACTCGGGGAGTTTTGCTGACTTGAAATGCAGAGAAACCGTAAGAGGATACTCGTAAAGCCACAACGGACCAAATGGCGCGATCAGGTGGTTTGCTCCGACTGCACCGGCAACCTGCATGGTGTCGAGAGAAGGCTGGGCTACTGCAGGACGGTTGCAACCATTCGGCCAACCCTTTCGAAGGTCGAGTCCCAATCTGTCGAGGGCAGGTGATACGAACACCGCGTCTCGGGAAGCCGCAGTTGTCGGCGTTTGCTTGCTTGCAGACACGCTTCTCCTTGCAAGTCGGTCTGCCTTGCACGAGAGCAGGCAAGGTGGATGAGGAACCGTTGTCTTTGCCGGTAAGGCTGTGGAGGGCCGGCAAATTTGGAGTGAGACATTTCCATCCCTGTCGAAGCTAGGCACCGAAGTATCGGCAGAACGACCTAAAATAGCAGCAGTTCTTATCTTCAGCCCCGAAATGCCAAGACAACACGCGCTGCTTCCGATCGCAGTGCTTCCTAGAAGCTTGTCGACAGAGGTGGCAGACTCTGGCATTGCTCTCGCAGCCTGTTGGTGGACAAAAGCGCAAGTTGTTTTTCAGCGCCGGCTGATTCGGCAGCTGGCAATACTCTGTAGATCGACTGAGGTATTTGGGAAATTGGGAATTCATTAATGCTCTTTGTTGACAGCCCAGTCCGTCGTCAGCAAGGTCTGAAGCGACTCCTCGACCTCCCCAGGAAACCTGCGTGCTTATATTAGCGTTATCCCACGACAAGGATTCAGCTGATCGTCCCTGGCAATCTGACGATAAGTCTGATGCGACCTCGTAGCCTGATTCTGCGCGACCTGCAATCTACTTGCGAGGCACCGCTCAGCCAGCAACACCGCACAGGATGCCGGCCTGATATCAAACCAATCTCATTTGTACCCTAACAAAATACAGGCATATCATCCCTCCGAGTTCCCAACACCGACGCCGTCACAACCTGTGCCTGACCGTAAATGCAAAGAGGACCAGAACGAGTAAATGGGGTATTTCCTCCAATTCCAAGAGCGATGCATCCTTGCTTCCCGTTGATCTCCAACATAAAAACGAAATGCTTTCCTACTGCACGGGCACGAAGCCCTCTCCAATCCTTGCATAGTCGTTGCGCTGAGCGAGGCTGGGGATGCTGGTCAGGTCCTCCAGAGGAGTCTGGTTGGGCTCGCGTACAAGCTTGAACTGCTCATACAGCCCGCCTTTCTGGTTCTTCTTGGTGCCGCACCGTGTGATGCGATAGAGACCGTCGTACCGAATGCCGCAGTCAGGGGCCCAAGCCGCGTACTTGCCCTTCGCACTTGCCTTGCGCAAAACGCGGAGGACTCTGCCGCTCTGGTAGGAGACGTGGAGCGCAGTGGTGCCGGCGGAACGCGGCGCGCATTGGAGAGGGTTCGTGTTCTCGAGCGCGCGCGATCCCGAATAGTAAAGTACGTCGCCGTGGTCCTCATCGACGTCGTCGTAAGTGCTAGTTACGATGACCGAGTAGGCTCCCTTGTCCTTGCGGCTGTGGATACCGCCCTCCGAACTTCCATGCGCGCCGCAATATACGGCTCGGATTTGAGACGCAAACCAGTTGCCGACGGCGAGACCGTTGTGCCCGAAAACAGCCGCGCTGCGCTGCTCACTCTTGTATCGTGGATCGAAACATTGTGTTTTTCCGTTCTGGCCCGTGAGAGCTACACCATGCATAATGCTGCGGATGCCCCAGATTGGATGGTCGACGGGAGGGAGACGAACGGAGTAGCCGGCGTTGTCGGAGGCGGGAGAGCGGCGCTGGCGGCTGCGACCGTTGCTAGTGGAGGCGGTGACTGCGGCGGCGACTGCGGCGACTGCGGTATCACCATTGCTAGTGGCAGGGGAGACCGCCGGCTGCACGTCGGCCTGCTCAGCCCAGTCATGAAAAGCCCGAGCGCGATCTTTGTCGTCATCCGAGAAATAGAGCTGAAGAGGAGCTTTTTGGTCGTTGTAAACGATCTGGAGACCACCCTTAAGACGGGCAAGGGCAAGGTCCACAGAGACCAGCTCGGAGGGAAGCGTATTGGGGTATGCTTGGCGGCAACGCTCCAGATAATCGAGGAAATTGGCGAATTCTTGCTTCTTCTCAGCAACACGCGGGCTCACTTCGTCCAAGGCCTGTTTAGACCAAATCCCAAGCAGACCGAGCACGCTTTTGTTCACCCATTGAAAGTATTTTCCGGGAGTCTGCTCTCGGGGCGGGGCGGGAACGGGGCCGGCGGTAGCAGTGGCCGGGTTGGTGCTGGTGCTTTCCTCCGGGGGCGTCTCTGCAGGGGGCGTCTCTGAAGCCATGGGGAATATCTTGAGATCCTCTCCTACCTGAAGAAAAGTAATATTAGTAAGATTTACTAAATCTGACATTCAAATCATCGTTGCTGACCGTAGTAGTCGATAGGTGGGACTTTTGACTGGTTTCTGTCACCTGGGGCCTTTAACCTCACTAATTTGGCCTGGCCGGGAGCGGTTGCCGTGGGTAGGTCGTCTGAGGGCCGTTAGTAGATGACCCGGAGGTTAGGTGCGCAAGTACCAGCAGAGTGATCCGAGTCTAAGGTCCAGGAATAACCGCCCGACTTATTTGTCGTATATCGCCTCTGACTTGGGCGAATTTTGGACAGACGGTTGACGTCCGTCTGTGAGTGTCGCGTGTGAAAGTTGTGTAAACAAGAGCTGCAGGTTGAAGCTGGCATCGAGGTCAAAGTCCCACTTTGAAGGTGGGTGGGCCAATGGACGTGCGGGGTCGCGATCCCCACCTTGCGATGCCGCCCACTTCACTAAGGTAAAGATGGAAGGCACGATCCGCTCAACGGCGGGGCGCACCTGCCATCTCAAGGAACCGAACTTTAATTGGCGATTGCCGTTGCGGCTAGATTTTGAATCTTCCTTTTTCTTTTTTTTCTCCCTCGGAATTCAAAAAAGAATTTTGACTTGATATCGGAGAGCGACGACTGAATCTCCAGTGAAAATGTGTACGAACTGGAGATGACTAGAAAGGATCAAACTTTGGCGAGGAAAGCTAAGACCCATGCCCTTATCAGGCCGAAAGACCCCGGTTTCTTGACTTTCATTATTCAGAGCTGAGTGGTCTCACTGGATCAAGATTTAGACACTATAAGTATTTGATTCAAAAGCTTAACTGATATTTTAATGTTATGTAAGCTGGCTGTTTTCAGAGGGCTTGATGTACCTAAACGGGCGACTCGTTGGAATGCCTCGTCATGTCCAGATAGAGCAGAACCAGTGTCGTTGACTAAAGAATACGTGGGGTCTGTGGACTGCCACGATCATCGAATTAGATATATGGCCGAAGGGTATCAATAATGTCCTCATAGTTGGGTGCTCGCAGCTTGGTTACAGGGTTCGCGTTTTGGTCATTGAACTAGCCGTTAATCACGGCGAATCTGTTCGAATGAGGAGCCTCCGTCTTCGTCAGCCAGCAGGCATCCGAGGAAAGCCTCAAATCATACGAAGCTGCGCTGGCATTTGCCGGCAGCTACGCCAGGTGATGGGGCGTTGCGCAATTCAACTTCGAGCATCTATCTTTGAGAGAATACCGAAACGGGGGGGTTTATATGCCATTGAATAGGGATAAATTGAGGCATAGCACTTCTCCCTCGAACGTAGTCTTGTCGATAATACGGGCAGAGTGGAATATTAACCGTCCGAAGTCAGCCATTCAGAGCCCCGGAGCACCTTCATTTACAGAATAAATGGATTCAAACCGACTTTTGAATTTTCTCGTCCTAAACAAGGTGGTGAAATGTCCCCGTACGATCTGGAAAGAAGTCTGACAGAGTCCGGAAGCAGATCCCGGCTCCGAGGTGGGGCCGGCCGAAACGGCCCGGTCTACCCGGAGACGGGAGGCAGACCATGGAAGCCGGGGAACTCGGGGTATTCTGCGAGCTGCTGACTTATACGGAAAAATACCGGAATGCAGAGATGATGATTGGGTCTGACATGCCTATCACTTCGCGGTCTAGGTAAAGTCCGCCGGAATCTGTAGCACGCCATCAATTCAGACGATGGTGAATCAATGGCGTGCGCTGCAAGCGAATGACGCGAGGTACTAAAGTGGATGGATTGTCACATCGGCCCCAGTCCTTTCCTGTCTCTCACTTCTGAGTCCAGGACCAACTAAATTTCGGCTCTTCATGGTAGATGAGGCTTTAGAAGAAGACTTAGCATGGTGCGAAACATCAATAAGGTTGTCTAAATATTCCGATGAATTACAAAGCTTTCCCCGGGAACCATGCAACAATAGCTTAGCGCAGGATGCTTTATTGGACACATTAATAGGAACAAGATGCATGCCATATTGACCAAACCTTTGGATCTCCTCGGAACACACGCACTCGAAGGGTCTCACTGGTTAAGCAAGATGTCGTCACCTCCTGTGGGGGACTCTCGTTTTACCAAAGGGGAGAAAATTGGAGTCCCCGAGTTCGTTCCTGCCTATGGACGCTCGGTTTCGTTCATCACGTCTTCGACGTATCCTCCACGACTGCCGCCGAAGCGGCGACCGGCCGCCCGGTTCTGTCAACAGGGGCTTCGGTCGCCTCCCGAACCCCCTGCGTGAAGACTTTTATCACTCCTATCTTAAATACAAACTGAAGCAGTCGTTCGTTCGTTCTGTTTGGTTCTGTTCCAGACCTGCTGCTGCTGCCTGCCCCCCGTCTTGCCGCCGCACCATTCCTTCTTTCTCAAGGCTCCGGACAGAATGTCTGCTCAGCAGGAACCGGCAATCAAGGCCTCGCCCTCGGGGTCCATCACATCTTCGGATCATGCAGGTGTGGACTCCAAGTCGGTGGCCGACAAGGATGGCGTCTCCTCAGTCCCTCCCACCGCGCCTGCGTTGGCAACGCAGCAGACGCAGCGCATGGAGGCTGCGCTCGGCGACGCTATTCTCCGTTTCTTCAGGATTCGCAAAGGGCCGAAGCCCAACGAGTATGATCTCGACGCTGTGAGTTTGTCCGTCGAAGGGGAGTCTTGTTGTCTCATCATGGCTGATGAACTTTCAGATCGCGACGCAGCCTAGCATCTGGGATTCTGAGAACATCGAAGAGTACAAGGAACTCTACATTCACCCGCAATGGGAAAACAAAGAGGCTTTTGACCCTTCGTTCCGTTGGACATGGAGGGAAGAGAAGCAGGTGCGACGAAAGATTGATTGGAAGATCATGGTAAGTTCATTCGTCTTGTGTGTTTTGCTATGTGACGATGAGACTCGAAGCTTACTCGGTCAGGTTTGGTGCTGCACCATGTTTGCTGCCTTGAACATTGACAGAAACAATATCAACAACGCTGTTTCAGACAACATGCTTGACGATCTTGGTATTACCAAGGGCGATTACGTGAGTACAACTCAACATGTTCCTTCTTTGATAATGTTCTCAGCTGACGTCGTGCAGAACATCGGTCAAACCATCTCGCGAGTTGGCTTCCTCGTTGCCGAACTCCCGTCTCAGCTCATTTCCAAACGGTTGGTCAATCTCGGGTCATGATATCACAACAGTATTCTAACTGACGCAGTATCGGCCCGGATCTGTGGATTCCCATCCAGATCTGCCTGTTCAGCACGGTCTCGGCGTTGCAGTTCTTCTTGAAAGGAAGAGCCTCCTTCCTGGCGACAAGATATCTGATGTGAATACTGCCGTCCTTGAAAAGTTGAGATGCGACAACTGACTGAGGTAAACCTCAAAGTGCTACATTCCAGGGTGGATTCATTCCTGACACGATCTTGTACCTGAGCTACTGGTACACTGGCACATCTGTGAGCCGCCGTCACTCGACCACGAACCTTGGGCTCCTTCTGACGTAACTTCACAGCTTCCGATTCGACTGGCCTGGTTCTGGATGTCTTCGCAAATAGGTAAGCGTTTGCTGTCATCAACCCAGGATGGTCTTGTCGTCTAACTTGCCCATTCAGTTGACATCGGTGTCGGATTTGCCGCTGTTGGTCTCTTATCCATGCGAGGTATTCTTGGTTATGAGGGCTGGCGCTGGATGTTCTTGATTGAGTAAGACGCCCTTTTCAGAACTTCCTCAAAGTTTCCCAAGCTCACCTTTCTTCGCAGGGGATGCTTCACCTTCACAGTCGGACTCTTTTCGTTCTTCCTTATGCCGCAATGCCCAGCCAAGACGAAGAGCTGGTGGAACCCGAAAGGCTACTTCAAGGAGAAGGAGGTCAAAATCATCGTCAACTCTGGTAACGCTTCACCTCCGGCGAACCCCGAGACACGCACTCGCTGACCACAGATCACACAGTCATCCGAGATGATCCTCAGAAGGGTGGAATGTACAACCGACAAGGCCTCTCCATCAGGCAGATCTGGGAGTGTTCCAAGGATTACGACATGTGGCCCTTGTACGCGCTCGGCCTGCTCTTCGGTCTGCCGAAATACCCGGTCAACCAGTACCTGACCCTGTCTTTCCGCGAGCTCGGATTCGACGTCATCCAGACCAACCTGCTCTCGATCCCCTACATCGTGGGATCCAGCATCACGATGTTGCTGATCACCGCGTTCAGTGAGCTGGTCAACAACCGCAGCTTCGTGGCGATGGCGGAGGACGCCTGGCTTTTGCCCTGCTTCGTGGCTCTCATCGCGTTGCCGAATCCGATCGGTGCTTGGGCGTATTTTGCGATTTCGACGGTGTTGCTGTCCTTCCCTTAGTAAGTATCGCGTCGACCAGTGGCCAAGCGATCACTAACTTGATGAAGCACCCATCCTATTCAAGTCGCCTGGACAAGCAGAAATGCCGGATCTGTGCAGAACCGAACAGTTTCCGCATCGTAAGCACCATCGAACCCCGCGATGCATGAATCCCCTTCTAATATCCATGCAGTCTGTACAACATGTGGGTGCAAGTATCTGGCATGATCGGAGCGAACAGTGAGTCACTCACCTCCTTCATGGTGCAGCGTGAATACTGACCTCGAGAAGTCTATCAACCAAGCGATTCCCCGCGGTACTTCAAAGCAAACAAGGGGCTCTTGGTCATTTGCATCTGGATGTGTGTAAGTTGCGCTCCATTTACCCCAGGCGTTCAGAACGTCGAGCTGACATCGGTCTCAGTTCATCCAATATCCCTTCACGTTCTTCTACTACCGATGGCGAAACAACCAAAAGGCCAAGAAATGGGACGCGATGACTCCGGAGGAGCAGCACAACTACAGAACGAACACGACCGATCAGGGAAACAAGAGGTGAGTTCTGCTCTGCGTGACGCGAATGTGAACATTTTCTGATGCTGACCTCGCAGACTCGACTTTCGCTTTGCCACTTGAGATCATCTCCAACCCGCTGTTATCTCAATCATCTTGCGAAGGAGGGAAACTTGCATGTGGTCGCGTGCTTGGGTCAAAGGGCCCAGTCGAAGTGGACTTGTGTCATGCCCATACAGGATGTGGCCACCTTGTGCCCTCTTTTCCACGTATTTATTGTAGACTTTAAGACTATTCAAGTGCAGAAAATGCAAAGAACACTTCCAAGTCGGTGTCCCGGCATGTTGGTACCTTGAATACATGCTGGAAGCCGACACGCTCTTGCCATCCCACCGGGGGCTCGTTTCATCGTAGACGCCAAGGAACTTTTGCCTTACGTCGGTGACCCTGATCCTGGTTCTGGTCAGACTGCTGAGAGCTCTTGTCGAATGGCGACTCATGCGAACTGGTGAGAACAAGGCTAAAGCTCTTTGACCGCCAGAATGAAGCGTGTAATAATTGATATCGAGGTGGAAGCTTCAACTTTGAATTCTTCAAATTCTTGCGGCCCAGATACTTGAGACTTCATACTGGTTGTAGAAACTCAAGATACGTGGATTTCCGGCGGTGACAGGGGCATTAGCACAGCAGAACTACGGTACACGCGAACTTAACAAAGCTGCCAGTAACGGAACTGTTCTAGAAGCTTTCCACCCCGGATCTCCGCCTGGCCCCTCGTCGCACGACATCCTCGTCACATCGACGGGCGACACACGCATCCATGCCCGACAGAAAACGTGGGCTAACCGAAAGTTGGAGAATTGTTTATTCTGAGCAATATTCTTTTTTCGCTGTCGTCCCATTTTGACACGTCTCATGTTGCGGGTGCGACTGCCAAAAGGTAAGCTTGTTTTGGGACCGAGTTTCACAGGGGTGAGGGTGGTATTCTGCGAAGCTCGTATTCTCAACCTCCTGGCGAATGCTACGCCTGAAGACAAGGGCGACACTGCCGAGCTCCTTTCGAAGAGTACTGCATGCTCGCACCCGGATTATAGCAGACTCGTGAACTTATAGAATAACATTCAACAGACGGGATATAAAAGGTTGCTGAACGTTGAGCGTTCCCTCAAGTCATTCTCGCCCGCATGCTCATTTCCAGTCACGCAACGACAGTTTTTCTATTGCACGGCACTTATCTTCTCTAAATCTGCTGCGCGGATACTTTAATCATATCTACAATGAAGTTCTCCGCAATGGTGCTCACCGTCTACGCGGCCGCCGTCGTCGCTCAGAATGGGTATGTTATCTCGACCTCAAATCCATGATTGTTGGCTATGTGTACTACGAACTGGACTCGTGTTTCTCAGTTACTGACGGAGTTGTGTTCTCTTAGCTGCGGTTTTCCTGACGGACCGGACTGTCAATCTCTCGGAAAAGGTGCGAATGGGCTTGAGCAGTTTGCCGACCCTGATGGGTGCTGCTTGCTTCCTCTTCGATGTGGCAATGGAGATGGCGGCGAGAGATGCGAGCGCGTTAGCGGTGCCGCCGCTGGGAAGAAAAATAACAACAACGGAGGCGGTGCCACTTCAGGCAAGAGGAACAGGCAGAACAACAAGAGAAGGGGATCTTGATAATTATGCTTCACAAGGAAGTAGGCTAGTAGCCCATACAGAGATACTTCCATCGGCAACATTGCCTTCAGTATACCGGGCCTACCTACTCGAATCAACTACCAAACAGAGCACATTCGCGCAGCAAATGCAGTATCATTGCATCCATGGAATCAACTTGGCATATGTCTTTGCTGATCACTGCTGCTAGTTCAAAAATCAAAAATATGGAGATGCAGCATTGACATTTCATGCGGATCTTGAACAGCACAACATATTACGTGATGTTTTGAATTACTGCTCTAGCCGCTTGACCATCTCGAAGCTCTATCTTTGCCGACCCCATATTCCTCTTGAGGAGATTACTCCATGTCGGGTACGTCCACCAAACCGGTCTGAAGAGGCCCCGTGTGACTAATTCGATGGGCTGTTAGGCGGGGGCGGGGGCGGCGGAGGGATAGGCTTAGGTTTGGGAAGTCCGTTAGCCATCTTGAGTGTCGCAGCTCGTTTGATTCGTTTCTGCGAAGGTGTCGAAAGGACGCGTACAAGAGGCGTTTCCTTGCGTGCGTAGTGTATTGCTTTGCTCTGGATGCTGTGAGTGATGACAGGGACGTGGAAAATCAACAGAGGGCAGAGATATGTATGTTTTTGTAGTTGTCCAAGTGGTCTAGTAAGAAGAATTTTTGGATAGTCTTAAGAACTATTCACTTGCATTCATTTAATCCAATAACACGGGCACGAGAGGAAGATAGGAACAGGTAAATTCAATGATTCAGCTACAAATGCTCATAATCACTGAAAATTCACCGCCTCACTGCTGTCAGTTTTCATACAGCATAGGACTTTAATTGACCCCTTGGAATCAATGCCTTGCTAGAAAGACTTATTTTACTCCATCATCATCAAGACTGCGTTATCAACAAGTCATGCATGAGTATGTGTAGGCCAAATGAAATTCGCATTGAACTTAAATCCATGCATGGGTGATGAGCGTGAAAGTGGAACTGCGATGCGGAGTTCACTCGGCTTCTCAATCATTGAATTTTACATAGAAATACGGCTAATGATTCATTCTCTGCATCGGGAACACATCGCCATCTATTTTCCCTGCACCAGCTTGATGTCGTACTCTAGCTCCAGTGATGCCTTAGGGTCACCTTTCCTGTCGGTGAATTTCACAGTGAGACCGTCCTTGACCGCGAAGACGGAGTCATCGTCGAGATACTTGGAGTTCTCGTCAAAGATCTGTGTGGTGACTGACTTGAATCCTTCTGATTGAACCTGAATTGTTTAGCAATAGAGCGGCAAGACGAAGGAACCGAAGTGTGGCTCTTACAATGAGGTGAATGTGGGCTGGTCGGTAGTGGTGTCTGTGAAGAAGATCTAGAAGCTTTCCTGCCGGGCCATCACTGGGTACCTTCATCCGGTGTTAGTTGAAGACTCATTCACTTTCACGTAAGAGTACTTCGGGAACTCACCGGGTAAGGTGTAGGTCGCAGGCAGTAAAAGCCGTAGCGGCCTTCAGCATCAGTCTTGAATACTCCACGCAGGTTGTGCTCGGGCTGATCAGCATCCTGCTGCTCGTACAAGCCTTCAACAAATCAGTCAAACGCTCTCATACTGGCGGTTCGTGGGTCTCTCACCGTTTGTAGATGCTTGCCAAACATCGACGGAAGCATTCACCAGAGGCTTTCCAGTGTTGGAGTCTGTTACTTGTCCATGCATCCATGCAACTTCACCATCCTCGGGACGCTTCAGGATGATACTGCTGCCGTTGCTTCGCACTGGGGTGTCGGCACGCCAGAACGGGCCGAGGATGGCCGTAGCCGTGCCAGGAGCACCGTTCCTCGTAGCCACGCGGTTGGTAATGTCATCAACCAGCCTGTTCACCAGGTCAACTTCACTCTACTTCTCACTCAACGGTGAATGAAGGCTTACGATTCCAGTCCGATCACATCGCAGAGGAGCTGACCTTCGTTGCGTCGGTCGTTGCTCATCTGTCCAGCCCAGTTGATCATGTTCACACCCATCATCCACTCGTCAGTAGTGAGATCAACCTCACGCGCGAAGTCGTGAATGTGCTGGATGAACGAGGTAAGGACCTCACGCAGTCGGGGGTTGGTCTCTTTGCCCATGGCCGCGATGACATGTTTGGTGAAGTCTTGGCCGAGACCTTGGTACTGGCCATCTCCGTTCTGCAATGAGCCCATGATTGATACTGTTCTGTGTTGTCGACCAGGTCGCTTGAAAAGGCGGTTGAATGATGAGAAGTCGTCGTCTTCGTCGTCGAGGATGGTCTGTCGTCCGTGTTCCTTAAGATGAACTAGTCTGTTGCGCCACGTCTCGCCCTTTCTTTGTTCTTGTCCCGCAGTTGGACGGAGGATACTTATCCCAATCATCGCGCGTGTATTACTCGCCCGTCTGCTTTGTAATTGCACGTGCGCAAGCGGGTACTGCCGGCCGTAGAGTTTCCACTTTGCCGGATGCGCCCCGGTTCCGGGGTGAATGCTCCATTTCGGGTACGGGGAAGAGGACCCGACGCAAGGGGGGTTTCTGCCGAGATCTGCCACACCGTGACAACCCACGGCCCTCGAACTGGGGCACCCCGCACTCTGGATGGTCTTGTGGAGTGTCGCGCGCGGCAGACGGGCTGCTAGTCGGCTGTGGACTGTGACTTCATCCTTCGGTGGTGTTGTGGTGAGTTGGCAAGTCGATGAAGCGGCTATCTTCGCAGAGCGGGAAATGCACCAGCAGTGCAATTGCCGCCGTTCAAAGAATGAGACCTGTCACTTCTATAGCGATCGTGTGATTGGTTACGTTTCAACGGCGGCATTGTCAGTCGGATTTCAAATCGATGAGAAATTGAAGATTCTCAAACTTGGCGTTTTCATGTGAGAAGGTTGTGAGACAACGCGAAAATGTTAATCTATGTTTGTCTACGTGGTTGTTCAACCTTTGGTAACGCCATTCGTACAACCTTCTACTATCAGGTGGTCATCCTCCGGCCCGAAGTCCCAGCTTGCTTCATCCGTACCGTTGGGCCTGCTGCCTCTCTTGAAACCAATGTCGATACCCTCGATTTCCACCACTGGCCGAACAGCTTCTACTTCTGTGTTGTATCCCTTGGCAAACCACTTCTCCCGGATACCCTCCGAGTTGAACAGCACGGGAGCATAGCGCCTCATCGCCTGCAGCGCTGTCCCGGAGATCTGATCCACGCTGTGACTATGTCTCAGAGCCTTGAAGTCTTCGCCCGCTAATCTCAATAGATCACGTTTGATGTCCTCCGGGTACTGTCCAACTTTGATGAGAAGCAGGTCATACTGCAAGAGAGACACTTTCCCGTGCCACGAGCCACCTTGCGTAGCCCTGTGGTAGAGTCCGGTCAACGCCGCGATCGCGCCCATGCAACCGGTACCATAATCCGATATGGGGAAGGGAGGAACAACGGGCTCGTCCAGACCCATGAATCGGCCCTGCTCCCACGCCACGCCACTGACCTGTGATCGTGTTAGCATGCTGTCTTTGTGCAGAGCTGTGTCGACTTACACAATCCGCGATCTGTTGCCATCCAGGACGCGAAGCCCATTCGCCTTGGTATCCAAAGCAGTTCTCATTGACGTACACGATACCCTTCCCGCGGTCCTGTGCTAGCTTGGTGAGAGCAGTCGGGCCATAACCAAGCTTTTCTAGGGCCCCGGGTCGGTATCCGTCAAGAACAACATCGGCTTCTGCTAACAAGGCCTCGAACCGACTTCTGCCTTCCGGTGTCTTGAGGTCGAGGTCTGCGGCATGCTTGCCCATGTTGCCGTCGACCTGGAAGAAAGGTACGTCGCTGAGGTTGGGACTTGTGATCTTGAGCACATCCGCTCCGTACTCAGCCAGAATGCGTCCGATAACCGGACCAGCGATAATACGGCACAACTCGAGGACTTTCACCCCCGACAGAATGCGCTTGTCAGGCTTATTGGGGAGAGGACTTGGTGCAGTTGTGTTCTCAAGATTATCGACACTCCAAGGAGGAAGTTTGTTGTTCACCATCCCCTGGTAAGACAGTCAATATGAGACGAGAAAGGTTAGTATCGTGGAAAGGAACTCACATGAGGGGTCCTGATGAAGTCTTCATGCTTGAGCACTGGCACGCCGGCCTGGCGCTTTTCAGCGTTCATCTTCTCCAGCTCGTCGACGGTGAAGTTCTTGACGTGAGACTCAATCGCATTGACAATCGCCTTGTGGTCCTTGAGATCTGGTCTGAATGGGTCGAGCCCAATCATGCGAAGCGTTGTTGATGCTTCAAGAGATCCATGGATATGGTAGTACTCTCCAGGCCTCTTTGTCTCATACAGGTTGGCTGACATGCGCCGATAAGGATCCGACTGGGCATGAAGCAAGTCCGTATCTAAACGATGTCAGCCCAGTTATCGTGTTGAGATCTACAACACAACTAAGACTCACCCTTCAGAAACTTCTTTGCCTCTCGATCCAACTTCCCAAATCCCCCAACAGTTGCCAGATAAGCCTGTATTAGGAATGCGGTACTCTTTTCCAGGCTCACGGTGACTCTCCGCTGGCCGTCTCCGTACTTCGTAGCCGCGAGGGCACCAGCCACACCGCCTTCGATCGCCTTCAAAGCTGAAGCCAGCTCGGTCTCCTTGAAAGGAATCGGAAAGTACGGCGAGTTTCGCGAAGAAGTGAATGATACATTTTTTGATATTCTCTCTGCTTCAGAAGGAACCTCAACGCTGCTGAGAACGAAATCCAAAATGCGCCTCGTCTCAGCGACGGCTGAATATGCTGGTTCGGCCATGGGGGAATTCGACAGCGACAGGGCAGAGTGCTTAGCGTGAAAGAATCTCACTTGTAACCAACTAGACAACGTCGCCGGGGGCTTGTTCATGTAGTATCCACGCCGCTCATCTCTTACCATTCTCGTGACCCTCACGCCTTCAGCTCCGTCAACGCCTTTCGGAAAGGAGCATCATTTTTTCCACATCTCAGCTGAAAGTTCGCCTTTTCCTGGCGGCCAATTATTCGATTCGTCGTGCCTTCTTCCCTCATCCGATTCGCGAATTCGTCGTCACAGCGGCGAGGAACGAAACGTCGGACCCGCATCGGGTATCGGGTTATCGTCGCAGCAGTCCAATAATAGCACTAAATGTGCGTCGGAACGCGCTCTGGAGACCCGGCTTCCGATATCGTCGGAATTCGGGGTCTCTGAACGCTACTGCGGGTCTAGCAGGTGCGCTCGGACTGGACACTGAGCGGCCGTTTCTCGGGTTTGGAAGGGTCATCGGATGAGGACTGCGGACAGCTGATGTCATGTCGGATAAGGGACTCGGCTTGGTTGGATACTGCCTATCCGTCTTTGCCATTCCCACTTGAGGCGGTGGGTGTCCCAAGAGACAGATATCGACTTGTAACCTCAATGTTTTGGTCGATGTGGTATTCACCGCCAAGTCCCATGTGTCACATCTCAACTTGATCGTCTTTGGCTTCGTTGCCGCTAAGCCGAGAGTGCGGAGAGTGCCCATCATGGAGCGACTGAGAAGCCAAGACTTGGTTGAGGTTGAGCTCTGGAAGTGGACTTGATGACAGAGAGGAACCGGAAACTGGATTACACAAGACTCTCTCTTGAAGAGTGTTTTTCAAATAGCAAATGGCAACTGGTCACCTCATACTTTTAGTCCAGCTTGTGATACCCTACACCATCTTTCTTGTATGGTGACCTGCGGATGCTGCACCTAGTTGTGCGCCGTGTCAAGCGTCCAGCCATGTCACTCAACAACTCGATTCTTCAACCAAGGACACAACCAATACTATGTTTGCAGATGTCAAACCGTGGTACCTTATTGGCCATCTCTTTCCACACCCACTCAAGTCGTCCATGGATCGCTTCTTGTTAGTATTGCTGTCCGGCAGGGCCGCGAAATCTGGGGAAATTTGATGAGCTGGGACACCCCTGGAAAAGCGTTCCCCCGCAGAGCTGAAGCTGCTGTGCCGCAGGAACTTGCCCCGGATTTTGCGCTGCAGCAGCCCGATTTGAACCTATTCATAGCGATATTCTTTGCTGGCGGCCACGCATTTCGTTTCTACCGCGGCTGTAGCCAACCCACGCGCGATTTTATGTTTCACAGACTTTTGACTTCGATTCCGGGAGGCAGCTGAAGAGAACAGCAGATAAGCAGGCTGCAGAAAGAGAGATGCCGACGAAAAGAGTCCGCCAGAGTGAGCGGCGCAGATGCGTCAAGGCTTGCGGCAATTGCAAGAGGCGCAAGGAGCGGTGCGACGGTCAGCAACCCTGCAGGCGCTGCGTGATTCGCAGAGTCGAGAGCGATTGCTCTTTCGCCGGGCCTCCGACCACTTTTCCACCGGAAAGCTCTTCGTCGGCTAGGAGTCCTCCTCAACAAGGCGTGGCGGCTCTCGATGGGAGCCCGGCCGGTCGAGATGTCTTTCATTCTTACGGCTCGGCCGGTTCTTACCACGAGTCCGGCGTCTCTCCGGCTCATCACAAGCGCACCTCGTCGCAGGTCTCTCATTTTTCGCCAAACACCGTGGTCCCGCAGCTTTCTCGACTCATTGGCGATGGCCGCGGCCGGTTCATGTTCATCGGCGACGCCGCCAACTTAGCGTTTGTCAAGGTCATCCGGCGTCTCGTGCGCGATCGTGTCGGCTCTTGTCCGTTCACCGACGACCCTTTCCGGCATCTCATGGTCGAGGCAACCCCGGAAGGACGTCCGAGATGGATCATCACCAACCCGGCAGACATCCCCACAAAGCCAAGCGTGGAGCAGGCGAGGTATCTGCTTCGATGGTATCTGCGAGCCACCAACTGCATCCTCGAAGTCTTTGACGAGGCGGAAATCCTCGACGACCTGGACAAGTGGCTTCGCGGAGAGCCGACCAGCCAGGATGAGGAAGCCATGAACTGTCTCTTCTTTCTCATCTTCGGCATCGGAGCACAGCGATGTCCGGACGATCGAGATGCAGATGCCGAGAAGTACTTCAACTATGGCCGCTTCCTGGCCGTTTCTTACGCCATGGAGAACCCCACGAACAACACTGTCCGCAGCTACGTTCTCATCACCGTCTATCTCCTCGGGGCATCTAGACGCAACTCGGCGTTCATGCACCTCGGCGTCGCTGCCCGCGCAGCATACGCCCTCGGCATTCATCGAAGAGACAATCCGGCTCTCTTCTCGGCGCAGGAACAAGACACCCGCGAACGCCTCTGGAAGGCGCTTCGTGTCCTCGACCTGTTTCTTGGGGCGTCCCTGGGTCGACCTCTCGCAACAACGGAGTCTCGAGACTTTTCGGCGACCGACAACCACTCGGCATCGCTCGAATTGTGTGCAATCTTTGAGTCAATCCTCACAGAGGTCTACGCCAAGCGCATGGTGACTACGGATATACTCGAACGCATCAGTGAGCAACACCGTCGTTGGGCTGCGAGGTTCAGCGACGGTCTCGCTGCCGATGGAGTCAAGTCAGGCATGTACGTCGACGCAGAAGACGGGGAAACGTACCCTAACATTGCCCTTTATCACATGAAAGAGGCCTACTACTGGAGCATCATGCTTCTCTCACGACCGTTCCTCATCGACTTCGTTTCGAGGAATATTGCTCGGTCAGAATCAATGTCTATGTGGAGCGATGCCCCGCCGCCATCGTCCCCATCAGATCAACTACTAGTCCACGCCTGCGTCGACTCGGCAATAAGAACCATCGATCTCTTGTCTGGCCTCATAACTGATAAGAACGTTTCCAAGAGGCACCCTTTTGTCATCAATTCCGTCTTCGTCTCAGCTTTGGTTCTCGGCCTCGCAGTCTTTGGCGATATGGACAGCACGTTTCCCCTAGACAAAGGTCTAGCGGATGCCCAAGCACTTCTGCGGCGATTCAGCAAGCATGACCGAGTCGCAAACAGGGAGCTTTCGATCGTTGAGCATTTGCAAGGTGCTTGTGTTTTATATATCGAGAGAAGGGCTCGGAGAAAGATGGAGTGTCAAGGGATGTTGATCGGAGAGCTCTTTGGAAGCGTTCACGACGGAGCTCAACCGCCACTGGATGCCGCTAGGCTGAGCTCTGCTAGCTTCCACCGGGATTCCAGACATTTTGGGGGGCATCGTCCGCAAAGCACCTCAGATGCGGAAGACATCAGCAGCATGGGCCAGAGTGTTTCTCTGACGACAGCCAGCACTGATGCCCAGCAAGTGGATGGAAGTGAGCACGCTCGTGGCTCAAATGTCACACAGGCCCTGACGCCTTCAACCGATATCCTAATGCCGATGTCGCCGAGGACTCTCCTGTTCGACTCTTACGGTCACGACATGCCGTTCTTTCCAACCATGGATGCTAGCATGGCGCATTTGGGGTACGGGGACGAGATGTTGATGGCAGACACGAGTGCTTTGCTAGAGCCGCACTGCTGATGAGTCTGGTTAAGATGATCGAGTTATGGTGTCTTGTACTATTTGAAGTCAGAGTTGAGCGGTGGCGCGTCTTAATGATACCATATGTAATGAGCTAAGATCAATTTCCTCTCACTGTTCGGAAGGCATGGTCTAAACACATGTAACTGTAAGATCATATGAGACTTGTTTTCCATTGTGATCATATTCAATTACAGATACTACTCAATATGTACTTGCAAAGTTCGAAGGTCAAAAGATGATGGTTCCTAAATCAGTTCTCCCACGGATCGCCTCAAGGCTGTGGTGACAAGGTCAGGTTTGTTCAGGAATGGAGAATGCCCCGTACTCATTCTCTCAACCACAGCATCCACCCCAGCAGCATCAATCATACCTTGCTGAGCCGCGCTGTGGATCGCGTTGTCTTGTTCGCAAAGGATATAGGTCACAGGAATATCCCTCCAAGCGGCATAGGTCAACTTGCTGTAGAAAGTCCGATAGCTGTGAGACTTCAACTGGAGGATTGCCTCCCTCGCAGCGTCCTCGTCAAAGTCATTGTAGAATATCTCTCGTGGTCGGTCGGGACTGACGAGCATGTCGTTATCTGACAGGATGAACCACGGAAGCGGTTTACCCTGGAGCACGTCCAGGAGCGACGTCCCTTTTGAGTCATGTTTAGTCCCTGAGCTTCTTTGATATGCGCGCCCCGATCAAACTGTGAAGTCTAACCTTCTGAGAGCAGAAAAGCAGAGCAGAAAACTAGGCGGATAACACCGCCAGGCTTGCCCAGCTCCTGTCGGGTCGCCTTGTCAAGTCCGCGGCAAGCTTCGCAGCCAACTACGCCGCCGTAGCTGTGCATGAACAAGACCACATCTTCACCGCGATCCGCGGCCTCCTCGATACTCTGCCGGATGGCCGTGACGTCCGGGTCAAAGTCTGATAAGGGCGGCTCTGCGCCGTACGACGGGAGCTGCACGCACGCGGTGCTGTAGCCGAGAGCTTCGAGCTGGGAGGTCACCGGCTGAAACTTAGTCGCGCAGTGCCACGCGCCGGGGACGAAGATGAAGGTTGGTTTGTTGGTCGCCATGTCTGCCATATCTGTTCAACAGAAAAAAGCCAGTCTGAAGTCTGCTCGTCGTCGCCGCCATGACTCGACACAAGAGTGGTGGGTCCAGCTTTTTTAAACTCCTCCTTTCCACAATGGTTGAGACCCCCTAAACGTAGCATTTTGAAGATCCGACAATGTTAGATCTGGGGAAGATAGGTACCCGATACCCCGGGATTTCGTCCTCGGACCGGAAATCTGGTCGACGCTGTGTGACTTGACCGGAAGACACTAGGATGAGACTGGCATTAGTGGCATCCGGGGGTGACGCTTGACAAGCGCGAACCACATGGCAAGCTGACGGCAAGATTCACAGCCGATGTTTTAAGGTTTCGGAGAGTAATTGTCGAAGAAGAAATAGTTCCAAACGAATCCCACATATTCCTCCCTGCCGAAATTGCAAGTTCACTCCCGGTGTCAATGCATGTGCGTAGAAACCGTCACCCGAAGCTGCTTCGGCTAGAGCATTGGTGGATTTACAACATCCCCAATCCCGAAGCCGAAGCGCATAACCCGTGACCCGACAGACTGCGAAACGCACCTGAAAAGGTTGTCGACCACAGAGAGAAACTTCCATCCGAAGATCATCGATCGGGTTAACTTGAGTGTGCCCACGGGGTCCGGGGGCCCATCGGCAACTAGCACGGGGCATGAGCCGGTGGCAGCCGTCGGGGGGTCGTTTCTGTGGGTGTGGTCATCAAATTCTCATCGACGGCGTCATAGGTCTCAGCCGAATAGCCGCCGCTTGACTGTGGTAAGGGATGAATTGTGCCGTAACCTTTTCCGGTGGATGGCCTGTCGTGTACTTTTAGTCGCGTCTACCTTCGTAGCATAAGTATATCATCATATGAGAGATATCTACTCAGGTTGTTAGAAGGACATCTCGTCAGACCAGGTTCATTTGTTTCAATAAGACGGCAGAAAGTTGATACCACGTGCACATCTGATTGAATTTGCGTCCGAACTCTATTTCACCCAGAACAGACGTCACTCCTCACCCTCACTCTCAAGAGAGACGAACGACATCAAAGATGACGCCGCCGCCAGAATTCTCACAACCCCCGAACAAGAACCTCAACATCGCGGTGGTCGGCGGCGGCATCGCCGGCCTGACGCTGACGTTGCAGCTCCTGCTCCATCGGATACCGACAACACTATACGAACAGGCTCCCAAGTTCGGAGAGATCGGGGCCGGCGTATCCTTCGGCCCCAACGCCCTGCGTGCCATGTCCCTTATCTCGCCGCACGTCCGCCAAGCGTTCGAAAACCAGGCGACGTACAACCAGTCGGAGGACCACAAGGGTGTGTGGTTCGCGTTCAGGTTCGGCGAGTCGTGCGACGGCAAGCACAAGGAGGGCGACCTCATCTACCGGTTGAAGTGCGACGGCGGACAGACCAGCATCCACCGGGCTCACTTCCTCGACGAACTGGTCAAGTTGCTGCCCGACGGCGTGGCCAAGTTCGGCAAGCGGGCTGTGGACTATGAGGACGACGGAAAGGGCGTGCTGCTCAAGTTCCAGGACGGCACGACTGCGAGACACGACGCGGTGATTGCTTGTGATGGAATCAAGTCCAAGCTGCGGGGTGTGCTGCTGGGCGAGGATAACCCGGCAGCCAAGCCTGTGTTCTCTGGAAAGTATGCCTACCGAGGTCTCGTTCCGATTGAACGGGCGGAGGAGTTACTTGGCGAGGAGCTGGCGAGGAATAGTCAGATGTACTTTGGAAGACACGGGCACATTTTGACCTTTTCCGTGGCGAAGGGCAAAATGATGAATGGTGAGTTGATGAAGACACACTCAAAATGAGATGAGATGAGTTGCGATACTGACTGATATCTAGTGGTTGCATTCCGTAGTAGAGACGACTGGGACTCAGAAGACTGGGTAGTACCAGTAAAGAAGGAGGATATGCTCGCGGACTTCGAGGGATGGAGCGAACAAGCGCGCAAGATCATCCAGATGATGCAGAAGCCGGATGTATGGGCCCTCTTCGACCACCCGCCCAGCCACACATACTACGAAGGACGTGTGTGTCTGCTGGGCGATGCCGCTCACGCCTCAACGCCGCACAAAGGCTCGGGTGCCGGCATGGCCATCGAAGATGCCTACGTCATGGGCAACCTGCTGGGACTGATCTCCGGACCAGAAGAGATTGAGAGTGTGTTTTCTGTGTACAACAAGATGAGGAAGGAGAGGTCGCAGAGGTTGGTTGCGGATAGTCGCGAGCAAGGGCAGTTATACGAGTTGGAGTTGGATGAGGATCCGGAGTGGATCGCCAACAGCTTGTCAACTCGGATGGATTGGGTGTGGAAGTACGACCTGACTCAAGAGCTTGAAAAGGGGCGACGGTTGCTGGAGACCAAGGCGCAACTCTGATTGGACTTCATGGGGCTTTCGATGTACAGCGAGACTACTTAGCGAATTTGATATCGGGGGTTAAAACAGCTTCACATTTTATTTTCTTCATCTTCATTTGTGTGACACCGCCTAGCACATGCAGGAACTTGTCTGCATATTGTTAACTTTGAAAGACCGCTCAGAATCGTTGAATATGTTTATGAAATGTTCCATTTCGTCCTATGCTCCTAAATATCTATGCCAGAGTTCAATCAAAACAAGAGAGGGAATCCTTATAACCATCCAATGCTGCAACTTTTACAACTTTCTATATACAACCAAAAGACTCGCTTGAACCAATGCCATCAACCGCTCAATTAGTCAAAGTGAATGCGCCACAACTCTCTAGGGGAGCCCGCCTTGAAGTCACTACGAGTGTGCATGGCCAGAATGTTGTCACTGATGAGCAAATCACCCTCTTCCCAAGAAAAGTAGAGAGTGTTTCTGCGGTCATGCAGAAGAGAGTCCAGGACTTCGCAAATCTCGGCACTCTCGCTCTCGCTGACACCCTCGATGTTCACGTAGGTGGCGTCGAAAGTAGTCTTGGACTGAGGCCAGGGCTCGTGGTAGCGGATGCAGGGCTCGTTGGTCTCGGGGTGAGGGGTGACCAGAGGAAGACCGGTCATCTTGGTGGCATCGAAAGAACTGGTCTGAACGTTCCACGTGAGCTTGGAGAGCTTCTCCAAGGGCAGGTGAGGAGGCAGGTTCTGGAAGACCAAGCGAGAGGGGGTGAAGAGGGTGAAGCCGGTGTCCTTCGGTGAAGGGGTGACCGAGGTGAAGAACTGGAACCTGTAAGAGTGGGTTAGATCGGATCACCAACGTTACTGTGCCGCTGCAAGTGGACTTACTTGGGAGGGTTGGGCAGAAGCTTCTCTGTTCCATCTTCTTGGGGCACCTTGTGGGTCTTGAACAGGCCATCGAAGTGGAAGGGCATCCACTCGGCTGACAGAACGTTATTCAGACCACGCGTATCGGCACCCTGGTCCTTGACCTCGAGGACGAGGCCGAACTTCCACGGCAAGGGAGTGCCGAACTCCTCGGACTTCTTGACGAACAGGTCACGGTCCTTGGTCTTGGAGAACCCACGCATGATGACGGGGGAGTTGACCTCGGAAAGCGCGCGGACCTTCTTGGCGTCGATGTCGTGGATGGAGAGCTTCTTGGGGCCAGCAGCTGGGCGGATGACAATACCACAGGGGTACAGCGGCTCAAAGGTGACGTCCTTCTCCCAGCTGAACAGCTCGCTCTTCTCGCGGAAGTAGCTGGGTCTGCCGTCCTCGTATACAAGCTCGTACTTGGGGTCGTTCTCGAAGTCGGATCGGGGGCCGGTCGTGACTGCACCGCTCACGCTGAAGGCAATGGAGCAGTGCCAAGGGGTAGTGAAGTAGGTGGTAGTCGGAAGAGGGCTGATGGGGATCTTGGTCTCGCCGACGGAAGGGTGGATTGAGAGGCGGATGTGGTCGCGGAAGTTCTCGCGGACGGCACGAGCAAAGGCGTCACCGCGCTGGAGCATCTGCTTGGAAATGTACTCGATGCCAGTCTTGAACTTGGTCTTGGAACGGTCCTCGCCGACGGGGTATACATGGCGCAAATCGGTCTCGAGGAACTTGATGTATCCGCGATATGTCAAGCAGGTGTCTTCGTTCTTGGAAATCTCGTTTGAGGGGTCGTAGTCGGCGCGGCCGAAGGTGTTGAGAAGGGCTCGGCGGAAGTTCGTGGCGTTCGCGACGTATGTGATCTCTTCGAGCTTGTTGGGAAGGTTGGGAAGATGGACGAGGTCCTGAAGACGAGAAAACTGGATGTTGTGGAGGTTCTTCTCGACAGCGATGCTTCGGAGAGTCTCTCCGTATGCCCAGACTTCCTTATCTTGAACACCAAGAAGGTCTGGTCACCGCGGTGTTAGTCTTGTCCACTAACACGTGGAAGGAACATAGGGTTGCTTACCGTTGTATACAAGTCCGTCAGAGATGATGGTCAGCTTTGCGCCAGGCTCGTAGAAGTCCTTGATAGCTGAGCAGAGACCGTTCAGGTTGGCAAGGGCGAACTCATCCGCCTTGTCGGGCAGGCGGCTGAGGACCTTGTCCTTTGTGTTGGGGGACTTGAAGGGGAAGGCAGGAAGGCACATGCGAATCTCGCTCTGCGACTTGACTTTCCTGTAGATCTGTGACAGGAAACCAAGTCTACCTTCAAGCTCATCTGTGCTGGACCGCTTCAAACGATAGCGGCAGATGATGTCCAAGATGCCGGCGGCAGTAGAAAGAGCCTCCTCGTCCATGATCTGAGAGTCAACCTTGGAAAGAAGCTTGACCTCGGGCGAGGGTTGGCGGGCCGGTACTTCTACGGCAGAAGGCATGTTGTGAAGGTGTGTGTTGGATGTCAGTGACAGTCGATGGAAGAGTCCGTCTAAGGCAAAAGAAGTGAAGGTAGGGGAGGGCCTGGACAAGAAAGGGAACTAGCAACCAAAAGAGAGTTCAGTAGGGCTGGAAGGTGCAGGTTGTTCTTAACTCAAATTGAGCCTGGATTAGATGGTAGATATTTCCGACGGCTCGGGAAGGACAACCGGCTTATATTGCAGTTGCCTTCAGTGTTGGTCTACGGATTCCCTCCATGCTTGCATATGCAGAATACTACTCTCGGAGATGATGATCCCAAGGAAGGGGTCGTAACAAGGAGCTGCAGGTTGAGACCACGGCAATGGCCGTTAGACGTCGTCAGGTCACATCTGACCATCCCCCATTATCTGATCCATAATGGGCATATTCCGGATGTGGCTGTCCACTTTGCTCCTTTCCCGAATGCCCACTCTTTTCTTTTTTTTCTCCTTTGCTTCCATGGTTGTTGGAGATCTCGCCACGGGATGTTCACTAACATGGGAAACACACCAACAACAAAAACATCAACGGGACCAAAATGCTCCCGGTATCCATCCAGCCTTGTTGTCAATCCCATGCATTAACAATTTTTTTTATCCCTCGTTTGCAGGCGACATCCCATCGTCGATCGAGTCAGGGTTGCCACTCCACCCTTAATCCGGGCCCCAGCAGGATCAGGAAGGATAGTCTCATGCACGGCGTGTGAACTGGGCCAAGTTTGACAGCCAGGCATGGCGCTGTACGACCCATGCCTTGATGTGGAACATCATTCCAGGCGGCCCAAAGGAGAAGATTGGTCACAGTTCCAAGATCTCAGTCGCAGCCGCGCGGGAGACGTCTAGGAAGGTGGCTAGATCCCGGTTAGGAGATATAAGAAACTGTGGAGAAAGGGACCCAATCCACCAAGAATCGAGCCACGGTGCCACCAGATGATGGCACAAATACACAGATGATCCATGGGATGCCGCGGCAGATGTCCTTCAACATGGGACGGGCTAGATCACATTTTGGCTGCGGCAGGATCCTCCCGCGGCTGTGGAGATAACGTACTCCCCCCGAGCATTTCGAAAGACGCTTTCCCCGATCAGCCAATTAAGCCGGGCCAAGATTCTCGGAAAGGCATGGAGTCTCCCGGAAAGCAACGGCGATGATTCCTTACAAGGGCAGGTCTAGCCAGATTGCCGGGGAGTCTCTGCACTGCAACATTGGCATGTCGTGGCATGTCACATTGAGATCGTCAGAAGAACATTCAAGTTTGTCACCTACTCGACTCCTCCTGAACTTCAACGTCTGGACGTTTTGCGGAGTGCATCCACCATGTCCAAGTAGTGTAGCATGCGATTCCATGGCGGGAATGCCCCCGGCGCACTCCGATATCAGATGATAATCGCGATATTCCTCCAGTGTCGGTCATCCCGTTCTCGGCGCATGTACGGAGCTCTTTTCGGCATCATCGACTATCATCCCGGATCTGGACCCCCGTGTTAGCAATCCGCAGTCTCAGCCCCCGTTGTCAGATATCTAGTGCGCATCCCATCGGTCCATCGGAGACAATATCTGCAACCACGTACCACGACGACGCCTCCGCACCTGATCTGATCGGCTTAGCAATCGGTAGTCGTTCGACTCGGATCTTTTTTTCTCGTCTCGCTAGATCTCGTACTCGGACTCTCTTTCCGGAGCCATATCAAGGACTTACACCAAGTTCAAGTTGAAGCTATCGCAGTCATCTTTCCTCCCGACTTAGTCACTCCTTTCTGTCCCAGCGTACTACATCACGCCAAGCAACGACTACCGCACGCAACACTCATCCCACACCATCATTCACAACAACAATGGGTTCCATTCCTCGCGAAGAGACTCAGGTCGACCTGACCATTATCGGCGGTAAGTCTTCCTCGGAGCCGAGCTGCTGATGACGACGATCTCTAATTTTGATGCTCAGGTGGACCGACGGGTCTTCTCACTGGATACCTGGCTGAATCGTTGGGTGCAACCGTCTGCATTATTGGTGAGTCTGAAGAATCTGAGCGTCCGAACGCGCGTAGCTGACGGAGATCTAGACACCAAGGAAGGACCTTTGCAGCTCGGCAGAGCCGATGCTATGAACGCTCGCACTCAGCAGGTTCTCGAGGTCGTTGGTGTTCTCGATGAGCTTATTCCCCATGGCATCACCTGCAACAGTAAGACAAATCTCAGCACGATAGGTTTGATGGCATACTTACATGTTTTCCAGCAAGTTCAACCTTCGCAGAGGGTGACTTCAAGTCTCGCCAAAGCCATTGGTGGACTGGTCTTGAACACTGCTTCCGCAAGAACTTCTTGATGCTCGGCCAGCCCGTCATCGAGCAGGTGCTTGCCGAGAGACTCAAGACGAAGGTTTCTTACGGAGAGACCGTTTCATCCATTACTGAGGACAAATCTGGCGTCACCGTTACCACAAGCAAGGGTCGCACTATCCGCAGCAAATACGCAGTGGGAGCCGACGGAGCCCGCTCCACCGTCAGGAACGCCCTGAACATCAGCTTTACTGGCACGAAGCCGGAGATGGTCTGGGCCGTCCTCGACACCTTCATTGACACTGATTTCCCGGTCTGCTCCGAGATCATTACCTTCCAGCTCAACGGCCAAAGCCGAGTATCATGGATCCCCAGAGAACGCAACATGGCCCGTTTCTACATCCTCCTGGATGGCGAGATCACGCAAGAGAAGGCGGAGAACTCGATCCGGGAGCACATGGCTCCTCACAGGATCGACTTCAAGGAGACCGAGTGGTTCAGCACGTTTGATGGTAAGCACCCCTCACAAATGACAGAAGTGTTTGAGCGACGAATTCAGCTCGGACTCGCTGACACCGTCATACAGTGAAGGAGCGCATTGCAGGAACCTTCGTTTCCCAGAACGGCGACGGGCGCATCATCTTGGCGGGTGATGCGGCCCATGTCCACTCGGTGAACGGCGGCCAGGGTCTCAACACCGGTGTAGCTGACTCGTTCGCCCTGGCGTGGAGGCTGGCGGAGGTGCTCACCAACGACAAGCTCAGCCAGGCTTCCGTCGAGAAGCTGATCAAGAGCTACGACATCGAGCGGCGCACCGTTGCCCAGAACGTCATCGACGTCGCCGCGGCCCTGGTCAGAGACACCGTCCACACGGCCAAGCAGTACGTCTCCACAATCGAGAAGAACGCTGGGTACATCACAGGTAAGCTTGTCTCCCATGTTTTAACAAAGTAGCGTGACGTTGGCGCCCCTCCAGGGCTGGGCGGCTTTTCCTGCTTCCCCAAACTCTGTTCTGCGATGGCCCCCAGAAAAGGGGAGACCATGTCTTTCAAAGTGGCACAGAAAACGGGGAACACGCGCTTCTAGAAAATTGGCACGCTGGCGGCTGAGCCTTCGCAAGCGCGGATGTTCCGCCTTTATCTCCACGCTTCCGAAACCTAGAAAACAAGAGTTTTCGGCTAATTTCTCCCTTTAGGAATGGGCGTGTCTTACGACGGCACCGGCTCGCCCTTGGTCCAAGGATCCACGCAAGGCATCTGGACTCCTGGACGGAGGTGCCCGGATGTCTACCTCACGCCCTCGTCCGAACAAGAACCGAAGCGCCTGTATGATCTCCTCGCTGGCAAGTACGGCAAGCATGTGGTCTTGAAGATTGGGCGGCAGGAGACCGACGGACCCGCCCCGGCAGATGGTCTGAAGGACGTGGCCAGATTCTTCAGGGTCACTCCCCACAATGCGGAGACTCGTACCACGAGCATTGAAGACTCTTCATCTCTGTTTTCAGCCGAGTGGGTTGGAAGCGATGACGAGTTCGTCGTCGTTGTCAGGCCAGACATGTACATTGGCTACGCCGGCCAGGGCGAAGGGTGGAAGGAATACCTCTCCTACTTGACTCAGTAAAAGGGGGATCCTTGAATTGAGCAACGGATTTTGTGTCAATTGTGGCAGGTGTTTTTTCTTATTATTAGACGGACGGGAATAAGGCGCGGCATAGGGAGCGTTCGAACCAAAAAGCACAATCATTGGATTGTATTGTTAGAGACTTTAGAGAATCCTTGTATGATCAGCATTTCGACCAATCGAGTATCTTCCAGTGATCTAAGCTCTTCCGGGTTTCGCAGCCGTCAATCTTCATATGTGAGAGTCAGTCGCCTGCAGAACCCGTCGGGCGAGTCCGCATTTTCAATCGCCTGCCGCCGACCGACCGCGTCGCCGTTTGACCTTCAGGGGAGCCAAGACCGAAGTCCGAGCTGGATACGTTCGGATTACGATAAGATGATAAGATTGCACGGAGGATGATTCTTCATCAGAGAATCTGCAACTTAATCTATGAGCTACTGCGGCCTGTCTGTGGCCCAGCATGTGAACGGTGAGCCTCCGTCTCCCGGTATCACCCCCGGACCCCGAGACCTCCACGTCCCGGTCGCCGTTCCGTCAATGCGGAATTTAGGCCACGGGAGAGTGGGATGATCTCGGGTGATGTTGGGTGTCACACGTCATGCGGCAGATGTTAAGTCCATACGCGGCAGACAATATCGGCCTGTTCCGTAGTGATATGTTTAGCAGGTTAAAGAATTCCCCTAGCGCTGCATTCCGATGCCTGCGCAAAATTTGACGCGGTCTCCATCGCTGGGTCCCTGATCGACCATCAATGCAGTGTGACAGTCTCACAGAACAAGGGGCTCGTCAGTCAATCCGTCTCTGGCTGTTTTTGCCCTTTACAGGAAGACGAACAGAAAATGTGACGAACAGGCTCGGAACCACCGCTCTATGTCGGAACCAGCCTCGGAACATTGAAGAATAAAACTCGTCCCAAGCCCCCCGCCACCAAACAACGGAGTATGGCCGAAGCTGGACTAACAGACGATTTCTCAGTCACCGCCCAATGTAACCTAACCACAATCGTTCAGGAATTACCAAAGTGCAACTCCACCATACCGAGGTTTCGACGAGCTTCAAATGCCTCAACCCCGGCGACTCTCCTCAATACCGAGAGGGCTCGAAGGATTTGCGCAATGTGACCTGCCCTCTGCGGCTTCATCTACCCAACGATAGCCTGCTTGAATTGAACCGAACTCTTCGTAATGTGAAATGAGAGACTCGTGAGTTGAGAACTGAGCGACGCTACTCTGTACTACCTTCTGCATTCTGCACAACCACCTGCCTGCATGGGCGATCCTTTAACCCGTCTTGGCCAATCCGAATCCTTCTTTTGAGTTTAGCCTCTATTTTACAAGTTTCCCATACGATATCGCAACCGACCCGATCGAGACAACCCCCCAATCACGACACCATCCCAGGCCCTTGTATGACCGGCCATCGCGTTCAGGGTTCGCGGAAGTGAAGGACGGAAAGGAGGGAGGAGAGAGAGGTCAGAAGGACCAGTCAACTGAGACGCCCTACGGTCCTCCGTCATTAATCCGTCGATGCGACGTGATCCCAGTCACGGCATGCGATTTTCGTCGGATAAAGAAAAGGCCACCGGGCACGACGACACCGACCAGGATAGCCCGAATTTCCTCTCTGAGATCGACGAGGAAACTGCCATAGACGGATCATCACCGCCACAGTTCCATCCTGCGAAACCAGCGGCGCCTCCGAACGGTGGCTTGAAAGCATGGCTGCAAGTTCTGGGGTCGTTCTTCATTTACTTCAATACGTGGGGTGAGTTCAATTTAGACCTCGGACTCGCTATTATCCCAGCATCCCAGTGCTACCTGACTTTCCATGCGATGTAAGCACGTATCTGCAAGCGGGCACACACAGTAGCCGTTGCATAGACTCGTAGATGGATTCCGTAGGATTCAATATGCTGAACCAAGGCTAACATAACGTACGATGCCAGGCCTCGTGGCGAGCTTCGGAACCTTTCAGGCTTACTACGAAGATGACCTCCTGAAGGAGTACAGTCCCTTCGCCATCTCCACAATCGGCTCGTTGCAGAGCTTCTTGATGGTGTTCTTGGGTTTCATTGCAGGCCCAGTCTTCGACCTGGGCTATGCGCGTCAGCTCCTGTGGGTGGGATCCCTGCTGATCGTTGTCGGAACCATCACCCAGAGTCTCAGCAGCAACCTCTGGCAACTGCTGTTGTCGCAAGGCCTCTGCATCGGCGTCGGAATGGGCAGTCTCGCCGTCTTGGGCGTCGCTGTTCTTTCGCCATGGTTCACCACGAAGCTACCCGTGGCGACAGGCATTGCGGCTGCGGGAAGCGGTGTTGGCGGGTAAGTCGACAAACAAGAACCAAAGTATCCCACCGGATAGGGCTAACTTACACTTTCTCTTTCTTTCCGCGCAACAGCTTAGTTCTTCCCATAATGTTCCGCTCGCTTGAGCCGGAAATCGGTTTCCGCTGGACTGTGCGTACCATGGCGTTGATCGCTTTAACGACGCTGGGCATTTCCATCGTGAGCATGCACGCACCAAAGGCCTCAGCCCAGCGACGCGCTTGGGTGGACCGGTCCGCGTTCCGAGACATCCCTTACCTCCTTTTCGTGTGCGCCTGCTGCCTGGTGTTTTTAGGCATGTATACGCCGTTCGTCTATGTCCAGAAGTACGCTCTGGCAACCGAGACCGCGACGTCGGGCGTCGCGACGTACCTGCTGTCCATCCTGAACGGTGCGTCGATTCTCGGCAGGACCATCCCCAACTTGTTCGCGGCTCGCGTCGGAGCGATGAACATGCTGGCGGTTGCGGTGCTTATAATGTCGGTTTCGGCGTTCTGCCTCATGGCAATCAGCAATACGCCCGGCTTGATAGTGGTTGTGGTCTTTTATGGCTTCAGCAGCGGCAGCTTCTTCTCACTGCAGCCCACCACTTTCACGCAAATCACGGAGGACCGGAACTACATTGGTACCAGACTCGGCATGGCTTATTCTGTCATGTCGGTTGCTCTCCTCCTTGGCTCGCCGGTGGGAGGCGCCCTGGTGCGTCAGTTTGGTTACTCGAGCGCCTGGATATGGTCAGGAGTGTGTTTGACGCTGGGAAGTGTAATGATTGCATGTTCAAGAGGAATGGCGAAAGGTTGGAGTTTGAATCATAGACTATGATACCCTAGACATAGACATAGACTTTAGATGGTCACTGCCTCAGGGCATACGACGCTGACATGATAGACTAGACTAGATAGACTCAACGCCACTTAATGCCTAATGAAATTAAATATGACAAGGAGGTTCAGTTCAACTCGATTGCACTCAGAGTTAACCATCAACGCATATAGGGCCAATATGTAAGGGGCCGGCACGAAAGCAGCATTGTTATGCGAAGATCAACGTAGATAATAAAAGCACATGTAAAATCTCCAACCAAGTTCACTTCTTAAAAGTCTCAGTCAAGTTGAGTGTCGCAAAGACACATCCACTCCTAACTAAGATGGGTCGTGATGCAAAAATCAACTCAGATCCACCGCACAAACGATGTGGGGGCAGGGCAAAAGATTAAGGCCCTAACCAGGGATTGAACCTGGGACCTCTCCCATACTGAATTGCTTTCGAACAACCCTAAGGGAGAATCATACCGCTAGACCATCAGGGCGAGATATCTCAGATCAAACTGAGCTGCTGTGATTTCCGAAGCGGTTGCAGAGCTTATGCCGCAACCAGCAAGACCCAGGAGCTGACTTTCGCTTTTTCTCATATCTTGAAGCAAACTCAAACTTCTCAACACCTGCAGATCTTACAGCTCTTCCACTGTAACGTATGCTCTGAGTGGTTTTGCAAAAACCACTTGTACAGCTGTCATACAAAAGGGCCCTCGAGGGTTGAAGCTAGATGAATCGGGGCTTTGCAACTGAGCCTACATATTTAAACTGCTTTCTGGATATATTGCCTTAGTTCATTGAAACGCAGATTTATCAGAAGACTCGCATAAGACCGGGTACTTTTGTGTTAATATTCTTTGGCTCAATTTGCCGGTTATAGTCTCATTGAATGTTCTTGACATGTTTCCTTCGCCCGCCCAGGGACCAAACAAAGTAGGTCATTGTAACTACTCAGCAGCTTACTCTCCTAACCTAAACTCTCTCAGCGAACCCTCCTTTGTAGCTCCCTTCCAACTCTCTCTTCCAGTACATTTACTAGCTTGGAGGAAGCGGTGTAGTATAGTATCAATAATGAAGACCACTTGAGGCTTCAAACTGTTTATCTTTGACAGATCTTGCCTCTTTCATGAGTTGTTCGATCCAAAACCAGCAACGAAGCTTGCGAAAACACCATGGTTGAAAAGCCCTCCAGTAGCCTCAATATTCCGTTGCCCCCCGAGAATGTTGACGCCTGGATCTAGCTGTGTACCGCGCGTATGCTGGCGGAGGGTCGACAAGAAGTGTTGAAGGAGACCAATCTTTGTCCATGTTGCAAGGCACAAGTCGATTTGACATCCTCATGTCGACGGGGAAAAAAGGTCTCTCGTAGTGTTCTTCTTGACATGATTCGATAGTCGAGAGCTTTTTGGCCAGTATAAGTGAAAGTGGCTTTCCTCGAATCAAAGTGGGCCGTTCAGGTAGCGGCATATTCGTGTCGTCGTGGTAATGTGACAACCCGGTCGGCTCAGGCTTTGGGATCGCCTCCAGAGGGGTGGCTTCATTCATTTCAGTGAGTGCATCCGCGTTCAGATCGTAGCCATGGTTCGCGATCAGGCTTTCGACGCTGGAACATTCGCTGATTTTGCCACTCTTTGACAGCTTGCAAGAAAGTTGGCTGAAGCTAAGATGCTTACCGCAGCAGAGACAGCGTCGACGAATGCGGTATCTGGAGCGGGTCCGGAAACCGTACTGAAGGTAGTTTCCTTGTTTGTAGTCTTCGCGTTTACCTCGATGTTCGCAAGATCGTTGGTTGCTCATGACGCAGTCTTCGCAAGACCCAAAGTGGCGGGTGCCCGAAGGGCGGACGATATCGATATACCATTTATCGCCGGATATCACACCCGTTACTTTGTGGAAGAAGTCCATATTGATGAATAGTGGCTGAAATACTTCTTCCTTGAGATCGGATAAAGGTGAATGTTCGTTTGGATTGGATAGGTTTGAGAAATCTTCTTTTCCAATTATTGGGACGCAGCACTCAAGATCCATTCAAAAGTTGACGAGATATGAACCAATCTATATATTTTTCCAGAAAGCTATCTCCGTTGCTACGCATCATTACGAATCACCATTATTTGGTACCTACGTGTGGCAGTGCCGCGCTTGAGCTTGTGTCCCTTGATGGTTACGTTTGTCGACTGAGCCTCGGATAAATACAACTCGAACCTGAGATCAGCCATTAGCTTGCAGCAGCCGTAGAACGACCCGAAAATCATGATTTAGTCTTCTTGCGGCAGATATTTCTATCAAAAGTACTGCTCCAGGCTGGAAAATCTTCTTGAATTCGAGTGGTGCGGTGTTTAGAAGTCTGCCTTCCGATGGCTCAGATTTATGATCGCACAAGGTACTTGAGGCTTCCTGAGTGCAAGAAAAAAACATCACGATGAGTCACCCTATGCATTATATACGGACAGAAGATTTCATAGGCAGCATTGTCTTGACGTCTGTTTAACCGCGATACAGCAGCCCCGTTTGAACTGTAACCGACCTCAAAACCGGTGGACACGAGAAAGGACCAGAAACAGCAACGCAACGTTCCATGGAGGTTTTCTGTGAAAAGAAAAAGAAGGACACTATTTCAATCCCGTATCAATCCATCGTTCCATCATCTAGAAGGGCCATCATTTGCTGATTTCCGTGATACCAGTCGCTCAGTCCCAACACCTGACCATCTCCATTGAGCATAGCCCCGGTTTCCAAACCGGCCAGGCGCAGAAAGTCAAATGAGCCTACTGGGTTTGTTATTTCCGAGTCCAAAGAGGTTGAGGCTGTGTCGGACTGAATATGAAGCCTTGCAGCCTTGCAAAGTAATGAGTATAGCTGATGTGGGTGAGTTGATGCCTCAGGGGTTGTCTTTGCTGGCTTCAAAGAGTTCGCAAAGTTTTCCAGGCACACCAAATCTTCGACGTTTGATGTTCTGGTTATATGAAGAAAAAGAACGCTGAACGGAAGAAATGGAATATTCACAATTGCGCTGTCCATATTAGTAGAGTAAAGGGGAAGTTGCGGGATATCACAGGGATGACTCACCAAGTTATGTACTTATTTACAACTTGCGGGTTAGTCCTGCAGCTGCGGATACTGGCCATGCACTGTTGATGTATATCTAGAGCCAGGCGCGCCACGGCCACACACTCTTCCGAAGCACCGCTTGGAGACATTTCCCCCGTCGGAATGGCTCGTAGAATGAGCGTGAGAAGTGAAGAATGGCAGACCAAATGGCACTGAAGATACAGAATCCGTAATGGATCTTCATTGGCGTGGGATATTTGACTGGTGGCTTCCTGTAAACATTTGACGGGTCAGTTAGGGTACTTCTAGGGTTGAAAGTGCACGAAGTACCTCTAACTCGGTATGAATCTCCTGTATCAGTTCCCGCAGTTCTTTGGCAATTTTCTCGGCATCATGTCCTCGGTCATTATCGGGTCTCAACAGAGCTGACGGGCCGTACAGTTGGTCATAGGTCTTTCCCTGTATTCTTGCGAGCTTGACTGTTCGTGGCTGGCCACGGGGGTCATAGAGAAACGAAATGTCTGTGTCGCGGATGTTGGGAGGTCGGTCAAGCTGAAGAGACAGGCCTCTGTCGATACTGTAGACAGACCAAAACAAGTTTTCCTGTGTACTCTGGAGAGACAAGTCCCTGTCTCTTCGCGTTTGAGTGCGATGATACCCCAATGTGTAACAAAGACTCGCTGCGGACGAGATGTAGGTCCAAGCCAGTGTAGCTTTGGAGTCTTCCAACGCATCGTAGGCCTTCATAATGTCAGCAGGCTTTTCTGACGTACCAAACACGTGTGGTGTTTCGAAGTAAAAAGAACGGTGACCCCAGTTGCCAAATTGGAGGCTATACGTACAGCAACAGTCAATACTGCAATGGCTTCCTTAGAGGCGGGTAGGAGGAGGGGCAGTCGAGACACGGAGTCGCGAAGACTCCGGCGGCACATCAACCAGTACTCATGGTAGTCGTTCGTACCAGTGGTGACGAGATGCTCTGCAAACACGTAGGCCAAGTACCCATTTGCGAGGATGAACTCCATTTCGTTGTGATCATCAACCGCAAAGTAAATCTTTCGGCAAACCTCTGCGAAGTACTCCGAAGGAAGCACCCTTGTTATTCTGGCAATACGGAAGTATCTTTCGCGAGCTGGGCGATCCGACGTTAGATTTTCTTGTCTGTAGCGGAATTGTCTGCGACACTTACTCTTTACCCAGCGCAGCACATTCAGAGCTGCTTCCATTGGAGGCATCCTTAGACTGGAGCCATGTGCAAATGTCGCATCAACTTTTTCTGATGAGTGTTGACACCGATCCGTTGATGAGTCTTCCATGACTCGAATAACATCATTAAGGCTGGTAATAACCCCCAAGGCCTCGGCGCTATCGTGGTTTGGTGAGATGTTTCCGTCTTCTAAGATAGACTTGAGGAGGTTGACGGTATGTGCTGAGTGGTCCCACGTGGTTGAAGCATCGTGGGTTTTGTCGGCATCTTCATCGGCGGTAGGTGGCGATGACAGTGGTCGTCCCAGCAAGCTACCTTTCTCGAAAGCAACAGTTGAGTGAGAAGACAATTTAGGCTTCTCTAGCATGTGTTTGATGGCTTCAATGCCTTTCACGATATCATCGATCTTCCTTTCACTAAAAGGGTCTCTATTATCAGCAATAGTCTTTCCCTTGGTTCTCACAGTGGCTTCGTAGTCTGCCACATAAGCAAGACTTACTATTGAGCGGAAATCAGAACTCTCTGTTTGGAAGTCGACACACTAGATGAGACAGCGCTGTGGGTGCAGTCAACTCTAGCAGAAACGCAACTCGAACAGGGCGACTTTCGATCGCAACCGATCTGCTCGTCTTGGTATTCAGCGATCTCATTATTTCTAGAGAGTCTAGAACCTGTAGCGAACCTTTCTAGAGCGGCATTGATCACACTGTTGGTAGTATCAGCTTTTGTGATTCAGTGATCAGAACAGCTTCAGCTTACTGAGCGGCGAGATATCGCCGGCCGGGCTCTTGGTCGTTTCCCGGCCACTGCTGGGTCTCCGCGGGATTCCATGGTATAGCAATTCAATTGTACCTTGAGAAAGTAAGGCCCGTAACTGGAATTCCGAGGATTAGCGAGGTATTAAGTTGGTTCTGTATGACTAGTAAGCATGGATTTGGGCGGCGCCCTGCGGAGTGCTTACGCACTTCGGACATTTGCCCAAAATCCAGTCCGCGATTGGTCCGTCAGCCAAGCTCCGGGATCGCGCGCGTTTCCGGCTGTCATTTTGGCGATGCTGCAAATGAATGTCCGATTGGATAGGTAGCTGTGTAATCGGTCGGTTTCTCATCTGAATAATTCAAGTCCGGCCGAAGCATTAGCATTATGCAGCGAGGCCGACAGAAACGTTGCAAAATTTCATAGTCTTATCACCGGAAGCAATGAGGATGGATATAAATGCAGAATACTGGACGCAAATTGAAAGCTCAAGAGCATTGAAGACAGAACAACACAAACAACTTTATCAAACCTAAGTCTTTCAGCTCTACACTACTTAGTCATCATGAGCCACAACATCCTCATCACGGGCGCTGCCGGTTACATGTATGTTGGCCTTATTCTTTTGCACGAGATGTGATGACTAACATGTCAAGTGGCGGTTCCGTTCTTGCAAACTTCCTCGCTCGCAGCAGTGGCCCAATCAAGACAGCCAACCTCTTCGCTGCCGTTCGATCTGAGGAACAGATGGAAAAGCTAGCGAACTTGAATGTTCACGTGGTCCAGCTTGACCTCGCCGATGAGCGAGCCGTGAAGCAAGTCGTCGCCGACAACGACAGTATGATTCAGAAGATCCCATAGCCGTATCTACCCGAAAAATGGCTGCAGAAACCGCTAACGTTTCCCAGTTGACTTCGTTATATACACCGCAGGTGTCATCGACCAGCGCCCCGTGTCTAGTCTCATCGAGAGTCTCGGCGAGCGTCGTATGAGCACCGGGCGAGATGTCTACTTCATATACGTATGTTACCTGAAGAAACTAGGACATCAACGACTTACTCATCATTCTCAACAGACTGGAGTGTCTACGACTTTTCTCCCGGTTGGTGGCTGGTCAGCTGGGGTGGTCAGAGACACCGATCAGCTCTTTGAAAAGGAGAAAGAGATTGGAGGACCCAACCATGCACGGCTGGTAAGACGTTCGGGTGAAATGCAAACTTGAAGCTTGAGAAACTGACGTGAGTGTTTTTGGAAGACTAGTATCTTCGTCGTGGAGAAAGCCGAAGCTCTTGGCGTGACAGCCTTCAACGTTCCGGTGCCCGTCGTTTGTGAGTTACTACCATTGTTGAATAACCTTTCGTTCTGTTCAGTCTTGCTTACATTCTGCTAGATGGGCGAGGCACTGGCGAGGGACGAAAGCTATCTGTCAATATTCCAGCTTTCGTGAGATCCAGCATCAAGCACAAGGTCGTGCACAAGTTCGACGAGGATGGAGTAAGTCACTTGGTATCCCAGAAGATAAGGGGACGTGTGTATGTTCGCAAACCGCTAACGTTATCGCGACGCACAGAATGCCCCAGCAGTGCACGTCTCAGACTTGGCTGAACTCTACACCATCTTGACGGAGAAAACTCTCCTGAAAGAGCCCATCCCGAGTGGCGCGAAGGGGTACTACTTTGGCGTAGCTCATCAGGTGTCTTGGTGGGATGTCATGCAGAAACTGGCTGAGGTTTTGCACGCCAGAGGACTCGTGACCGAGCCAGCCGCCCAGGTTTGGCCCAGCGACGACGTGGCTGCGGAGGCCCTTGGGTTTCCAAAGTTGTACATACGCGCAATGGGAACTGCGAGGTAAGTCCATTCTCAATTCCTAACCCGGATAACTTATTGAACATATGAATAGCGGCAATCTCGTCTCCGAGAACTCGTGTCAGCTAGGTTGGCAACCGAAGTGGACTCGGGAAAAGTTCTTGGCTTCCATTGACGATGAGGTTGAGGATATTTTGGAACTCGATACGGTCAAAACATCGCTCTTCAGCGAGCTGTTGACCCCTTCTGCAAACTGAAAGACTTGCTCTCATTGCTCTGCATTATTATGTTTTCTTCTCCTCATCTCCTGCACTCCCCAAACAGCCGCTCATTATCCACAGGTCATCACCAATTTCATCACGCTTATTAGATGGATATTACTAGAGAATCCTGTCTCGCCAACTACTTTCAATAGTCAAACTTCCAATATCGTACTTTTGGTTTATATACCGATAATTGTTCTCGAATTATGTAACATGAAGCCCTTTCGTCAGATAAACCTCTGTCAAACAACTACAATACGAGTCAAGTTTGATCGCTGAAATCCCCCTCTAATGCAATGATGCTCTAATGCTAGACCAAACGCCGACGCCATGGATACATGTAATTCATGTGGATGCTCGTGCAATCTAGCGATCACAATTTGGGCTGAAACTTGCCGCGGATACGCTCACCGAAGAGGTAGAAGAGGAGGGGGATAGGAACCAGAGCGAGGGCGATGAAGCCCAACAGACTGTTGCCCCAGCCGAGACCGAGAGCATTGTACATCTCCAGACCACCAAGGGGCAATAGAGCTCCTGCGAGAGATCTAAGGACCGCGAGTGCGGCAGTAACTGAGGCGGCGTAACGAGGGTAGGTGTCGAGGAGGTAGTTCTGAACACAGGTCTGAGTTGGTTTGTTAGTATGCGATAAATATCGATGAGTCAAATGTGAGGTAGACGTACCATAACACCCATAAGTCCAATGCTGAAAACGACAACACCGAGCATGGGAACGATGAAGTGAACGCGCTTCTCAACAGTCCAGCCATAGATGAAGAGACCGATGGGGAGAACAACACCACAAGGCATCGCCATGATGGGGCTGAGACGGATCTCTGGCCTGTGAGGCAGACCCTTGGCCTTGTTTCTCTTCACAATGAGATCGGTCAGAGGTCCGAAAGCCATCACACCGATCATCATACCAATACCGGCAGGCAAGAAGGTGAGACCGACAGTTCCCTCATCGAAGCCGTAGAAGTCCCTGAAGACGAAAGAAAATGTAGTGATGAGCAGGTAGAGAATTCCGTAGGTAACGGCGACGTAGAGAGCCATGAGGGTGACGATGGGTGTTGCGAAGAGCAGTTTCAAGGGTCGGATAATGGCGAACTTGAACTTGTCGGAAACCTTGGCCGAGGTCTCGAGCTTGCTGCGGAGGTTGGGGTTGCCAGTCTCCTTGCGGAGGCGCTGGGCTTTGCGGTCGAGAAGAACGGGAGCGAAGGTCTCTTTCATCATGAAGAACGAGAGCGGAATGAATACGCCACCCTGTGAAGCCAGTTAGATGTCGAAGATACCGATGTCATACATGAAGGCCAACTTACAATAATAACCACAAGCCAGTAGATCCAGCGCCATCCAGCAGCCTTGATCAAGTAGCCTCCGGCAACCGGTCCGATACAGGGACCCAAAAGAGGACCCAACGCCCACGCCGACATGGCGCGTCCTCTGAGTTCGATGGGCATGACGTCTGCGATACTACCGCTGCCAATCGTAATAGGCACAGATCCAGCGAGTCCCATCAGGAAGCGGAAAGCCATCATCATCGGCATGTTCTGCGAAAGTGCCGTACCGATAGTGAATGCGGTGAAGAGGGCGTTTCCGACGATGTACAAAGGCCGACGGCCGTAGACCTCACTGAGAGGCGCGACGATTAGAGGGCCGAAGGCGAAGCCGAGGATGTAAACGGATACGACGAAAGTTGCAGTCATGGACGATGTCTCGTTGAACTCGACCATGATCTTAGGGATACCGGGCGCAAACATTGAGGAGCCCTGCAAAGATGGTCAGAGGTTTTCTCTAAAAGAGTAAACGAAAAGATGTAGCTTACAAGAGGTCTGTAGCTGTTAGCTGATGAAACACATAGTTGTGGAAAGGGGAAACTCACGTTACTAGAGTCAACAGAGATATGGCGCCGATGTTCAGCCATTTTCGTTGCATCGGCCAGTTTTGAGGGTTCTCAGGGTCGTCGGGCCCGTCCCAGTCGACGATATTGGGATCTTGGTCTTCCTTCGGGGCTTCGTCTCTGTTTTCTGAAGTCTCGGGGCTGGAATCGGGCCTGATGGTTGCGCCTTCGAGGTCGGAAGCGTTAGGACTCAGTCCTTTTTCCATGTCTACATCTCTGGGAGCAGAGCTCGAGGACCTTGGGTCCGCCATGTTGTTGAATGGATGCTGAGGCAGTCGGTTCAGAAAGGTGTTCGTTGTGTGAGTCGGTTTTGCTTGTTAAATGCTGTGCTTTTGCGAAGTCTGAGCTGTATAATCGAGGAGGTGCGCTTGGCATGAGCCGCAAGAAATATTCTGGAATTTTCAGCCCGGGAAAAGGTAACATTATATTCAACATCGGAGGGAACATGCACACGAGCAGGATGCCGGCAACTAACAGGGGGAACGGCTCCGTTGCACAATATTGTGCATCATCCGGGCCCTTGCGCCCAACCCGTTCGCCTGGTTTTCGTCCGCCATGCTGGGACTAGGCCCCATCCGCCAGTGAAAAAGAAACCGAAACCGAGAATCGAAGGGAATGCGAAGGCGAGCTCGCACACGATTGGCTTGCGACTGATGCGCTGCAGGGATCCTTCCCCCTTGATCGCTGGCGGTCGGGAGCCATTTGATGAGAGAGACGGAGTTGAACTGACAAGACACGGGGCTTTGGCGTCTTTGGGGGTACGGGATTTTGCCTGGTTCCCTAATTCCATCCGGTTCCAATATGCCATTCGAGTTGTGTCTCCTGTCGTCCGTGGCGTCGCAAAATCTGATCGATGTCAGAAACCTGGCCCAAGCATCGTATCGCTGCTGTCAAACCATCAGATGAGCACCACCTTCGTAAATCGGGCCAGATCCTCGGTGATTGTAACCGATGCTAAATCCGTGGTGCGAACCGCAGCCTTGGGCCCCCTTTTTCGCATTCACAGCATACGTCGTATTGCCTCAAAAACAGGCTTGATATGGGGAGACTGGGTGATCGTAAGTCATGCGCGTGGAATCAACGCGGCATCGAAAGCTTGAACATCAGCTGGTGACGCTTCTGCGCGTTTAAACTTGGGCTATTGGGTTGAGGGAACACGTGAAGTCTTAGTCCAGGACGTCAGGTCAGACTCTCAGCTAATTCTCAGCCAACTCCGACTAACTGCAGAGCTCTAGCTTTACATACGGATTTCAACATCATGAGTGCTGTGACTGGTCGTACCTCATTGTCACTATTCCCAATGCGTCCTAACCTTCGGTGTTGGCTTCGCAACTCCCGCGATGCATGGAGTCATCTGGACCCGGCGCTTGCATAAGTCCTCCGGGAGGTTGCATAACTCGTGCCGGACGATGGCGTTGCCGCTCCCTGGGCCCCTGCGGGGAAATAAGGTCTTGAAATTGGCTAACCCGCCCAAAAGACGATGGCCGCGGATCCTGCCGCAGCACCGGGCATTTGCAAGAACCCGCTGGTGAACCCTGGTTCTTATCTCCATGACGGAAGAAAGCGACAGCGAGTGAACTGGGATCTGGAATGGCCTAGCGTCGCTGAAAATTTCTAGTCCTGCCAACAAACAATAGGCTAATCATAGCTTCTCCTTGTTTAATGGCCAGTGTTGGGGGTTGATGTCTCCAGCTACAGCTTGCATTAGCGAATACGCGGAACGGGCGACAAGACATAAGCCCCAAAGACCTCCCCTCCCGGATGTCTCCAATCTCCCGTGAGGCGCAAACAACCAGAAATTCCCCCCCTAAGTCCGGACCGGAGCAGTCCCAGCAATACGCAAGCAAGCGGTTAAGGTCTTGGCGGCAGAGCGGCCGGCATAGATGCGGCGTGTCCCATCCCGGTGCCGTGAAGCCTGCCGTTCCAGCTCTTCGGATTCGGGCCAAGGCCTTTTGTTTCAGTAACCAAACCATTATGTGACATTGTGCCCGGCGGGGCGGCACCGGTAGACTGCTGGACCTTGGAAGCTCTGACGCTCACAACAGGAAATGCCCTTCAAGCAATATTTAAAACATATTCTAGATAAGAGAAGCAATGACAAGATGTATCATATGTAAATATGTCGCGTTCGCAAAGCACTTCTCTTGAGAGAAAGCTTCATTCAAATCATTGATAGTTCGAGCAAGAATGCAAGTTCTCACTGAGAACATTGTTTCAGCTCTATTAACCGCGACTTATCACGTTGCCATATCGACTGACGTGTTGCCTCTGATGGTTCAATGACCGGCGTGGAGGGCGGACATGAAGATAGCGACAACTTGCCTCTGTCCTTAAGAGCATAGTCAACAACTACAAATAGACGATTTATCTCGTGGAACTGTTGGAAGTTCTTGAGTTACAACTTACGCAAGTTATTGACTGTGCTGGAAGCTTCCTGATGTTAGGCGCACTTCCCAATTGCTTCAATGTTATCTTTGGCGTGAAAAGGGATGGTCTCGATTATTTTCTGTGTGGCAACCGCTAGAGAGTTGCCAACAGGTATCTCCTTTATTGGTACTTATTGCCAATGTCAACGGATTAACCATGTGCTTGAGCTTGTGAAACTCGCGTATCATCTGAGCACGACGGCTAGGATGAAGTCACACTTATGATTGCCTGAGAGTACTGTCTATGGCGATATCACGATTTGACATCTTAGTACATGCATGTATTTAGTGTCTGGGAACGCAATTTTGTTACATCAAGTTGTCCGTTTGAAAGTTAAACTTCGTTTCTTTATTCCATGACATTGAACGAATGCGATGTGACTCGGTATGGTGTCTTACACTGCAGCTGTTGAATTTGGGTAACAGTCTCTGACTCCATCTATCATCTATCGAGTATTCACCCACGAGCTTGAAGTAGTCTCAATGTCACTTATCGGGATTCACATAAATGAGGCGACGCTCATCGACTGAGTTCTGACGTAGATACATGAGAGTGAGGACGAAATCCACGCCGCTCGTGACCCAAGGTTGATAATTCCCATCAATCGTGTTGTACCGGGGCTCCGGTTTAAACTTGATTCCTAATCGCATCTCTAGAGATTAAACGAGCTACGTCAAAGACCAGCGTAGCCCGATGAAATTGACACAGATTATCATGAGAATCTGTTGTCTTGTGTCATCACCATGCTCGTAACCATCCCCATAACCATCCTCATAATCATCCACATCATCATTCACATCACCATCCTTATCGCCACTTCATAGACCGTATTTCTCATCATGAAGTATCTAAGGGTTTTACGACCTGTATTCTGAAGATAAGTCTCCATTTTCACTTGCGTTATCAACTACTGAGATGATTTGTGTTAGCCGTTGTCATTATTGGGTGTTCCCATTACTTCCGCGGAAGCAGCTTGTGGAATGAACGCATAAAGACACCCACTACTTGTCAGTGTGCCAGTTGCCTATTGAAGTTCGCCTCATACGAGCAACGATAGAATGAGGGTTGCTGATAGAAGCTGGGACGCTATTCCCATCATACTGTGTTCGCTACTAAGTCTAAAGAGAGGAATGAAGGCGGATGGCATTCTAGCTAATACCATCTTAAATACAATTCTTCTGGAGATCCTATTCCTGTTATCAAGATTACTGGGCTTCAAGGCTCTTGGAGAGGAGGAGTTTCAACACACGTGATCTGAATAATACATATTCTGCCTCCATTTCGCAACATCATGAGGTCCCTCTGTTACAGGTCTTGGTAATAGGCCCCTACCTCCTCCAGGAAGCAGGAACAAACATGGACTGCAGTATTCCAACTGCAGCAGTGATGTAATTCATAAGATTCACATTTATAGTTCTTTCTTGTATGTTATATATGTGCTTCAAGAAACCTCTAACTTGTTGCCCTCACCCAATCTCTTGAGGCATAGTGGACGATAGAGAAGAAGAAGATTTCATGTCTACGCTGTTCAAGGGAAAGTAATAGTTTTTCTCCATATAATCACAATAGAAATGATATGAAGAAAACTAAGTGAACAGTTCATTTACTCAGGTGGACTCTATCAACCAATGGCGATGGGTGGCAAATGGACTTCTCTTTTGAAGTGATACAGATTTATCTTGCTATTCCTCATAAGCATGAAGATGTATGAGTATGTGAGGAGAATTTGACTGAAATCAGACGATGAAGCGACAGTACACAAATCCATTAGATGAGAGGTTGTCTTGTTCGGAGAGTGAGCCGAAGACAGTTGCATTGACAGCGGGTGGCCTGTCACTGTCAGGGGTTATCCCCAGGCGCTAGCAGAACCTACGTCATGACGTGCAGCGGTTCTTCAGTGGACAGGCCCGCCAATCCAAAGCTGCCCGTCAGCCAAAGTCCGCTTCCGCTTCCGTCGAAGTCCCAATCTGACAAAAACACCAACCGACTTGCACCTCACGCGGTCGCGATCCCGTCGCGTTCCACGAAACGATGATCGCGCCCACATGTCCACTCACACGCCCCATACTTCGACGACCCCAGCCGAGATAGCATTTGTCGACGATGCCGAACCATTCGCCCCGAAACCCCTCATCGACGACCTCCTCCGAACGCGCTACTGCATCCCCGGCTCCATCTTCCTTATTGAAGCCGTCGATACTCTCCCCGTGGCCCGGTCGAAGCGATGGAGGGCTATCAGGCTGCTACTGGGAGATGGAGAGCTGTGCATACAGGCGCTTCTGCGCGGAGAGATGCACCGCTTCCTCGATACAGGAGCTGTGAGAGTCGGGGCGTACGTCCGTCTCGGCGAGGCTACGGTGCATATCCAGAACGTCGGTACGACGGACGATGATACGGGACGGGCGAGACAGATGGTCTATCTCATTGTCGAGGATCTTGTCACTGTGGGATGGCATCGCGCAATCACCGAGCCCGATCTAGCTCCACAAGAGCAGCAGCAGCCGCCTGCGCCAGAAGATGAGCTGGTGGTATCCGACAGCGACTTGGATCTCGACGCTTTGGACGCTCCAGAGATACCGGAAAGTACGAACAAAACTTGCCGGACCAATCCTCGCGAGACAACTCCAACGAGACCGCCGCGACCGACTCCGAAAACAGTCCCTCGCGAACACACGGCCGATGAGGACGACGAGGAAGATGCCGAGGAAGGATTCGAAGTAATGCAAGTTTCGGAGACCAAAGCAACACAACGAAGAGCTCAAGTGAAGGACATCGGAGCGCCCGTGGCCCTACCGCGCGACTGGACGGACCCAAGCATCCCGCTGAAGTTGACGAACCTCAAATCCATACCGAACCTACCCTACAAGCAAAATTGGTCCGTCAACGTGCTTGCGATAATCGCATCGCTATCGGAACTCGAGCCTTCCCATATGCCTCCGCACAAACAGAGAACGGCACGGCTCGTTGACCCGAGCACCAGCAAGCAGGTCATCTTGACAGTTTTCCTCGAAGCAGAGCAGTTCAATCCAAAGGTCGGCAGCGTGGTGTTGTTGGTGGGCGTCAAGAATCACCGGTTCGACGGCGGCTGCCTCAAGAAGTACGTCAGCGACCGGCCAAGACCTGGGAATAGGTGGTGGTTCGAGGAGCCTCGACAGTTCGAGTGGTGCGACGTGGACGGCCTGAAGTCGTGGTGGCAGCAGAAACAGCTACAGGGTCCTGGCCTCGATGCCACATGACTCAAGAAGGGAACACTATCACTCGTTGCATGAATGGGGTCGAATGGCACATTGCAGCAATGTCAGAGACGTCAAAGTCTTGGTATTGGTTTCAGAAACTACGACTAGACCTGGTTCGTGTGAACTTGCGAATCCGACAGAAGTTCTAGCTGCCGAGGCTGTGCTATCTTGAGGCGATTATGCCGCGAAGACTTGGCTCAAAACTCTCAAGAACGGCACGACGGCACATCTCCGTCTAGCTCACTCCCCACGCACCGAGGACGTTACGGCCGGCTTGAGCAGTGCTCTTTCCGCTCTGCAGCTCCAGTCTCTTGACTCGGTTCACCAAAAGACCAACGCAAATCGGTCCTATGATGGTGCAGAGTGAGATGGCCCACGTCACGATTAGGAACATCTCCGATGGCTCCGCGGGGCTACCCGAAGTGCCGCTGAAGATGCCCGTGCTCTCGGCGAGGGCAGAGATTAGGAAGCCGATCTCGCCGCGGGCGACCATGGCGAATCCGAGGATGCAAGCCGGGTATACGGAGACGGGCATCTCCGGCTGAGGAGATGCGTTGTTGGGAGCCGCCCCGGGTTGACGCGTCTCCGGAGACTCAAGAGGGATGTTCTCCACCTGACCACCCTGTTCGCCTTCCTGCCGCTGCTGCGCGTTGCCGTTGTTCGAAGACGGGTCCGATGCACGTCCGGCACACTGCGCCCCAGGTGCCAATTTCTTGGACTGTTTCTTCCCGGTGCCCGAAATCTTCTTGACGAGCTTCTGGACGGATTGAAGAGGACTAGCAAAAGACAAGAGCCAAACGCCACACAGCATCTTGCTGATTATCATCAGGATGGTGTAGACAACACCCCGCCACACGATGGGGCCAGAGAACATTCTGGTGATGGGGACAGAGAACCCGATGGATGCCTTGGCTTGGTTAGCTCAGACACGAATAATGCAACAAAGTAAACTTACGAAGAAGAAAGGTTTCAACACACGCTCGACCGCTTGATTGTAGTAATGCTCGTAGATCTCAGCGCCAGAATTGTCTGAGGCCAACTCGGGGGAGGCCGTATCCGCTTGCTCTTCCGCAGCGCCGGATGGACCAGCTTTCACGCCCTTCTGGTCGGCACCTTGGCCGACTTGGGGAGAATCAGTCTTCTTGGTGACCTTGGCCACAGCATGCGGCACCTCGGAGTCCCACCAACTGACCGTAGCGCCGGCAACGTACGCAGCCAACAAGCTCGACGTCCCAGCAAACGTTCCACCGACGACCAGCCCAAACAGCCATATCGTATGAATGACCATTGCCGTCTGACGTAGTCGCAAAACCTTATCGAGCTTAGAGCCCGGGTTCTTCTCACGAGCAGCGTTGAGACGGACCGTCACGGGCTGTACGATAAGTCTACACGCCGCGGGCACCACGGTCGCGAATCCCAGCGACACGAAGACCGGCCGGATGACTGTCACGACGTTGAAGTCGCCGCCTCCGAGGTTCGAGACCACCTGCACCATGATCAGCCCGACGACATCGTCCATCATGGCCGCGCTGGTGAGGACGACGCCCAGACGCGTCGTGCTGAGGCCGCTGGTTCCGAGGACGGTGAAGGTGGTGCCGAGGCTGGTGGAGCAGAGCGCCGCGCCGGCGGCGAAGGCCTGGAGCGGCGACGCGCCGACTAGGGAGCGGAGTGTGAAGGAGAGGCCGATGGGTACCGCGATGCCCGTGATGGCGACGCCGGTCGAGAGGAGGAGGTTCGCTTTGAGGGATTTGAAGGATGTGGACAGGCCGCCTTGAACGTTGTCAGTAAGATTTTATTGCGCAGAGTAGATGGAGAATAGTAAATAGGTCTCACCTTCATACACGATCAGTATGAGACCGAGATATCCCAACTGCATGATGGAGTTCTCCATCTCCTCCGACAACCACTTCGCGCCGGGCGTGCCCCAGGCGATGCCGAGGAACACCTGTCCGATGAGGCCACAGTACACGAGCTTGTCGAGGCCGTAGTTGACGGTGTTGAGGAGGAGGAGAAAGCCGGAGAGGATGATGATTGTCGTGATGGAGGGCTCATGGTAAGCCAGTGAGAATTCGTTTGCGGCCATCGTGAGCCATTGAGACGGAACGTACGTAACGTACGCTCAACTGTTGTTTCGATGAGTTTTACGATTCGAATGAGACAGCGAATCAGTTCTTCATGAGTTTTAAGTAAAATTGATGGCAATGATGTCCGGGCACTGTGTCCCGATTGAGGTGAGGTGGTCAGGTGAAGCTGCAAAATTGACGCATCTGCTTGGCGATCCCTTTGTTTATTTGCTGGGCTTGGCGGGTTTTACGGGCGCGGGCCACTGTCCGAATGACGTCAATCCTCACCCGGGCCCTCTGAGCATTGAGTGAGGTGAGCCATTCACATGTTTGCGGTCATAAGCCTTCCATTGGAAGTAGATAATTCTCATCTCACTCAAAGTTTTCATTGAAAATAGCATATTGGGCGAGTTTACCATCAATCATTAATCTCAATCTCGGCGGCGCAGCCGCGAGCAGTGACCGAGTGAGTAGTGCTATCCGCAGCAGCTAATTAGTATTCTATATTTAGTTATATATTACCTTTCCTATATTAGCGCTATTATTTAGTAATAAGGATTAATTTAAGCCTAATTATACCTAATATATCTAAAACTATTAACTTTATATCTAATATATCTAGATCCTAACTAATACCTCTATATATTATCCTATTATTATTAAGATATTAAATAAGCTAAACCCTATATTATTATATAGCTTATTATATTATAATATATTAAGGATTAATAATAGCTTATACTTTATTTTAATTACTATTTAAGCTATAAATAAGTTTAGATTTTACTATAATATTATATAATCTATATATTATTACTAAATTATTTATTTCTTTAAAAAGATAATATCTATTATAATATTCTTATTAATATAATATATAAAAAGAATATTATTAATATAGTTTAAATAAAAAGGGATATTATTCTTAAAGGTATTAAGGGATTAAAGTGTTACAACCCATTGGGCTTAGCTACCAACACAACCCCGCTGGGCTCTCGGCGGCTAATGTGGACATATATAACCTAGTGACATAAAGACGGTCAGGGATCCTCAGAAGGGAAGAACTATAGTATAAGTCATATAACGATAAGATAAGGATTATTTTGGATTAAAATAATCTAGTTAGACTTAGAGGCTAAATAATTATTCTTAATTAGAATAATCTAGCTCAACCTAAGGTATAAGGGTATATACTAGGGAAAGGACTTATATATAGGATGGACTTAAGCTCGGCTCAAGAATAGACTTCTATAGCTCTTTAGCAATTAACTTATAATTCTCACTTAAGACTTTTAGCTATACCTAAGTAATAATTACTCTATAACTCTTATTAAGGACTTAACTAATTACTAAGACCTTTAAAGACTTATAATTACTTAAATAAGCCCTATAGAATAACTTAATATTATTTATAGTTCTTAATCCCTAACTTACTACTAATATAAACCTACTATTAGTTAGCTAGCTATAATACTTTAATTACTCCTATTTAGTAAGTTACCCTTTAAAAACTACTAATAGTATTATAATATCTTTATAACTCTCTAGAAAGACCCCTAGTACTAGATCCTCCTCTAGCGCTAGGAAGGCCCCTATTAAGAAGAACCTTACTTAAGAACTTAGGGATTAGAGAATAAAAGATAATAATAATAGTAATAATAATAATATGCTTAAGGAATAGCTTAAATAAGCTAACTATAATATCTAATAGATATAGGAAATATTTAATGCTAATACCTATACTACTAAAGAACTTTAGGCTACTATATACCTATCTAACTAGTATACCTAGGAACTTAAATAGTAGAACTATACTCTTTAAGCTACTACTAATATTATTACTACCCCTATTATAGAAGGATAAGAGAAGCTTTAACTTAATTCTCTTAATCCTTTTAATAGATCCCTAGGATAGCTTAAGGGATTCCTTATCTAAGTTAAGAACTACTAGAATTTCTATTATAGTAACTTTAAGAATAGAACTAAGAAGGTTATCTATATATCTATCTTCCTTAAGGGATAAGCCCTCTAGTAGTTTAAACCCTTCCTTAAAGAGTACCTTAATAAAGAAATATTTAACTACTATTCTACTAAAGTTAGAGATATTTTTAATAGCTTCTAGGGCTTTAAGTCCGCCCTAAAGTCTCTATTTTAAGACCCTAATAAGAAATAATAAGCTAAATAAGACTTACTTTATCTTAGATAGACTAAGTTAGCTAAAGACTATACTATAGAGTTCTAATAGATCTATACCTAGCTAGACTTAACTAATAAAGGTAAGATCTTTATATTCTATAATAACCTTAAGAATAAAGTTAAGGATAAAATTATTAAGGTTAATAAACCTAAAGACTTCCTCTAGTATATTAAGCTTACTATTAAGATTAATAACTAACTATATAAGTAATATAAAGAGAAAGGTAAATAATAATAACCTACTAACTCTAGCTATAAGTACTAGTAGCAGCCTAGATACTATAATAATAATCAATATAATAAATATAATAGCACTACCTATAGACACTATAGCAGACCTATAGATCTTAGTATAGCCTAGCGTAATAATAATAATAAGGGTAATAGCTAGAAAAAGAATATTAAGTACTATAACTATAATAAGAATAGATACCTTATAAAAGAATATAGAGCACCTAAGAAAGAACGCTTCTAGTTAGTACTTAAGAAAAGATAAGTTAATACTACTACTAAAGTAATCCCTTATAAATAACTTAATTAGACTACCTACTTTAATAATAACTATAGAGTTTACTTAGACTCTAAGGAATATATAGGATAATACCCTAAGAACCCCAGTAGAATAGGATATAATACTACTAGAGTAAAGAATATTAGTAGACCCCTAAATTAATAAACTATTACTATAGGATATAGAAGTAATAGCAAACTTAAGCGTAAGGCTTAAGAATAACTTAATAGCCTCCTAGAATATAGGGCCCTTAAAGAAAATAGATAGTTTGAGACGTCTAAATATATTAGCCTTAAATAAGAACTAACCTATAACTTAAATAAGCCTCATAACGTTATATAATAACGTACTTAGATAGTAGCTATCTATAGGTATAAACCTAATATTAATAATATTAGCTCTAAAGAGGACTCTAATAATAAAACTATTAGGACTAATAAATGCCTTTAGTACTAGAAAATTAATCCTATAAAGGATAAATAGATACTTAAATTCTTTAGCACCTCAGGAGAATAGCATAATAGAAACTATAAACTAGAGTTTAAGCTAGATAACTACCTATATTTATATATAGAAAGCAACTACTACTAATACCTCTACTAGCTATAGTACTTCTTTAATAACTATAAGGAACATCTTAGAGATAAGTATATATATTAATTCTACCCTAGAAGGCATAACTAAAAACCTATTAAGAAGGTCTATTAAATTAACTAAATATATAGATAGGAACTTAAGCTATTTAATAGATAAATTATAACCTTTAGACTAAGCTAAGAATACCCTATAAGATGCCTCCATAATACTAATATAAGCTAGTAAGATTACTAATAAGATAAATATATAATCTATAGAGAAAATAAAGCTAAAGTATAGCAACTTAGCTAGAATAGAGCAACCCCCCCTATAGTAAAGTATAAGGAGAGTTAGCTCTAGAAAGCATAACGTAAAGGGAAATAGATCACCTACTATAGAGATAACTAATTAAAAAACTAAGATCGCCTACTAAAACTAAGGGATAATAATAGGTAGATAAGATAAGGTCCCTATATAGTATAACTAGGGCATACCTAGCTTAATAATATAAGTATATCTAAGTTTAGATATAACTTAATAGAAGACTAGCTACTATAATAATAGATAGTAGAGCCTAAGGAAACTTTATATTGCTATAAATAGTAAATAAATAAAAAATAACCTAAAAGAAGAAAGTAGTAGAAGACTACTATAAACTTAGTACTATTAAAGGAGAATAAGTCTAGTATAGTAGAGGACGCATTATAGTAGAGATAGCGTACCTCCCTATATAGATCTATAGCTAGAATGAGCAACTAAACTTCAATATTATAGAAATAAGAGATAAGTATAATATTATCCTTAGAAGACTATAGTTATATAATAACAACCTATAAATAGATTAGAGAACTAGCTAACTCTATTAGGACTAAAATATAGTTACTAAGTAGTAACCTAAAAGAGGTACCTTAAATAAACCTTTTAGAACTCCTAAAGCAAAGAGATTTTTAGTATACCTATAAATTAAAGATATAAACGCTAAGACGTTATTAGCAATAGATATTAATAAGGAAGATTAACTTCTATCTATCCTAAAAGAATATAGGTAATACTAGAAGCTATTTGCTAAAGAACTTAAAATAGGACTACTAGAATATAGTAACTATAACTATAAGATACCCCTAAGAGAAGGGAAGGAGCTAAAGCTAGAAGCAATCTATAGACTTAATTAGAAAGAAATAAAAGTACTTAACGCTTACCTTAAAGAAAACCTATAGAAGGAATATATTAGACCCTCTATATTACTAGTAGGATATCTAATCCTATTTATACCTAAAAAGAATAGTAAACTATAACTCTATATTAACTATAGAAAACTTAATAACATTATAATTAAGAACTACTACCTACTACTACTTATCTTAGAACTTAGAGACCTACTATATAGAGCCTAGTAGTTTATAGTACTTAACTTAAAAGGAGCCTATAACCTAATATATATAAAATTAGGTAAAGAATAGAAAATAGCATTTTAAATATACTAAAGATATTATAAGTACCTAATAATACCCTTTAGACTTACTAATATACCTATAATATTCTAGATAATAATTAATTATATCCTATAAAAATACCTAGATATATTTATTATAGTTTATCTTAATAATATCCTAATCTTCTTAAAGACGTTAGAAGACTATAAGAAGTATATATATTAAGTACTATAGAAACTCTAAGAAGCTAAACTCCTAGTGGAACTAGAAAAGAGCAAATTCCATACCTAAGAAGTTAAATTCC